TATCACGTGACGTGTCGATACTCGAGCACACAAAGGTGATGAGATTCAGCATGACACTACTGCCACAGGCTATTTGCATATCACGTGACCGGATTTCCCCGTTTGTAAACAAACAGGCTTATTCTTAAATCAGAAGAGACTGGCCCAATACAAGTGAGTGAGTGAGTGAGTTTGGTTTAACGCCGCTTTTTACAGTATTCCAGTCATATCGCGGCGTGTCAGCTTAATGTGGGAGGAAAGCCCGAAGTGATGCAGGTCTCAGACGTTTACCACTTCGGTGAAACCCACGAGCACGGGTATGGTGCTGACAAACCTAGAAACATAATCGGGGCGAACCGGGATTCGAACCCGCACCCAATACAAGCCTTTCGGCGCACTTTATATATTATTTTGAATAGTTATATAGATATGCCATTTCACACAACCAATGTAAACAGAGGATAACTTCGCAAATGGAAATAGTTTTCGACGTTTTAGGATATTTCTCAGTGAAACTAAATCATTCTATGAAATGTTTATCTCAATGTGTAGACTCGTCAAAAATGAAAAGTTGAAAAACATACATATGTTGGCCCGTGGCAGAGGTTTTTGTTTTTTTGTTTGTTTGTTTTTGACGCTGCACTCAGCAGTATTACAGCTATACGACGGTGGTCTGTAAATTATCGAGTCTGGGCCAGAATATCCAGTGATTAATATCATGAGCATCGATCCACGCATTTGGGATACGATGACATGCATCAACCAAGTCAGCGAGTCAGTCCACCCGATCCCGTTTGTCGCCTTTTACCGCAAGCATGGGATGATGAAGACCTATCCTACCCCGGATCTTCAAGGGTCCCGTGGCAGAGGTAGCATGGTACGCTATGATATCGCGGTAGTTTATTTATAATAGATCGTTATGGCGCACGCTTACTAAGATATTAAATATTTCATTCGCAAAATGTTTGTTCTTTGTTCAAGGTTTATGACATCAATTAGGATTGATCGATTTTCTTCACCGAGTTCGGTTCAATAGCGACTCAAGGGTGGGCAACTCTGTATTATCGCGGTCATTCCATTCGTGGCCAACTCGTGTTATCCGGGACAAGCCGAATAGCAACTTGCAGGTAACGGAAAGGGGCGAGTGGTGACGAATGTATCGCGGTAATACGCGTGATACGCGTGGAACGTGCTTTACATCCCTTCCTGTTTGGGATTATGCAGTATGCAAACGACCTACGGTGGGTCGTCCAAACAAAGAGGTGCTTTTCTAATCAAATTACGAATGGATGTAGAGGTAATTCCACTTCAAAAACATTCCAGAAACTATCATACAACGTTAACGTGTAGACTTATGAGTAGCCAAGACGTTGGGCAACGAGTCTTGTATTCAATCAAGTGATGAAATAGCGTTCTTAGATTTGCACAAGTAAACAGTCGACATAGGTTGTGGATTACGAGATTTACCAATACCGCGATAATATAGAGCCCGCTATATAAGAGTCATACTATTCTAGGCTGGCCGCAAGGAAGTCCAGGTAGAATAGTGGATATTCGAGGTCAGTGTTAGTTACGTGATTTGACCAAACCTTTCCGGATCATCGTTCTGCCCATTCAAATTTGTTTCGTCACGTCATATGGAAATTCAAAGTTCTAAATATACACCTCGTCATAAATATCGCACCACACATTTTAAAGTAGAAAATAAAATGTTCGGTTTTTTAAACTACAAGTACATATTTCATATACAGTAAACTACGGTTATAACGAACTCAAAGGGACTACTAATTTTAGTTCGTTATAACCGTAGTTCGTTATAAGCATATATACAGCATAACTACAGCAAATAGTCGGGACCAAAAGTAAGTTCGTTATATCCGTCAGTTCGTTATAGGCGTGTTCGTTTTAACCGTAGTCTACTGTACTACACCATCTGGGAACATGATATCACAAACACACCCTGTTCCGAGCTGCACGTCTATGCATGCGTTGAGCATGCCTGTACCGGGAGTCGGTTTGCTAAAAATGCAGTATGCACATAGCCTCTTTTGGCGTATGTCATGTTGGCAGACACAGCTAAAATTTGGTTTTAGGCATAAATTAAGCTTTATTTTGACAAGCGTCCAGTGCCTCTGAACCAAAGATGGCAAATTATTGGTATGCACCAGACTGGTATGTCATGACGTGCCATTGGAGCACAACTGAACATTAATCACACTGTCATCAGCAGGCTAATACGTAAACATACTGCTTCAGGTGAAGTGAAGGATGCACCGAGGTCTGGACGACCCAGGAAAAACAATGACAGGGAAGATCTTCCTTTCGTACGCCAAGCCAGACGAAGGCCAAAGTCTACTTGTACACAGCAGCGACATGGGTGGCATCCATACAACAGAGTGTCCATCAGGCCCATCAGACGACGCCTAAATTCTGCAGGATTGAGAGCAAGACGACCAATCAGACGTCCACTCCTCACAAATCAGCACCGCAATGCCCGTTTAGCCTGGTGCCAAGCACGTGCTCGCTGGAACCTGAGGACATGGAGAAGGATCCACTGGTCCGATGAAAGCAGATTTTTGCTGCATCATACAGACGGGAGGGCACGAGTTTGGAGGCAGCGAGGCACAGCATATGATCAGAGGAACATTCAAGCTGATGTTCCATTTGGGGGTGAATCCGTCATGGTGTGGGGGTGTTGTTCCTATGATTGTAAACTTGACCTCATCACAGTTCCCGGAACACTGAATGGACAGAGGTACCAGAACTTGATCCTGGACGGTGCTGCTGTGCCTCATTTCGATAACCATGCTCTCGCCACACGTCCAGTCTTCATGGACGATAATGCCAGACCACATCGTGCTCGAGCTGTTGTTCAGCATCTCCAACAACGCCTTTGAGACACTACCCTGGCCTGCCAGAAGTCCAGACATTAATCCTATTGAGCATTTGTGGGACATTTTGGGACGTAGGGTGAGAGCAATGGATCCTCCAGTTCAGAACCTTCAGGAATTGACCCATGCATTGCATGATGAGTGGCAGCAGATCCCCCAACAGAGATTCAGACGTCTGGTGACCAGCATGAGACGGCGTGTAGAACATGTTATCCAAGTGCGAGGCGGTTACACCAGATGCTGAGTTAGCCAGTCATTGTGGACCTAACTAGTGTGTTCGACATTAATGAAATGTGAACTGTGTTGTGTCTGTTGTAACGACTCCGGCAGCCATACTTATTTCACGGTGATTTTAGTGAACTTTAGTTTGCTACAATTAAACCTTCAATTAGTGCTCAAATCGGTCTTGTGTTGTCAATTTTCTGACTGAACGCTCACATGAGGCCATATAAACAGTTTAAGCACCATTTTTATGAGGTTGAAGATCCAGTTTTACTTTGTGAACAAAAGTGGGTGGTGCGATATTTATCACGAGGTGTATAGTTGAAGTCATAGCATCAAAATTATTCGATTGTCGTGTTCCCCTCTTTCTTAACTTGATACATACACCATGTACGTCTGTGTATCACACCAAACCTCAGAGCCTGACATCCGATCCCAATATTACGATCGGGCATTCTAATCCGGGTCCCCACGGGTAAGGTGATGTTCGATTTATTTTCTTTACGCACATACGCTGCCGAAACAAACATCAAGAAACAATTTACTGGTATGTTTTTATTCGATTTCAAAAATGGCAATATCCGGACCGGACTGACAGCTGTGATGGCAATATCCGTCGTGGACTAACGTAACACAATACAACATGGTAAACAAATACTGGGGGCAGGAATTTAAGTGCGTTCGACACAAGATCTTTCCTGAGAATCATAATGACACGAACGTGAAGCATGGGGAGACAGAGTCTAACAACGTTCTGTATGTTGTTGAACGCCGCACTCAGCAATATTCCAGCTATATGACGCCGGTCTGTAAATAATCGAGTCTCGACCAGACAATCCAATGATTGACATCATGGGCATCGATCCACGCAACTGGGAAACGATGACATGCATCAACCAAGTCAGCGAGCCTGACCACCCGATCCAGTCAGTCGCCTCTTACGACAAGCATAGTCGCGTTTAACAACGTACGATTGCGGGTGGCAATATCTGCTTTCAGTGACAAATTCCAAAGACTGAGTTTAACACTGTTTGAAGGGACAAACATCATAGCATCCACCCCTCCCGTCAAAGTATTCATGGGACGGGACAGATGACCAGATCACTAACAGTACATACATTGACATTCGTATTACAGTAAACAGTACATTTATTAATGTTTCATCAGGTGAAAAACATGAGCACTATTTTATATAATGGTATAACATTGGGCCGGCCCCAATACATACACATTCTGGGAGGCGGGTACCAAATGTGCGGTAATATAAATACAAAACACGACATAGGATCATCTAACATCAACTTAAACAATATACATGACTGTATTTACAACACAGGATGCACGGATATGCTTGCAGAAATACCAGATCACACTTCCTCGATTGGTTCATTCTGGGTTGAGATAATTCAGATATGAGAAGATAGATATTCCCCGCCTACCTGGTCCTGAGTCAGCCGACCAGATATGATCATTATTGGGGTGTCGCAGGACTGAAAGAAAAGTGTTCTACTCAGTAGTCAAAAGTTCCACACATGGACAGTGCAGACTCTGGAAGTCAACATGAATACACTGTTTGTGTAACGCTAAGGCTTCTAACGCTCAATCCCCTCATAGAAAATAACGAAATAACATATTTACGGAATTCTGTTTATAACTTCAAATATTAAAACACCTGGGCATTGAATACCCCCAAAACAACAAATACATGTTTCTCGACATTCTGAGTACAAAACATATCCGAAATGTTTCGATGAACTTTCCTGCCCTTACTCAAATTCTATGTTTATGGTGTGTGAGTGAGTGAGTATAGTATGACGCCGCTTTAAACAGTATTCCAGTTATATCACGGCGTGTCAGCTTAATTTGGGAGGAAAGCCCGAAGTGATGCAGGTCTCAGACGTTTTCCACTTCGGTGAAATCCACAAACTCGTACTGGTATGGTGCTGACACACCAAGAAAAATCATCGGTGCGAACCGTGATTCGAACCTTCGACCTCAGGTTTCTGACGTGCCCAAGGGACGCAACTCTCCACAACGAATTGCGGATCCTAAGACGACTGGCCGCCCGTGCCCCTATCTACCTTTGTAAGATTACTCAAGATGTCAACATCCATAAAACTGTCGCAAAGAAAACAAGTGTCTCTAACATAGGTGAACACACACAACAAATACCAACAATGGACAGAAGACGGCTATTCTGATAATATCAAACGGGCGGTAACAGTGATTTCGGGACTGAATACAATCACTCAGGTGTACACTCACAATGGGTGGGAAATATCAAATATCCATACAGATCTCTCAGCACATGCAGGACAACAAACTTGCCTTTTAGAAATAAGTTATATCCAGCAGAAAATATATTGTTTTATTTTTAAAGACCAATCCCCACTCTTTACACATTTACGCTTGGTCAAAAGCCAACAGGCACAATGGATAAATATGGTTCGAACATGAATCAGTCTCAAGTAAGTCATGTGTAGCCCATTTGAGGTTTATGTGTTCTTGTTTAGGTGACAGCCATCTTGGCCAGTTACACTGGAGACAAAACTGCCCTGGCGACTTGCGAACGCGGAGTCGACCGACATTCGGGACGTTGACGCAACTAGTTTAGTCAACCAGTCTTGATCTGGGATCTGAAAAATAGCAAAACTGTTTATCAAGGTTGTTGTTTAACGTCACACTCAGCAATATTCCAGCTATATGACTGCGGCATGAAAACAATCCGTGTTTGGACGAGACTTTCAAGAGACTGATATCAAATGTAATGTCTCACCTTGTAGTGATACGATGACACGCAATCAAGGAGAGGTGAAATGGGGTTTAACGTCGCGTCCAAGATTATTGCACTTATATAGCGACGTACATGCACGTGTGTGTGTTTGTGTGTGTGGCTGCTTGTACTAGTCCGGACTGATGCCGATTTATAGTGCTAGCTCACTGAGATACCATGCCGCAGTTTAACATGAATATCCCACTCAGACACAGTATACTGACTCCGAGCCGACCAGTCCTTGTTTTAGCCCCTTAATGCCGAGCGCCAGACAGGGTAACAACAAGTACCATCTTTTAACGTCTTTTGGTATGACGCGGCCGGGGATCGAACCCCGGACCTTCCGCTCTCCGGGCGGACGCTCTAGCACAAGACCACGGAGGCGGTGACACGCAATCAAATAAATGACCGAGTCTGGCCACCACAGCAGACTTTCCAGGTACATTTTATATGAATATGGTGTCGTGTTTGTTTTTTAAAATAAGTCGGAATGACAGACAAATTAAAACGTCAATATTTTGACGTTATACATTAACACAATGAGAAATACTGTGGCGTATGTCTCCACACCTTACAAATTGAGCGAAATTCGTAAATGCTGTTATTACAAAATCCATGTCCTCACGCATGCGCATAGTATCACAGATTTTGATATTTTCTTAAAGATGAACATGTTCTCGTTATGTGGTTTAAATATTCAGAAACATAAAGGACAATAAATGATATGTTGATGCAAAACTGGGACCGCACAGTGATTCCCTGTATGCCTTTAATTCAATTGTGAAGTAACCCCCTTGTTTCTTTTAAGTGATTGGTTTAACGCCCCTTTGAACAATATTCCAGTTATATCACGCGTGTCAGCTTTATATGTGTGTGTGTGTGTGTGTGTGTGTGTGTGTGTGTGTGTGTGTGTGTGTGTGTGTGACCCGAATTGATGCGGGTCTCTGACGTTTACAACTTTGGTGACATCTACGAGGATATTGGTGCTGACAGGTAACCAGGGCGAAATTGGATTAACACCCACGATCACATATTTCTGCACAGCGAATTGTAGCGCCTTGGACGAGATGTGCCCAGTATTTCTTTTAAACAGTTACGAATAAAAACAGATCTTAAATATATCTAGCTCACAAAAATCTTTAATACACAGAACACAAACCAGCATCGCCCTTGGTTATATTTTGGATACCAGCCTCAAGTACCTCAACTGAGCTACACATGCAGTACCTTTTTTCACTAAATTCGAGTCGGTGAGTGAGTTGGGTTTAACGCCGCTTTAACATTATTCAAGTAATATCACGGCGTGTCAGCTTAATGTGGGAGAAAGTCCGAAGTGATTCAGGTCTCAGAGGTTTACCACTTCGGTGAAACCCACGAGCACGGGTATGGTGCTGACAAACCTAGAAACATAATCGGGGCGAACCGGGATTCGAACCCACAATCATAGGATTCTGGCGTGCCCAAGGGACGCAACTCTGCACAGCGAATAGCGGCGCCTTAGACGACTGGGCCACCCGTACCCCCCGCCTTATCCGAAACGATCTCAGGTTTCTGGCGGAAAACTATAATCATTATCGCATATATTCAGACAGGGATCATTTATCAAGAAATATAATATGGAGGCGTATCAAGTTTGTTCTCGTGATTCTCCAGAGTGATTGAGTATGATTTAACGCCGCTTTTAGCAATACTCTTGCAATACCACGGCAGAGCTCTGGACTAAGGTTCATTACTACTTACATCATCAAAATCTTGGAATCCAGGGTTGCCAAAAGCTATCTCCGTGACTAATTCTTCAGACTCTTCATCTTTTGATTTCCTGAATGTTGGGTTGCGGAACTTGATGATGCTCACCAAGTCGATGCCTTTCCTGACGAAGTCAAACATCACAGGAATATCATGAAGGAAACTTATATTTAACACGTCAACGCCAGAGAATAACCAGTCTCGATTATCAGCCGAAACAGATTCCAGTTGGCGAAAAAGGCAAAATAGCGGCGAAATTTACTACATGAATTTGTTTGTTTGTTGTTTAACGCCGCACTCAGCAATATTCCAGCTATATGACGGCAGTCTGTAAATAATTGAGTCTGGACCAGACAATCCAGTGATTGATATGATCATCGATCCACGCAATTGGGATTTATGACATGCATCAACCATGTCAGCGACCCTGACCACCCGATGTCGTTAGTCGCCTCTGACAAGCATAGTCACCTCTTACGGCAAGCATGGGGTGCTAAAGACCTATCCTACCCTGGATCGTCACTGGTCATATGAATTGGTATTAGTATATGAATGGGTCACTAAAAATTAGTGATGACAGTGTTCGCGAAACGATAAGTATGTCCTGTCCACAGGTAAGAAGTGCGAATACTAGTACTTGATACAGCAAATAGTTCAATTATTATTTAAATATTAACAGACATATTCCATGGTCATGTTTTAACATTAAGCCAATACCATGTCAACCAGTAATGTTCCAACAACCCTTTCAGATTCCTGCCATTACCTTTTGGAGCGGAGGAAATAGATAGCCCCAGCAGCACACGCCGTGAAGAGAAGAATGGCCAAGACCACGCCTGCAACCCACGCCTTGCTCGTTTCCTCAACCTTCTCCTTCATCTTCTCCAGTGCAGTGATGGAGACTTCACAGCGGAAACCAGCGTAGCCCGGCGGGCAGCTAACACGAGAGAACAGAGGCAGTGATGGGAGACGTTTGGGATGAGTGAGTGAGTGAGTGAGTATGGTTTTACGCCGCCTTTAGCAATATGCCAGCAATATCTTGGCGGGGGACACCAGAAATGGGCTTCACACATTGTACCCATGTCAGAAATCGAACCTGGGTTTTCGGCGTGACGAGCGAACGCTTTAACCACCAGGCTACCCGACCGGCCTACCTTTGGGATGATGAAGCACAGAACAGAGGCAGTGAGGGGAGACGTTTGGGATGATGAAGCACAGAACAGAGGCAGTGAGGGGAGACGTTTGGGATGATGAAGAACAGAACAGAACAGAGGCAGTGAGGGGAGACGTTTGGGATGATGAAGCACTAAACAGAGGCAGTGAGGGGAGACGTTTGGGATGATGAAGCACAGAACACAGGCAGTGAGGGGAGACGTTTGGGATGATGAAGCACAAAACAGAGGCAGTGAGCGGAGACGTTTGGGATGATGAAGCACAGAACAGAGGCAGTGAGCGGAGACGTTTGGGATGACGAAGCACAGAACAGAGGCAGTGAGGGGAGACGTTTGGGATGATGAAGCACAGAACAGAGGCAGTGAGGGGAGACGTTTGGGATGACGAAGCACAGAACAGAGGCAGTGAGGGGAGACGTTTGGGATGATGAAGAACAGAACAGAACAGAGGCAGTGAGGGGAGACGTTTGGGATGATGAAGAACAGAACAGAGGCAGTGAGCGGAGACGTTTGGGATGACGAAGCACAGAACAGAGGCAGTGAGGGGAGACGTTTGGGATGACGAAGCACAGAACAGAGGCAGTGAGGGGAGACGTTTGGGATGATGAAGAACAGAACAGAACAGAGGCAGTGAGGGGAGACGTTTGGGATGATGAAGAACAGAACAGAGGCAGTGAGCGGAGACGTTTGGGATGACGAAGCACAGAACAGAGGCAGTGAGGGGAGACGTTTGGGATGATGAAGAACAGAACAGAACAGAGGCAGTGAGGGGAGACGTTTGGGATGATGAAGAACAGAACAGAACAGAGGCAGTGAGGGGAGACGTTTGGGATGATGAAGCACAGAACAGAGGCAGTGAGGGGAGACGTTTGGGATGATGAAGAACAGAACAGAACAGAGGCAGTGAGGGGAGACGTTTGGGATGACGAAGCACAGAACAGAGGCAGTGAGGGGAGACGTTTGGGATGATGAAGAACAGAACAGAGGCAGTGAGGGGAGACGTTTGGGATGATGAAGCACTAAACAGAGGCAGTGAGGGGAGACGTTTGGGATGATGAAGCACAGAACAGAGGCAGTGAGGGGAGACGTTTGGGATGATGAAGAACAGAACAGAACAGAGGCAGTGAGGGGAGACGTTTGGGATGATGAAGAACAGAACAGAACAGAGGCAGTGAGGGGAGACGTTTGGGATGATGAAGCACAGAACAGAGGCAGTGAGGGGAGACGTTTGGGATGATGAAGCACAGAACAGAGGCAGTGAGGGGAGACGTTTGGGATGACGAAGCACAGAACAGAGGCAGTGAGGGGAGACGTTTTGGATGATGAAGAACAGAACAGAGGCAGTGAGGGGAGACGTTTGGGATGATGAAGCACTAAACAGAGGCAGTGAGGGGAGACGTTTGGGATGATGAAGCACAGAACAGAGGCAGTGAGGGGAGACGTTTGGGATGATGAAGCACAGAACAGAGGCAGTGAGGGGAGACGTTTGGGATGATGACGCACAGAACAGAGGCAGTGAGGGGAGACGTTTGGGATGATGAAGCACAGAACAGAGGCAGTGAGGGGAGACGTTTGGGATGATGAAGAACAGAACAGAACAGAGGCAGTGAGGGGAGACGTTTGGGATGACGAAGCACAGAACAGAGGCAGTGAGGGGAGACGTTTGGGATGATGAAGAACAGAACAGAACACAGGCAGTGAGGGGAGACGTTTGGGATGATGAAGCACAGAACAGAGGCAGTGAGGGGAGACGTTTGGGATGATGAAACACAGAACAGAGGCAGTGAGGGGAGACGTTTGGGATGATGAAGAACAGAACAGAACAGAGGCAGTGAGGGGAGACGTTTGGGATGACGAAGCACAGAACAGAGGCAGTGAGGGGAGACGTTTGGGATGATGAAGCACAGAACAGAGGCAGTGAGGGGAGACGTTTGGGATGATGAAGAACAGAACAGAACAGAGGCAGTGAGGGGAGACGTTTGGGATGACGAAGCACAGAACACAGGCAGTGAGGGGAGACGTTTGGGATGATGAAGCACAGAACAGAGGCAGTGAGGGGAGACGTTTGGGATGATGAAGAACAGAACAGAACAGAGGCAGTGAGGGGAGACGTTTGGGATGATGAAGCACAGAACAGAGGCAGTGAGGGGAGACGTTTGGGATGATGAAGCACTAAACAGAGGCAGTGAGGGAAGACGTTTTGGATGATGAAGCACAGAACAGAGGCAGTGAGGGGAGACGTTTGGGATGATGAAGCACTAAACAGAGGCAGTGAGGGGAGACGTTTGGGATGATGAAGCACAGAACACAGGCAGTGAGGGGAGACGTTTGGGATGATGAAGAACAGAACAGAGGCAGTGAGGGGAGACGTTTGGGATGATGAAGCACAGAACAGAGGCAGTGAGGGGAGACGTTTGGGATGATGAAGAACAGAACAGAACAGAGGCAGTGAGGGGAGACGTTTGGGATGATGAAGCACAGAACAGAGGCAGTGAGGGGAGACGTTTGGGATGATGAAGCACTAAACAGAGGCAGTGAGGGGAGACGTTTGGGATGATGAAGCACAGAACAGAGGCAGTGAGGGGAGACGTTTGGGATGATGAAGCACTAAACAGAGGCAGTGAGGGGAGACGTTTGGGATGATGAAGCACAGAACACAGGCAGTGAGGGGAGACGTTTGGGATGATGAAGAACAGAACAGAACAGAGGCAGTGAGGGGAGACGTTTGGGATGATGAAGCACAGAACAGAGGCAGTGAGGGGAGACGTTTGGGATGATGAAGAACAGAACAGAACAGAGGCAGTGAGGGGAGACGTTTGGGATGATGAAGCACAGAACAGAGGCAGTGAGGGGAGACGTTTGGGATGATGAAGCACTAAACAGAGGCAGTGAGGGGAGACGTTTGGGATGATGAAGCACAGAACAGAGGCAGTGAGGGGAGACGTTTGGGATGATGAAGCACAGAACAGAGGCAGTGAGGGGAGACGTTTGGGATGATGAAGCACTAAACAGAGGCAGTGAGGGGAGACGTTTGGGATGATGAAGCACAGAACAGAGGCAGTGAGGGGAGACGTTTGGGATGATGAAGCACTAAACAGAGGCAGTGAGGGGAGACGTTTGGGATGATGAAGCACAGAACAGAGGCAGTGAGCGGAGACGTTTGGGATGATGAAGCACAGAACAGAGGCAGTGAGGGGAGACGTTTGGGATGATGAAGCACAGAACAGAGGCAGTGAGGGGAGACGTTTTGGATGATGAAGCACAGAACAGAGGCAGTGAGGGGAGACGTTTGGGATGATGAAGCACAGAACAGAGGCAGTGAGGGGAGACGTTTGGGATGATGAAGCACTAAACAGAGGCAGTGAGGGGAGACGTTTGGGATGATGAAGCACAGAACAGAGGCAGTGAGGGGAGACGTTTGGGATGATGAAGCACAGAACAGAGGCAGTGAGGGGAGACGTTTGGGATGATGAAGCACAGAACAGAGGCAGTGAGGGGAGACGTTTGGGATGATGAAGCACAAAACAGAGGCAGTGAGCGGAGACGTTTGTGATGATGAAGCACAGTGAGTGAGTTTGGTTTTACGCCGCCTTTAGCAATATTCCAGCAATATCACGGCGGGGGACACCAGAAATGGGCTTCACACATTGTACCCAGATGAAGCACAGAACACAGGCAGTGAGGGGAGACGTTTGGGATGATGAAGCACAGAACAGAGGCATTGAGGGGAGACGTTTGGGATGATGAAGCACAAAACAGAGGCAGTGAGCGGAGACGTTTGTGATGATGAAGCACAGTGAGTGAGTTTGGTTTTACGCCGCCTTTAGCAATATTCCAGCAATATCACGGCGGGGGACACCAGAAATGGGCTTCACACATTGTACCCAGATGAAGCACAGAACACAGGCAGTGAGGGGAGACGTTTGGGATGATGACGCACAGAACAGAGGCAGTGAGGGGAGACGTTTGGGATGATGAAGAACAGAACAGAGGCAGTGAGGGGAGACGTTTGGGATGATGAAGAACAGAACAGAGGCAGTGAGGGGAGAAGTTTGGGATGATGAAGCACAGAACAGAGTCATCTCAATCTTATCCCAAATGGAGTGAATGTTGTTTCACATCACACTCTGGAATTATTTCAGAATATTCACGACGGCCTGTAAATAATCGAATCTGGACCAGACAAACCAGTGGTCAATATTATGAGCACGTCCCTTCTCGACTGGGCACGATGACACGCAACCAGCCACATCACCAAAATTGTACACAGAGGTCATGTGATGTTAACAGTTATATCACTTGAAGATGAGAGCGTACTACCTCGATTATCCAGCTTGACAGATCTCAGTTCTATCTATACACATGACCAGAAACTAAGCATTAACCACTTGTTCAGACATGTCCTACATTAAACAAAGTGTTGTGATTCAATGTTGGAGTGAGTGAGTTGGGTTTAACGCCGCTTTTAACAGTATTAGTTATATCACGGCGTGTCAACCTAATGTGGGAGGAAAGCCTGAAGTGATGCAGGTCTCAGACGTTTACCACTTTGGTGAAACCCACGAGAATGGGTATGGTGCTGACAAACCAAGAAACAGAATCGGGGCGAACCGGGATTCGAACCCACAATCATAGGTTTCTGGCGTGCCCAAGGGACGCAACTCTGCATAGCGAATCGCGGCGCCTTAAACGACTGGGCCGCTCGTGCCCCGGATTCATTGTTGGAAACACAACAGAATAGAAAACAAACAGAACTCATGACACTGCCATCACACACATAATAAAGCCAGCAATAGATACTGATTGATTAGAGCTATGCGAAGAAGTTTAAAACCGCGCATTTCAACAACAAGTATCAGCGCCCAGTCCACACTACGAATCGGACTGTCACATTATACAGTGAAAAACGATGATTGTCAACCCAGGTATCACCACTGACTCTGCAATCAGTACATGGTGTATCCAACCCTGTTATTGATGGCATTGGCGAGGCGTCTCATGCAGCTAATCAGATGTCTGATTTTCAACATTGGCGTCCTCTGCCATATCCGGTGCAGAGTGAGTGAGTGAGTGGGTTTACGCCGCTTTTAGCAATATTCCAGCAATATCACGGCGGGGGACACCAGAAATGGGCTTCACACATTGTACCCATGTCGGGAATCGAACCCGGGTCTTCGGCGTGACGAGCGAACGCTTTAACCACTAGGCTACCCGACCGCCCCCCGGTGCAGAGCCTGGGTCAGTTCATTTAATTAATGTGTGATGCACGTGCAGTACATTTATACAACATGCTGACACGTTAGGGTTCCATTGTTTGTCATTTATTTTCGTAACTGGGTTTTGAATCAGGTTGTGCTTAATTAATGCTCTTGTATATATACCCCTGGGCGAGATGATCTTTGTTACGCCACATCAAGCAAATTGAAATAAACAGCTTTATCAGGAGAGGCATGCACATACCATGACCCAGAATCACACACGGTGAAGTTATTTCATGCTCGATTTGAAGAACGGTTATATCAAACTTAAACTCAATACATGCTAAAGACATTAGGACAAACCCTTAAATGACCCAGCATACCTGAGTCGACATTGTGAAGAAGACTGTTTGGGTGGAGCCTCATACAAATATGCAGTTAGCTTACCTCCATATATATATATGTGTGTGTGTGTGTGTGTGTGTGTGTGTGTGTGTGTGTGTGTGTGTGTGTGTGTGTGTGTGTGTGTGTGTGTGTGTGTGTTCAACTTACGAAAGGGATACTCAGATATGTCACTATTTAAATACACACTTGACATATGACAATCAGTATTGCGCATCATGGTAATATACAAAAATCCCTATCAAAAGTGGAGTATCTCTTCTCTAGATTCAGCCTGACATTATTTTTCTATATACTCATGTCTTGGTTGTTTGCAGATCACAAACCTGCAGTATGAACCGTGGGTCGCGTTTTTCTTCTGGATTCCACCATTCAAACACTCCATCCCTCTCATCACCTCGTTCTGCAAGTCTGGCACGGATATGTCTGGGCAGAAAGTAAAAGGACATTTGGAAATCACTGTTTGGTATCTGTATATTTCCCAACAAGGCGTTACTGTTACGTTGATTAATCATTAGTTCCATATTCCTATATGCAAAGGGTCGTGTACGGTTCTGGAGTACGTTGGTGTCGGTACCTGGGTGCCATTGTACAAAACAGCCTTAGCGCTACGACTGTCGTAAGTCTATGTTAAGGCATGGGAGTTACGATCCCCGCAGCACTAAGATCGCTTTGAACAACGGCACCCTGGTCTACATACTTGTTTGGTGTAAACAGTTAGATATATATACAAGAACCACGAAGTGCCAGATCTGCAGAGTGATAGACTAGTTATGGTGTTGTTGCCCTGGAGCGCCTAACCCTAGCTAGGCTGAGAGTGAGACCTTTCTTGTATTCATCTCTGGACCAAGGCTAAAAAACCAAAGGCTTATATATCCATCTGACATGGAATAAGTCATAAACAATGAGTTATGAAATTGCACAGCTCGTTCAGGATGGCTGACATTTGAAGTACGTAATTGGAATACGATGACATGCATCAACCAAGTCTAACCACCCAATCCGGTCAGTCGCAGTATTGCCTTTTATGGCAAGCATTGGATACTGAAGACCAATATTCTAACCCAGATTTTCACGGGTCCATTTTATAAGTAATGGCAAGCAAGATTATACGCATAACCATGTAATAGCTACAGAATAATTATTAGCGTTTGTTCATTCAGACAAAGGTTTGCCCAAATCGGTCGCTATGAAAACTATTTAAGAAGCGAAGGAAAGTTCTTACAGTGGTGCAATACCGCCACGCTAGACAATGCAGCCCTACTACGTGTTTGGCTTGTTTTGACCGATATGGAAGTACTCGAGTTGTGTATGATTGCATTGTGAACAGATCAGTGAGTTGTACGTACTGTGGCACTTCTTGTCGATGGTGGAGTACTTCATGCCGTCCCGACACATACACCGCGTCTTGCGGCCTGGCACCAGGATACACAGTTGCTTGCACTTCGTCGCCTGGCACGGGTTGCCCTTGCCTGAAGTTATGCAATGGATATTTCATCTCATCAACAAGAAAAAACTGCAATATCTCAATGTACTTAAAAGGTGACTCCGAGCCGACCAGTCCTTAAGCCCCTTAATGCCGAGCCACACCCTCTCACCTTCCGGCCACACCCCCTCACCTCTCCACACTCCTTCCCATATGTCCAACGACACACCACCCCACGTGCTCGTTCATAACACCCCCTCACAGGGCTGAAAGATCTCATCCGCACCTCTGGACCTGAAGAGCTTACCATCAGTTACGACCTGTCGGACAGGGTGGACGACCTTGACCCCTCGTGGTTGCAGCAGCTCCTGCAGCGCTATCCTTTTCTTGTGGCTTGTCTCCTTGAATCTCGCATACTGAACCACATAATAAGGTTCGCTCAGGAACAAACTGTTCTCAAAGAAGTCCAGTGAAAACGGGTTGGAGGACAATCTCTCCAGCACAGGAGCACTGAAAAATGGAGAGAGAAAAGAAATCATCTAGGCCTGTTGTAACTACATTCACCATTTCTAATGTTCACACTCGGCCCTTTACTACTGTATTGGATAGCCTTTGTCCGTTAACACTGACCACGTATCCCCATTCCACAGGTTAGGGAGTGAGTGAGCAAGTTGGGTTTAACGCCGCTTTTAACATTATTTAAGTTATAACGCGGCGTGTCAGCTTAATGCGGGAGAAAAACCCGAAGTGATGAAGGTCTCAGACGTTTACCGCTTTGGTGAAACCCACGAGCACGGGTATGGTGGGTGCGAGATAGACATTATATGGAGGCCATCCGTCTCGAGGGGAACATGGGTTATGTACCCTCTATGTTAGTTTATTTTATCGTAATTATCTTGCCCAGTTATATTAAATGTATGTCTTATGTATGCATGCTTTGGTGTCCGAATCAGTAAGGATACCACAGTTAGGCAGACGACAGAAAACCAGTTGCTACCAAGATCTACTTCAATCGGAAAAAAATCGCGAATATCCAGAGAACGGCATCTACATCAATCATTTGAGTTACAAACTTGCGATTTGAATGTTGCAATTGTAATGCCAACAGTTTGGCAATTCGAACTGGGAACACAAGAAATGTATGCGGGGACATTGAAAATAATAGAATGGGTCTTAGCCAATAAGAATCCGACATGCATGTGTAAGGTACGATAACAAAACATATACAATGATCAAAGGCCTTACTGTTCCTTTCCTGCAAAGGTACAAGTACTGATTGAACTCAGTCCCACGTCGGCCCAGTAAAGCCTGTTTGTGACGGAGTCCAAATTGAGAGCGACTGGGCGCTGCAAGCGTGACCTCACGATGTCCACCTGGTGAGTCCCGTCCATGAAGCCGCGGGCGATTGTCATCCGCCCCTCTGTGTCCGCCAGCCAAAACATGAGTCTGAAGTAAATATAGCGCCAGAATATAAGCAGTCTCGACTATATAATCTCAGAGACTCCATTGGGCCCAAAAGGTAAAATAGCAGTGAAAGTAATAAGAAGGATCGCTGAAAATCGGTGATGACACCAGGTGTTCGTGAAAAGGTCATGTCCTGGCCTACCAGAGGTGAGGTGAAATTGGGTTTAACGTCGCGTCCAAGATTATTGCACTTATATAGAGACATGCATGCACGTGTGTGTGTGTGTGTGTGTGTGTGTGTGTGTGTGTGTGTGTGTGTGTGTGTGTGTGTGTGTGTGTGTGTGTGCTAGAACGGACTGATGCCGATTTATAGTGCTAGCCCACTGAGATACCATGCCGCAGTTTAACATGAATACCCCACTCAGACACAGTATACTGACTCCGAGCCGACCAGTCCTTGTTTTAGCCCCTTAATGCCGAGCGCCAGACAGGGTAACAACAAGTACCATCTTTTAACGTCTTTTGGTATGACGCGGCCGGGGATCGAACCCCGGACCTTCCTCTCTCCGTGCGGACGCTCTACCACTAGACCACGGAGGCGGTCTGGCCTACCAGAAGCAGTAGTACTTCCTGATGCAAATCCCGAAGTTGGACGTAAGACATATTGACAAGAACATGAATAAAACTCATAAGGGTTATTTAGCATTTATTATTTGTATGGTAAGCATGTGTAGGACATTTCCAAATATGACTTGTACCAATGGTCCCTTTTTCTGGTGAACGGTTGACTTGCCAAAGCATGTATTTGTGACGGGTTTGTGACCGATATACTCATTATATCGCCAACAACTGGTATCATCGCTTTATGACAGTGGCTCACAAACACATGTCCATGCAACAGTCGTAATCCTACAACCCGACACTGGTTTTGGCAGAGATATCTTATGAATAAGGAAAGGGAGAAGGTGCGGCATCCAGAACACCACTAAACAAGGTTTGTCATCCGCAAACCACTAAACAAGGTTAGGCATCCGTAAACCACTAAACAAGGTTAGGCATTCGTAAACCACTAAATAAGGTTAGGCATCCGTAAACCACTAAACAAGGTTAGGCATCCGTAAATCACTAAACAAGGTTAGGCATCCGTAAACCGATAAACAAGGTTAGTCATCCGTAAACCACCAAACAAGGTTAGTCATTCGTAAACCACCAAACAAGTTGAGGCTTTTGGAAAACAACTTAACAGCGCCCAGCACCCTGACTAACAAAAGGAGGTTGGCACCCTCTGCTCTCAGTGCTGGATGTGGCGAGTGAGAAAGCAATTTCAAATAGCTTTGGACACTTTAACTCGAACATAAATGTTATCAAACGGTATTTAATATTATATAATATTGTATTAAACACAGCCACCCACCCCAGTATTCATTTTATTAACACCACCAATACAGTACACAGAAACAAACAAAACATTATTCAAAAGGCAGCAATCACCTACCCTTCGGGCGGATGCAGAGTAATGGAGGATGGTATTGTTCTCCTCCTTTTCAGAAGAGTTATGCACACTCCCCTCCTGTCTATGCTACAGACGGTGATTAACCCTTTGTCATTTAAGTTCTGGGTGTAGTACAGGTTCCTGGCCAGCCAATCAACAGCCATACCTGTCATCTTCCCCGAGGTGCGAACTTTTGTTGTATGCGCCGCCGCGTACATTTTGATGACGGAGATATTACGACCATTAACGACCTGAAGAGAGTTAATGAGATGAGTTGCTTTGAGTGAGTGAGTGAGTAAGGTTTTACGCCGTTTTAGCAATATTCCAGCAATATCACGGCGGGGGACACCAGAAATGGGCTCCACACATTGTAACCATGTTGGGAATCGAACCCGTGCCTTCGGTGTGACGGGCGAACGCTTTAACAACAATGCTACCCGACCGCCTCTGAGTTGCTTTGAGATGCAGCTTTGAAAGTTGTACATTTGAACCAATGAAGAGCAATGCATCTTCCTTTGGATTTTGTTTGTTTGTTTGTTGTTTAACACCCCATTCAGCAATATTCCAGCTATATGACGGCAGTCTGTGAATAATCGAGCAATCCATTGATTGACATCATGAGCATCGATCCACGTAATTTGGATACGATAACATGCATCAACCAAGTCAGCGAGCCTGACCATCCGATCCGATAGTTGCCGCTTCCTTTGGTGAACCCACGAGAGAAAGATATGGTTCTGACAAAGCAAGGGTCATACTCGGGGGCTATCATGGATTCGAACCCACGATCAGCGGATCCTGTAATGTGGAATAAATCCCCAAAGTAAACAGATCGTAGACGTTTAACATTTAGGTGACACCACGTTTGGTGCTGGCAAACCAAGGGTCTTTGTCCCTGCCAATCTGGGATTCGAACCAACGACCTGTGAGATACGGGGCGAGACGCAGCCTTGGAAACAACGAGGACATCCATGTGTCATGGAATGATTAGAGCAATTAGCAGTATTTTGGCAAGTAAAACTTTGTGCAGAATTCACATAAGATATGACTGTGTAAACGCCCTCCTACCTCTTCAGTTGACCAGAAAATATGTCTCCTTTCTGGCTGTGTGAGTACATCAATGAACATCGGCGGTGGTGACGTCTCGATGGTGTAGTCGTTAGATTTGGTGTTGAGGTTGATCTTGCTGATGCCGTGAAGGTGAGCAATCAGAAGGTACGGACGCTCACCTATAGGAGAGAAACACGAGGCATTTCATCAGGGGATGTGTTTGGCAAGAAATGCTGTATGTCTTCCGAAACTGAACTGAAACTGGCAACTACAGAAAACAGGTTAACATATGTATTTGTAGATAACTAAAAGTACATAAAGCAGCATGCAATATCAATATGTATTCCCTCAATGTGTCCACAAGTTCTTGAACGAAATCAATTAAACGTTACAGACTCACCCAGTGCTTTACACGTGTGGCCATCAATCGCGAGGCTGTAGCCTTCCGTGCAGTGACAAGAGTAACCTCCCTTGAGATTCTCACATATTTGCCCGCATGTCCCATTCATGTGTTCACACTCGTTGATATCTGACAATAAACTATACGAGCTAAAAAGACGTCGTTTCAGACTTTCTAAGGGCATGGCAATGACGAAGCAGAAAAAAACAAGTTTCGATTTCCAAACGAATTAAATGAAATTTAAGTCTGTAAAGAATATAACAATGATGACCAATGTATAACTGCTAGACCTATATAAGCAATTATGTCTTTGAAATATCTCACCCAAACAGCTTCTTAAATCTTCTCCCAAATCGTAGCCATGGCGACAAATACACCGTGCACCTCCGTTGGTTATCGTGCAGTTATGACTACAGCCAAGGTTTGCAAACTTGCAGGATTTACCTTAAAGAAAAATCGAAAACAAGTAGATTCATTTGCCCTTTATATGACTCAGAATAACTATGGTTTAATGCTGGCCGAGCTAAGGTGAGGGGATACCGGGTTTAACGTCACGTATGACCATGCGCATACAGTTCAGGTCGGTCTTGTAAGGAAATCATGCAACGTGGGCTATGTTCGCACATTCTGTCAAATATAAGGATTCTATTACACGACAATCTACATGGTTCAAAATATTTCAGATCGTAATTTAATGAATAAGGTAAGGCAATATTCCAGCTATACGACGTCGATTTGTAAATAATCGAGTATGGACCAGACAATCCAGTGATTGCCATAGTCATCGATCTAGGCATTTGAGAAACGATAACACCCATTAACTAAGCCAGCGAGTCTGAGCACCCGATCCTGTCTCGCTTCCAGTGAGTAACGTTGGTTCCTGAAATCAATTTTTTTAATTCTAACCCGGACCTTCAGTAAGTTAAATATATTTAAATGTGCAGTCAACATATTGTCAACCGTGGGAAGGTCAAAATGTGGAAAGGGAGAGTATGGTTTTATGACTTTCAGCAAAATTCCGGCAATATCACGGCAGGGGAAAAACGAAATGGGCATCACATAGTCTACTCATGTGAAGAATTGAGCATGGTACCTCGGTGTGACCAGAGGACGCTAACCCCAAACGTCCCAAACGTGTAAAGCGAGAACTCTACGCACCACACAGTTCCGTCTCATCAGATCCGTCCGGACAGTCAGGCTTGAGGTCACACTGGAGCTTCCCCTCAATACACTGGCCACTCAGGCACTGGAATGTACCCGCGGGACACGCGCCTGGCAAGAGGTGGAATAATCAGAACATTCATCTTTGCAACATATACGAAAACATAAGTTATATCTCTATTTCAAACGTCGTGCGTGCGTGCGTGCGTGCAGCTGCACTTTGCAATATTGCCGCTATACGACGGCGATCTGTAAATAATCGAATTTGAACCAGCCAGCCAGTGATTGATATAATGAGCATCGAGCTACGCTATTGGAATACCATAACATGCACCAACCATCGACAAACATAGTCGCCTTTTACGGCAAGCATGGGTTGCTGAAGACCTATTCTCACCGGATCCACACGGGTCATGTGAAAGGTTGACCAATTATCAAGACTTTTAGTTATATCACTGTCGTCTGTAAAGATCCGAAAATGGGACAGTCCAACCTGTGGTTGATATCATAAGTAAATATCCACATGTCGGGGTACAATGACAACCAGGTCGAACATTGTGACACTCGATCCTTTCGTCCGGATTTCAACAGGCAACACACGGAGCTGGTCACCAGTCATACACGGACAACACGTGAGGTGGAATGTAAAGCATCTTGTTTTACGCCATAGAGGCGAGGAACATTAAGGATGTAGGAATTCGAACAGGGATATTCAAGTGTCCGCTCTTCAGCATCTATCGACATCAAAGTAGGATAGAGAGAATACTGAGCAACAATGAGCATTCTGCACCTATTTCTGAGTGAGTGAGTGAGTATGGTTTTACGCCGCTTTTAGCAATATTCCAGCAATATCACGGCGGGGGACACCAGAAATGGGCTTCACACATTGTACCCATGTCGGGAATCGAACCCGGGTCTTCGGCGTGACGAGCGAAAGCTTTAACCTATTTCTGAGTGAGAGAGTGGGGTTTAACACCTTAGTGAACTCATATACAACAATCCACTCCAAAGGATGATGTGACGTAATGCGTTTTATTAAATTTTACCGCAGTTTTCCCAGTCCTCGTCGGAGCCATCTGGGCAGTCAAAGCCCACGTCACACACCAAGGACTTAGCGATGCAGTGATCTCCGGTCCGACACTTGAACTCATTTTCGCCACACTCCACTACGACAGAAAGGTTAATATAGTGAGTTTACTCTACAACACACTGTTTACTTATAACTCAGTAAGTTGATGCCACATCCAAGAGGATCACATCTGTGTGGGTTCTCCGCCGCTATCAGTATATCATGGCACAGGGAAAGTGGCTTGATCCTGTCATAGCGACGGATTTACGACAATCATTGTCTGAAAACATTTGATTTAAAAGGCTAACTACCCTGTAGCCATGACATGTGCATGTCTCCATAACTTAATTGTCATTATGTATTAGGCGCTAATCCCCGTTGTTAATCCTCACCACCATTTCATTGTATAGTGACTGTCAGCCAACCTGGGCTACTATATCAATTCCCGTTAATTACTGTTATTTATAGTATGACCGTTATTGCCTTAACTGTTCATCCCCTGAGTTGTGTCGGTTCATCACCCCCAGAAGTCCCATGTCCAGAGCAACGTCATTGTCTTTCCATTGTTGTTCATTACTATATATGTGCTACCATTACACTGTCACTAGGGTGTTAGTGAAGCTTGGTATTCCGAGCGTTGGTGTAAGGACAACCTCGAGCAGGATGTCCGCTCACCTCATGTATGCCTGAGCTGGAAGGTCCGCTCATCGCTGTGTTTGTGTTGTCAGAGCATGTATTCCGCTCAATGTGCAATTGTTGTTTATTGTTTACATGTTGTGCATAAAGTGTTCCGGAACAGTGATGTCGATTTTGTCCTTGATTCCCCCAAGAGCTAATTCTCTGTCAAAATACGCGCTGACAATACGTTGTAGTTATGTGGAGATCGAACCCAGGTCTACGGAGTGACGAGCCAACGCGCTGAAGCACTGGCTACCCCACCGCTTCCTAACAAACTAGTAGTGATTGATAGCTGCCGATGTGGAATTTCCCAAAGTTTAATATCCACATATCGGACACGATGACACACAAGGTCAGCCAGGTCGCACATTGTAACGCTCGCTTAAAAGTGGTGTAAGGCAATTTGTCGTTTTAGCCCAGCAGTCGGCATACTCCAGCTATATCACAGCGGCCTGTTCGAGCCTGGGCCGACAAACCAGTGGTGGATAGTATGACCAACGTCCCCCACCTTGGGATACGTGATCAACCAGGTCACAGGGCCCGATCAACCAGGTTTGTTGTTCAACGCCGCACTCGGCAATATTTCAGCTATATGACAGCATCGATCCACGCAATTCGGATAGGACGACATGGATCAACCAAGCCTGACTACAAGATCCCGTTAGTCGCCTTTTACGTCAAGCATGGGTTGCTGAAGACCTATTCTAATCCGGATCTTCACGTGTCAGAGCAGCAAGGTTACAGAGCCCAATGAACCAGGTCATAGAGCCCTAGCACCCAATCCAATTTACAACATGCATAGTTCACTGGGGGCAAGTTCTGAGCCAGAAACCCCACCGAGTTCTAGAATAGAAATGATTTTTGAAACACCCTTGCAAAGCCAGGCAAAGTGAACTGACGTGTTCATACATTCGGAGTATTGTGGTCTCTGGCAACACTTTCCCAATTATTTCATCTCTATACAAAACATGTTCGACGTATTCAAATTAGCCTAAGCCACCATGTTTTTGGGTGTCGGGACAAAAGGACATAAAATTAATATGTACTCACATTGACAGTTTGTTTCGTCGTCTCCATGGGGACAGTCTCTGTACCCGTTGCACATAACATCTTTTCGGACACACTTGTTGATTCCAAGAAACATGGAACACGCGTAGTCTCCCTTAGGACACTCTACACACGGAATATAGAACACATGAAATCTCCCTTAGAACGATCTACACAAGGATTATATAACAATTGGATGCTCTACACTACAAAAACAGTACTGTAACACGAGTTCTTTCCCTTTGGGCACTCTCCACAAGGAATACAGAACATATAAGGAAAGATTGCTGCAGAGCATCAATTGTTCCCCGCCATATAATGTTATATGCAGAGGAAGGAAGTGTAAGCTATGGGAGGAGAGGATTGGTGTAAAGTACAAATAGGTTGTTATTAATGTAGTTATCTTTGGAAAACACAATAAAAGAAACAGTGTCTTTAAATGGCCAGCACAAGGATAACCAAGGTAAGAAAACACATAACTGGGCTTGTCAGGCAGAAATTGGTATATACCCACTATTAGTACCAGTAATATATAAAGGATTGATTTCAAGTCCTACATAGATAACACAAGAAATGTCATTCTTACACATGCTTTGGCAGCAAATATCAATTTTTCTGGTCAAAATGTTGACTGGGTAAATAAAATAAACTTTTGAAATAGTTAACACAGAAAATGTAATGAATCCACTGTAAATAAACTTCATAAACTCCAAATGTAAAAGTATGTTCACGCATCATTGAGGGATTTCCATTTATCCAACAGCAAATACACTTACAGGTTGGTCAAGTCATCTATACATATTGAGAATTATCTTTCATATTTTAAAAACAATGCTCATAGGCCACATTTCTCAAAACCTCGTTCAAGTAATCACAAACTAAAAATTGAAACTGGTAGATATACAAAAACACAAACCCCACTGGAACGTTTCTGTGAAACATGTGATGTCTCAGAAGAGAGCAACATTATGCACCGTATAAAATACAACCAAGAAAGAGAATCATAAATAATCCCCAATCATGGTTCTCTCTGTTAAAAGGAACATTTCTTACTACTTTTACCAACAGTTATCCAGAAACGATTTCCAAGATCGGTTATATTTACAACCACAAACAAATTCCTTCTGTGTTCAACATAACCATAGTTTTGCTCTATTCTCATAGTGTTTCCAAACCATTATAATACACCTGTTCTAAAATAAAATTGTTATAATATACCTCCCTTGTATTTTGAATGCACCTGTGTGTTTTGCACTTATTGTGAATATATTTTGAAGTTTGTGATACAATAATATTGCCACTGTTTCTTCATGGAATGTTACGCAATGCATATCTCATCTAATACATCTTTGTAGCATGATTGTAACAGTTGCGTACGGGGGCACGGTTGGCCCAATCGCATAAAGCGCTGTATTCGCTATGCAGAGTTGTGTCCCTTTGGCACGCCAGAAACCTATGACAGTGTGTTCGAATCCCGGTTCGCCCCGATTATGTTTTCAGACTTAATACCCGTGACTCGTGGGGTTCGCCAAAGTGGTGAACGTCTGAGACCTGCATCACTTCGGGCTCTCCTCCTTCGTCAAGCTGATACGCCGTGATATAAGTGGAATACTATTCAAAGTAGCCTCAAACCCAACTCACTCACTCATAACTCTTGTGTACGGTTCCGTTTGGATAACTTGGTTTGTGTTGTGATTACTTACGGTTTAGATTTGAAGTATGTTTAGATGAATGTTACTGTGTTCAACCCAAACATCGTGAATATATCATGCAACCGTACTCTGTTCTGTACTTGAAACAATACGGTGCGCAACTGTGCACAGCAAGCACCATACATGTGAGGAAGACAACTTATTTCAAATTTCTCATATCAAACCCGTTATTTACATTTGTTATTCATTGAACAAAGTCAGTCTTTTGAAGCCTGGTATTAAATCGTGTTGAACAATAAGTTGCAACAGCAGTGTAAAGGGAGAAAGATTGAGTGCGTGTTACATGCTTGACCTGAATTCCTCGAAGGAACCTTTATCGCTGGCTGCCCGAATAGCATACGACACATTGCAAAGGTAGTGCGCAATAGAGCTATTCGGGTAAGGGAGATAATCACTCACTCAGTGATACAGCTTGAAAAAGATACGATGTTCGGCATTGCAATGCCAGCGCGTGATAAAGCTCTATACTACGCCAATAGCTAAAGGAGATAATCGCTGAATGCGCAATAGTTTATTCTTACAAAATATAAACCGGTTAACTTTAGCTAAAGGAGACCCGGAAACGATGACGTCACATAAGAGCGCTTACTGCTTCAAACATAACATCTGTTACTTCGTGGGTGTGGAGGCAAGGGCTTTTAGACGCAGTAATGCAGGATAAGTACACACATGTAAAACATTAAGCTTTTACTAATTTAACTTATCCTGGATCACTCCTCAATGCATCTTTTTCAAACGGTACGGCAGGTGGGCATACCTTCAGATGTGATCTACAATAAACTCGCCACAGGCACCAGCCAATCAGCAACAGCAACAGCACATCGAGTGGCCATTCCTATCGCTGGCTGCGAGAGAGTGACGTATGCGGAAGTCCAGGTATCATGGCAGTAAAATAGCTTAAGTGAAGTTAAAAACCTAGCGTGAGTCTAGTTTTACGTCGCTTTTAGCAATATTCCAGCAATATCACGGGTCACCAGAAATGGGCTTCACACATTGTACCCATGTCGGGAATTGAACCCGTGTCTTCGGCGTGACGAGCGAACGCTTTAGGTTACCCGACCGCTCCTTAAAGACCTAGAACTGACGTACCAAGCCAATGCGTGCACTATGTAAACTCTAGTCTGGGGCGACAGGCACCAGAGAGTTCGAAAGGTTGACTCCGGTATGAGGAATACTCAGAGGCGCCTTGGGGTGGTGACCTGCTGGGCAACCACCAAAGATCCAAAGCTGTGGATGCTTTCCACGTCTTCCAATGCAACATCCCTCAGGTCGTGGCTGGCAAGGACGGTGTCCGAGCGCCAGAAGCAGCCCTTCATAATGGCGTGGATTGAGGAGCTGCTGTGAAGCGCCATTGTAGAGGCAACCGCCCGGATCTCGTGTGGGTTGCTGGCTCTAGGAGGGTTCAGTCCAGCGGCTTCATAAGCCTGAAGAATGATGACGTGAAGCTACAAGGTGATCGCGTAGCAGCTGACTCCCACCTGCAATGCCCCAGATACCGTGATAAAAGGGGACGGCGGCTTCGACAATCCTTGGAACGTCACTATCGAAGAGAGGGACGGAAAGGTGAAGGATCTGTCCGAACTGTGGTTCTGAAAGATCGCACCGTACGAAGTAAGGTGACCAGTTCCATCCCCGGGTGGTCAGGCTCACTGACTCGGTCGATGTATGTCATCGTATCCCAATTGCGTGTATCGATGCTCATGATGTCAATCACTGGATCCAGACTCGATTATTTACAGACCGCCGCCATATTGCTGGAATATTGCTAAGTGCGGCGTTAAACAACAAAGAAACAAACAAAACAAAAACACTCGTTCTTATATCGAAGTGACGACGAAAGGTGGTTCCTCGTTACTCCGGTGTACTCATCGGAGATCAACGGAACGGTCATAAGAATCATAAAATAGACGCTGTATCTAGTAGATAAAACTGAAGATATTGTAATTCCTTGGTCTGAAGGATCAAACCGTAAGGTTATCATTTCCATTTCCTGAACGTTGTATAAGCGCACCCGTTCTTATATCGAGGTGAAGAAGCGTGGTGCCTCGTTACTGCGCGTGTTGGCATGGACTGAAGTTAGTGACTCGGTCACATTGATGTACTGCGACAGGCGTCTGATCGAGTGGTTGCAGCATTACGTACAATTAAGTAATCCTGCAACCGATGTGAAGAAATACACTGCATGGCTCCCATTCCGGTCGGAGATGTTTACTGTCAGAATTCGTGACATGTAAATCACCCTGCGCAGTAGCCGAGAAACCAGCCTGGTTAGGTGAGTATGCTGCGCTGGCGCCACACATGGACAATCCCCAGTCAACTGTGTGGTAGACAAGAGAAGTGGTGTTCCCGAGTTCTGTGAAGATAGGTGTGACGTGGCCGGTGTAGGGACAAAAATGATCCCCGTGATATTTGAGACGGTTTGTCCTGACCCGTCAATGACTCACGAGAGGCGGGTACCCGGTAGTTTATAATGAAGCTGCCAAAAGGCTAAATGAGCGTGAAGATCTACCAGAGCTGGTACAGATTATGTCTACCAGAAGACACGTGAACCTATTTCAACGAGAGTACTATTGCCGTATCCTGATTACTTTAGGTAGAGGGAGAAGGCTGACGGCGGACAAGGGACTGCACCGATGACGTACAAGGTCCGTACAGTCAAGGCAGAAAGGGAAAGGATCCCGGCCCGATTTGCTTCCTTGGCAAAACGTACAACAAGACATTCTGTAATATTGATGTGATGTCATATTTATGTGGAAAATGCACGAAGGGAAACAGGAGGCATATTGAAACTGAAACTGAAAAGAGAAAAGTCGTGTAAAGCAAAGCTTAAAACACACAAAACATGGGGTAAAACCGAAAAATGGATTACCCAAGACTAAAAAGGAATTCAGATCGCAAGAAACGAATTCAAAATAGAACAATACGACCGTAATATAACCGTGACTAGAGCCACAACAAGCGGAAAAACGTTATAATATACGTATGGGGGTACCATAGAAGGCATAAACACAGCACAATATAAGAGCAAACGATTTTTAAATAAATAAGCAAAGGATGCTGGAAATCGGTAGAGCTTCAATCACAGAATACATGTCCGTGTAGGCAGTTTTGTGCTCTTATGTGACGTCATTGTTTCAGGGTCACATGCCGACTGTGTGAGGGAACTGGTTGGAACATCTTTTCTTCAGCAGCTGGACCTCACATAGATGGTCTTTCTGTCAAAAAGGGACTCATGCATTGAGTGAGTGAGTGCGTCAGTGAGTGAGTGAGTGGTTTTACACCGCTTTTTTTCAATATTCCAGCAATATCACGGCGGGGGACACCAGAATTGGGCTTCACGCATTGTGCCCATGTCGGGAATAGAACCTGAGTCTTCGGCGTGACGAGCGAACGCTTTAACCACTAGGCTACCCGACCGCCCGACTAATGCAGGATAAGTTAAAAATATAATAGTTGAAATAGATTTGTGAATGTTCAAGTAATTTCTTCGACAGCTGACACCGATGTCCCAAAGGAGGTCGCTACTAATACATGGAGGCACTACGTACCTGCTTCTAATATGTTGGTCTTCATCTTACAATCAGCTTCGTCAGATTCATCCAAGCAGTCAGGAAAGTGGTCACATTTGCTGACCAGGTCAATACACTGACCACTGGTACATGCAAACTGGGAAGGTGAACAAGTGTTGTCTGGAAGGGAAATACCACTTTGTTTGTTTGTTTGTTTGTTTGTTGTTGTTGTTTAACGCCGCACTCAGCAATATTTCAGTTACATGACGGTGGTATGTAAATAATCGAGTCTGAATCAGACAATCCAGTGAATGATATCATGAGCATCGATCCACGCAATTTGGATACGATGACATGAATCAACCAAGTCAGCGAACCTGACCACCCGATCCCGTTATAGTCGCCTTTTACGGCTAGCATTGGTTGCTGAAGACCTATTCCATCCGGATCTTCACGGGTCTTTTACATGAATATAGTTTAACATGTCGTGCCACATTAAGTATAGAAATTTGAAAGAATTACGTGGTCCTTAACTTCTTTCGAGTAGTATATGTCCACGCCATCTGGTATGTTGAGAGACCCCATATATATTTCCCAGAAGACAACTGAATAATGAAGGTCAAACGCCCTCAAATGTTTCACTAAGTGACTTACTGCAGTCGTGTTCATCGCTGCCGTCGGGACAGTCGTTGTCGCCATCACACATCCACGACTGGCTGTAGCACGTCTTGTTGTCAGAGCACAGAATCTCTTCTGGTTTACAGAGTGGGCAGTTCATCTCATCAGTGCCATCCCTGCAGTCCTTGTCGTTGTTGCAGACGTAGTGGGAAGCGGGAAGACACCGGATCCTGTCGCACCGGAACTCGTCTGCTTCACATGCGCGTTCTGTGTGGGGTGACATAACTATTAGACCTTTGATAGGGATGATCAGATGCCATTCTATTTAAATGTACACTTGACATATTAGAGAATGAGTTATGTAACATAAAACTTAGCCTAATCAAAAGTGCAGTGTACTGTAGTATATTTAAAGTCATATTTGAGTAGGTTATGAAAACGGGACAATCGCAGGCGTAGACTAACACTTAGTCAATGAAAACATTTTTTAAATAATTAAAGAAAGTTCAAGTTTAAAAAACCTTTCCTCTTCTGCTGTGAGCAAACAAGATTTAGTTTAGTTTTAACTACTCTTGCCTGGGCATTTAATAAAAAATATAAATTCAACAGTCATGGCGCCTGACTATCGCAGCCGTACCCATTGTAGGAGTTTGTGTTAATATATTGATTAACCCACCAAAGACCAAACTGTATTATTACCTCATTGTATTAATATACTTTTTATCATTAATTAATGTGGGGATTAGAGAATAATACACCCGTGACTCACCTGGGCAATTGACCTCATCACTACCATCCGCGCAGTCTGCATCCGCATCACACTTCCACAAGCCCTTGATGCAGGTGCCGTCCGCGCACTGGAACTCCTCGGTCCAACACGTCGCTGTGGGGAGACAAGGGCAGTGAAAGGCATTGAGAGGGTGAACGTCGTACTGTCAACAATGCACAGCATAGGTGGGGTGAGGTGAGGTGAGGTGAGGTGAGGTTTAACATCGCGCCCAAGATTATTGCACTTATACAGCGGCGTACGTGCATGCGTGCGTGGACCAATGCCGATTTTATAGTGCTAGCCCACTGAGGTACCATGGCGAAGTTTAGCCTGATCACCCCACTGAGACACAGTATACTGACTCCGAGCCGACCAGTTCTTATTTAAGCCCCGTTATGCCGAGCGCCAGGCAGGGTAACAACAAGTACCAACTTCTAACGTTTTTCGATGGTGATGGAACCCCGAGCGGACACTGCCACCAGACCACGGAGGAAGTTGCACAGCATCGGAGAACGAACATGTGTAACAGAGTATGGTCTTATAGCGAGTAGAGGAATATTTCAGAAACACTATGGCTCATGGGATATCAAGAATATAAAAAAAAGTCAGCAAACTGCATGTTCGGAATTATAGAGACCAATGCTTCATCCACTCCACAGATGCTTAAGTATCAGATCACTAAATTTATATTGTCTTCAACTCTTTCTGTAAGTAAAGCCACATTACAACAATCTTGATTCTCGTCACCGTTCGACCTTTTGTTGTGGGATCTTTTTAATAGCAAAATTCGGCTCCGGACTTTCGTTTCATTTTCCATTCCGAAGTTGCACTTTTTGATGTCACCTGTTCTGGCTGTCAGTAATGTGAGAAAGACTGCGAGGTATAAAGCTTTGGATTGGTGTCACTTGTTTACTACAATTGTTAATTTAAGGTACAATTTGAATGACAATTCGACATTTCTACCCATATTTTGTGACGAGAAGATTTCCAGTAATATGGTGTTATATGTGAAGGTGTACACATGCAAATTTCACCTGGACAGCCCTCTTCGTCGGAACTATCTGGACAGTCGTCCTGGCCATTACACTTGGTGGCGTTGTCCAGACACTGGCCAAGCGGAGCACACAGGATCTCGTTGTTATCGCAGTGTTTGTCTGAGAATCGCACAAATACGTTTTAACAGAATGTGTCCCTTGACAACGATGACCAATACGCAGGTAAAAGTAACCAGAATAACTTGGAATTATGTACCGCGCTACTTAAGGGATCATCTCAAACACGTGAAAGGACAATGACTGAACATCAAACAAAAATTAAATGGACAATTCTCCCTTAAAACAGGGGAACAAGCAAAAACTGACATACCGTAGCAAGTGACATGATTAGCTCCAAGCGTCATATTGGCAGGGCATCTGCACACGGCACCTTGTTCCTTGGCCAAGCAGATGTGAGAGCAGCCACCGTTGTCATGGCTGCATCCATTTTCTACTGCAAGTGTTCATATCACATGTCATGAACTTACTGCTGGTTGGTTGTTTTGTTGTTTAACGCCGCACTCAGCAATCTTCCAGCTATATGACGGCGGTCTGTAAATAATCGAGTCTGGACCAGACAATCCGGTGCTTGACATCATGAGCATCCATCTACGCAATTGGGAAACGATGACATGCATCAACCAAGTCAGCAAGCCTGACCGACCGATCCCGTTAGTCGCCTCTTACGACAAGCATAGTCGCCTCTTACGACAAGCATAGTCGCCTTTATAGGGCAAGCATGGGTTGCTGAAGACCTATTCTCATCCGGATCTTAACAAGTCTTCAGTTCCACTTTGACATTGGCGCATGTGATGGAGACATTTCAGCAGTTGCTAATGTTTCAAACGAACCAGAAACACAGATTGCTTGAGGTTTGACTAACCTGGCTTGGTCTTCTTCGTGTTGACCAGTGCCATCCCCGTGAGCCCCGTGTGTCCACTGTGGTAGTCCATCTGGTCGCCATGGCGCCGCGAGCTGTTGATCAAGTGCACAGCATCTGTCAGACCATCGGTCCAGTAGATCAAACTTCCGTCCACTACTATGGAATTGATGTTCTTTGCAAAACTGAAAGACAAAATGAACACACCCTGGAGTGAGTGAGTGAGTTGGGTTTTAAAGATTTCTAAAGAATGAAAATATTCTCCTTCGTATAAATTTTCAGAAAACTAAAGTACAATAAATGATATTTTGATGCCAAATTGTTGTGTTTTCCCTAGATGGCTCCATAATTAATTGTGAATTCAGCATGTTAAACCCCTTCCTTCTTTTGAGCTAGAAGTGATGCAGGTCTTAGACCTATACTACTTTACTGAAACCTACGAGCACGGGTAGGGGTGCAGACAAAGTTGACCAGCATCACCAACACCATCACATATTACTTAACAGAATCAAGTTTGAGAGAAAATCATTTGTCACAAATCTTATCTTTCCCTTAACCTACAAGAAGGCCATTAGGTGCTCCCAGGATGACACGGATCCGTAAAAATCTTTTTTAACTCAGCACACAACAACAGTCAAGCTGTATTGCAGTCTGAAAATAATCGAGTCTGTACCCAACAAACAAGTGGTTGATAATACGAGCGACGTTCCATGTTGTCGAGAACTGACACGCAATCAAACAAGTCACCGATCAGGATCATTCGATCCATTAATCACCTCTCAAAAAACATGAGAACTGAATGTCCACACGAGAACTGAATGTCCAACCACAATGGGGTGAACACAGGCAGACTTACACGTGTGAGGCGCGGTCCGAGCCATCGATGGCGACAGAGTAGATCATTTCAAGCTTCATATCGCTCCAGTACAGCCGGTACTTGTCAGGGTCCACCGTCAGGGAGTTGGGTTGTCGTATCCGTTCATCCACGATCAGGATGCAGTTGGTTGCGTCCATGTCACATCTCTGAATGTGGGGTCGTTCGCCCCAGTCAGCATAAAACAGAACTCTGAATATAGAAGAAGTCTCCGTGTCGTATAAAGTGAAACCTCGTTAATCCGGTAGATGAGAAATCTGATTTGAGAAATTTCTGGATTAACGATATATGTACTGTTAAGTTAGTTAATTTGTTGTTTAACGCCGCACTCAGCAATATCCCTGCTACATGACGGCGGTCTGTAAATAATCGAGTCTGGACCAAACAATCAAGGGATTGACATCATGAGCATCGATCTACGTAATTGAGATACGTTGACATGCTTTAACCAAGTCAGCGAGTCTGACCATCCGATCCCGTTAGTCGCCTCTTACAACACTACATAAATAAATGGCAGCACTCACTTCGTTTCCAGCGTATAAACTGATGGCTGGTGGGATACCCACCTATCTTCAAGGTACGTATACTGATGTTGGATACTCACCCAGCTTCAAGGTACGTACACTGATGTAGGATACACACCCGGCTTAAGGTACATACACTGATGTTGGATACTCACCCAGCTTCAAGGTACGTATACTGATGTTGGATACTCACCCAGCTTCAAGGTACGTACACTGATGTAGGATACACACCCGGCTTAAGGTACGTACACTGATGTTGGATACTCACCCAGCTTCAAGGTACGTATACTGATGTTGGATACTCACCCAGCTTCAAGGTATGTACACTGATGTAGGATACACACCCGGCTTAAGGTACGTACACTGATGTTGGATACTCACCCAGCTTCAAGGTACGTATACCGATGTTGGATACTCACCCGGCTTCAAGGTACGTACACTGATGTAGGATACTCACCCGGCTTCAAGGTACGTATACTGATGTAGGATACTCACCCGGCTTCAAGATACGTATACTGATGAAGGATACTCACCCGGCTTCAAGATAAGTATACTGATGTAGGATACTCACCCGGCTTCAAGGTCCGTATACTGATGTTGGATACTCACCCGGCTTCAAGGTACGTACACTGATGTTGGATACTCACCCGGCTTCAAGGTACGTACACTGATGTTGGATACTCACCCGGCTTCAAGATACGTACACTTATGTAGGATACTCACCCGGCTTCAAGGTACGTACACTGATGTTGGATACTCACCCGGCTTCAAGATACGTACACTTATGTAGGATACTCACCCGGCTTCAAGGTACGTACACTTATGTAGGATACTCACCCGGCTTCAAGGTACGTACACTGATGTTGGATACTCACCCGGCTTCAAGATACGTACACTTATGTAGGATACTCACCCGGCTTCAAGGTACGTACACTTATGTAGGATACTCACCCAGCTTCAAGGTACGTACACTGATGTTGGATACTCACCCGGCTTCAAGATACGTACACTTATGTAGGATACTCACCCGGCTTCAAAGTACGCACACTGATGTAGGATACTCACCCGGCTTCAAGATACGTATACTGATGAAGGATACTCACCCGGCTTCAAGATAAGTATACTGATGTAGGATACTCACCCGGCTTCAAGGTCCGTATACTGATGTTGGATACTCACCCGGCTTCAAGGTACGTACACTGATGTTGGATACACACCCGGCTTCAAGGTACGTTCACTGATGTTGGATACTCACCCAGCTTCAAGGTACGTACACTGAAGTAGGATACTCACCCGGCTTCAAGATAAGTATACTGATGTAGGATACTCACCCGGCTTCAAGGTACGTACACTGATGTTGGATACTCACCCAGTTTCAAGGTACGTATACTGATGTTAGATACTCACCCGGCTTCAAGGTACAAGGCCAGACCATGCGGTTCGGCCAACGACTGGTCCGTAACAACAACGCGTGAGGAGCCATCCAGCTTCGCTACTTCTATCGTTCTCTGCAGAGACATTCGTTATAAGTCAATTGCATCGGGAAACTATGTAAATATGAAACATGAATAAAACAACTTCGTGACAAGGACGATGAGTACACACAACAAATTATAAAAATTCGATGTGTTAGTGAAAGAACAATGTGTAACACTGTAGTTTCAATCTTACAGCTACAGCAATTTTAACTGATCAGGCATGGACCAGGCAAACAACTTCGCACGCCGGATATGATGGCTTGTTTGTTTGTTGTTTAACGCCGCACTCAGCAATATTCCAGCTATATGACGGCGGTCTGTAAGTAGTGGAGTCTGGGCCAGACAATCTTGTGATTGACATGAGCATCAATCTACACGATGAGATGCATCAACTAAGTCAGCGAGTCTGCCCACCCGATCCTGTTAGTCGCCTCTCACGTCAATCATAGGTTGCTTAAGATCCATTCTCTACTGGATCTTCAGAGGTTCGGATACCGTGACATTCGTGGCGTGTCAGTGCGAACTTTTGTCATGACCTAATCTTACGACTTAGACATATGATATGCTGAAGTATTTCCCAGCTGCTTGCGGTGCCAGAAACTGACGACACCTACCTTCCGCAGGTCCAGCCAAAACACATTGCGGGCTACCCAGTCCACCGCCAAGCCCTCTACACTGAGGATATCCTGGTCTACCAACACGTTTTTCCTGAAAGAACAAGTTCAGCTTTTGAACTGTATGTTAATCAACTTAAATTATCCAATAACATACTTTAATTGTGAGTGAATAAGGTTGGTTGGACAATATTCCAGTTTTATCACAGCGTGCAAGCTTGATGTGAGAGGAAACCCGAAGTGATGCATGTCATAGACGTTTATCACTTTGGTTAAACGGAGTATGGTGCCGACAAACCTAGAAACATGATCAAGGCTAATCTGGCACTGGAACCCATGACCAAAGGTTCCTGGCGTGCCTAAGGAACGCAACTCAGCACGGCGAATAGGGGCGTCTTACACGACTTGGCGACCACTGTGAAGTAAATTAAAACAGCCATTGCAATGTATCTGAATCTGTATAGAAACAACAATTATTAAATCACATGCCCACATGCTTATTATCAATTCGTATTCTCAAAAGTGCTTTTTATTAAAAGAGTAAAGATCGAGAAATAACTATGCTTACTTTGTTTCTCAACAAATATACTAGTCAGTGAGTGAGTGAGGTTTTACGCCGCTTCTAGCAATATTCCAGCAATATCACGGCGGGGGACACCAGAAATGGGTTCACACATTGTACCCATGTCGGGAATCGAACCGGGTCTTCGGCGTGACGAGCTGACGCTTTAACCACTAGGCTACCCGACCGCCCCCTCAAATATGCTACTAAAATAGGTTAAGGACCACCAGATTCTTTCATATTACTTTAGTTAATCTTTCATGCCATGACAGATTAAGCGTAGGAATATGAAAGAAATGGATTCTCAGGATTTTTTATAAGCTTTTTACACCCAGTCTGAATTTCCAAGCGCGACGGTACCTCATCTGGGACCCCCTGGTGATCTGGGCTGAGCAGATGATGGGTCTCTTACGACTGTCCTTGTCCACGAACACAATGCTGTTGTTGACTGGGTCATAGTCAACAAGATATATGTTGTTCAGATAGTTGATGTCAACATTTTTGTAGGCATCGTTGCCAAGGTGACCAACCGAAAACTCCAAAACCTGGGTCTGTTGGCCAATGAGAATGTACGTTGCATTTTCATCTCCTAAAACACAAGACATTGTCAGATGCAATGTAGTTTTTGTAACGATCTTATTCTTAGCTTTTTCCTATTATCTCTTGTTAAAGAAAACAGAATGAAAAAGTGTTTTGTGGCGCATTCAGTAATATTCAAGTTATGTCTCGGGCGGCCTGTTCATAAGAAGTATGATCCACATCGTCAGGGTACAATGACACACAATCAACCAGATCAAACACTATGACCAGGTAATCCTCAACAAGTGATCACTTAGCAGCAGGGACTGACGAGGATGCATCCTGTCCCGGAATCCCCACATGAAAATACAGATACGAGAGTCAACCAGACCGCGCATTCTCTAAAGGATGAAGTAAAACAACTTCTTTATTGACTATATTCTGAAATGTTTACTATCAACACTGTAATCTGCCTAAACGCAACCATCATTCCTCCATACCCCCACATCCAAATTCACAGACGACCCACACACCGAAAAGAAAATATACTAGTCGGCCCTTAAATGTTTGTGAAGGTATAAACATCTGACTACGAGGTATACTCACTCACACACTGGGAGCCGTCTGCGCCAAGAATCAGATCAGTCGGGCATGCGCAGACGTAAGAGGAGCGGTGGCTTGGCAGGCAGACGTGGCTGCACGTTCCGGGACAGGTGGCCGTGAAATCTGCAGCACATCCGGTGGGTATATTGAGAGTGACGTTTCAAGACCGTTCTGACAATATTCAAGCATTTTCACTGCAGCCTGGTAAGTATAGAGACGATAGATAGCATGCACAACAATTCACCCTGTTTGGGTATGAAGACACATGACACACTTCGTAACCACCCGATCTGAGCTATTTCCGCCGATTATATGATTGATCTGCTATCAAGATCAGCACAAGACCAGCTTACAAAGGTGAAGTGATATTCTAGGTGCGTACCAACCAAACACCGTCCACAGTAACCAACCAAACACCGTCCACAGTAACAAACCAATCACCGGCCACAGTAATATAACCAACTAATCACTGTCCACGTTAACCAACCAAATACCGTCCACATGAACCAAACAACGCCTACATAAACCAACCAAACACCGTCCACAGTACCCAACCAGACACTGTCCACATTAACCAAACAACGTGCACTTTAACCAACCAAACAACGTCCACATTAACGATCCAAACACTGTCCACGGTAACCAACCAAACACTGTCCTAGGTAACCATCAAAACACTGTCCACGTTAACCATCCAAACAACGTCCACATTAACCATCCAAACACTGTCCACGGTAACCAACCAAACACTGTCCACGGTAACCAACCAAACACTGTCCACATTAACCATCCAAACAACGTCCACATTAACCATCCAAACACTGTCAACGGTAACCAAACAAACACTGTCCACGGTAACCAACCAAACACTATCCACATCAATCAAAACGCAATCTATGTCAAGCAGCCATTGTGTCCGATATTCATTCCGTTGACCTCCACAAACACTGGCACATGGCAGGAGTCCCTGGCCGCTCACCCCGTGGTCGTGGCTGTAGTGCAGGATGCATGATGTCGAGGTTGCTGACCACTGGCATGTCTTTAAGAACCAGTTCTCGCTTCCTGCCGTCGAACTTGTCGTCACGGACCACCCGTCCCTCGTTTGACCAGTAAATCTCATCTTCTAGGAGGGCCAGAGACTTAGGATCACGGATATCGTGGGCTAGTACAATCTACAACAGAAAATACCAGTCACCACTGACTCATGGAACATACAAGGCTGTCACAGAATCCGACAGATTGCCGTCCGCTGAATGTGTGAATGAGTGAGTGAGGTTAACGCCACTTTGAATAATATTCCAGTCTTGACCACGCATTAATAGATCTGACTCGCACTTCCTGCCCAGGCAAAATCAGGTTTAACTTGAAACAAATTGCAACAGAATTTATTGCACCACAATGCATTTCTGTAATAAACATAGTACGGCTATTTCGCAATAAAATACAAGTCTGGTCAAGCTTTTCCCATCCAGATTTAACCTAATCTTAAAATGGAAGATTAATTGATAATTGGGGGCCATAATGGATTATGCAAATTAAACATTTCCCAAAATAGGATTGCTTGGGACTTTTAGTATGTTGTTCTTGAGACCTTATAGAATGCATTGTAGTGAAAGAAATTCTGTTGCAATTTGTTCAAAGTTGAATGAAAAGTTAAGCCTAGCTTGCCTGAACTACCTGCAGAACTTTTAGTTAGATGACTAATCGACTACTGAAAGCCGTCATGATGATTCTCTTTCGGTAGAATAACAAACAGGAACAGGAAATGTGAACTAAAACGAGCTAACACACATTCACTGAACTACCTAGGTTTATTCTCACCTTTTCATGAACAAGATTCACTCACCTCTTTCACAGCTTCCTTCCCTGGGCACAGTCTCTCCACACGACTGTTGTGCGGCTGCGCATCAATCCAGTACAGGCAGTTGGTGGTGTAGTCGATCACTAGGTCACGTGGCTGCCCCATCCGCTCACTCACCAGAGTCATGATGTTACTTCCGTCAGCGTCACTGCGCATGATTGTCGGGCGGCTTGTCATGTCCGTCCAGTAGAGGTAACTGTTGTCATTAATACAGAAGATAACAGAATAGATGATGTTTTAAGCAGCAGTCAGAAACACTGAAGTTATATCATGGCGGTATTTTAATGAGACAAACCAGTGGTCAAGAGAATGAGCAACGATTCACGTAGGTATACGATGACACTCAGTCACCTTATTTATTACATTGTCACCACTTCATACATCTGGTTGTTGGTTGGTTGTTTAACGCCGCACTTAGCAATATTACAGCTATATGACGGCGGTCTGTAAATAATCGAGCCTGGACCAGACAACCCAGTGATTAATATCATGAGCATCGATCCACGCAATTCGGATCGATGACATGCATCAACCAAGTCAGTGAGCCTGACCAACCGATCCCGTTAGTCGCCTTTTTCGACGAGCAGAGTCGCCTTTTACGGCAAGCATGGGTTGCTGAAGACCTATTCTACCCCGGATCTTCACGGGTCTCATACATCTGGGATAGAGTTGGTTGGGAGGGCTTATTCTGCCCCAGATCTACCCCAACCCCACGTGAGTACAAATAGTCGCATGTTAATGACTTAAACACCGTATTATCTCTTCCCAGGATTTCTGTTGGTATGACGAGGCCGGGGATCGAACCACAGACCTTCCCCTCAACCTTGGCCATTGGGTTCCTAGCTCCAAACGCACATATATATATGCGTGCGAGTATCGAACCCGGGGCGAAGTGACAACGCATTACCCCCACTAGACTATCCACCCTAGTGTACTGACCTCGCTATGGGATCTACAACAATATCCCGGGGAGCCGTGAGCCCGTCTAGGACCGAGGTGCAGAACGCTCCATCCGCCCGACACGCCAGGATAGCCTTCCTCCCATCATCCACAATGTACAGCAGATTGTTCAGCCAGTCATACGTCAGACCTTTCGGAGACTTCAGCCCTGGTGAACAAGATGACATCTGATTTGACTGGCAACTCTGGGTTGTTGGTTTCTTTGTTTGTGATTTAGCGCCGCACTGAGGAAAATTACAGTTATATGACGGCGGTCTGAAAACAATCGAGTCTGGACCAGACAATGCAGTGATTTACATGTGTAACGATCCACGCAATTGGGATACGATGACATGCATCAACCAAGTCAGCGAGCCTGGTCACCCGATCCCGTTAGTCGCTTCTTAACTACAAGAATGGGTTCCTGAAAACCAATTCTATCGCCGTCTTCAGGTGTTGACAACTATGGTATACCGCGACTGAGTGAGTTCGTCTCATATTGTGAATGGTGAACACCACAGTCGTCAATATTCTAGCTGTATCACGGCAGTCTATAATTGAACGATTACAGCAATATATAGACAGATGACACAGAAGGGGTTCCAAATGCTGCATACATGCATGGTACATCTGCGTCTTCCTCACGCCAACAACCTATAACTGCATCTGCGGATGCGACCTATCGGTGGAGTCATTTTGAGCAGACCAGACTAAGTCAAGGATGGTGGTGGGATGTGAGAATAGTTTATTAACCGGGTTTCTGGCATAAAATGTTGGCCACTTTGAAGCAGCATTATGCTTATGGTAGTTCAGTATACACCAGAACCATTTCGGTACAAGTCAGACCTTATAACGTAAAGATATATACAATCAACTTTTTACTTCGAGTGCAAATTTCATAACTTTCGTTCTTCAAATGCTATTTCCATATTTATTACTGCAACTAGAGTTCAATAGATAGAAAACAGTTATATCTAAATCTTTCATAAACAGATCCTCACATCAACATCACTCAAAATAATTTGAGAAAAATGATTTAGCTACTTTAAAGGCACTGGTTTTACATGCTGGGTGGCATACTGACCGTGAACTACGAGGGATCGATGGTTGTTGCCCAATATGTCAATCGAGAGAACCTGCCTACTGTAGCCATCAGTCCAAAAGATCCTCTGGTTGTGGCTGTCCACAGCTGCGAAACAAAGAAGTGATACACATTCATCCATGTCACCGAGTAAACACCCAATCCACTTACGTCGACTCTTGCTTTTCCAGAACTACTGCTGTGAACAAGGGGCTCATGTGAACTAGATGCGCCCAACACCCCATGCTATTCCCCAAACCAGGAACTTTGTTTTTAACGCCGCATTCAGCAATAATCCAGCTACATGACGGCGGTCATTAAATAAGTCTGGACACACAAACAAGAGATCAGCAAAGTCCCACACAGTCTGGGTAGGAAGACAGGTAATCAACCAAGTTACCAAGCCTGAGTGAGTGAGGGAGTATGGCTTAACGCCTCTTTTAGTATTATTCTAGCAATATCACGGCAAGGGACACCAGAAATGGGCTTCACACATTGTACCCATGTCGGGAATCAAACCCTGGTCTTCGGTGTAACGAGCTAACGCTTTAACCAGAAGGCTACCCGACCGCCCCTCACCAAGCCTGAACATGTACACTGGTTCCACCGAGTCGTCTCACGACAAGCAGAGGTAGCTGGGGATGCTGGAACTGACTTGCCCCCAGTCTGTTGTCCAAAGTGTAATGACGTCACTGATTGTTTGTATCCACATGTTACATCAGATGGCCATTCATGGGAATTATGTACTTTGACTAACGAGTCTCGAAGATACATGAACTGGGTATTATGACCCAGGAGTCTTAACAAGGTGAACAATGAACAGAAAGATTACCAATGTCAATGACATCTTGAAGGCCATTCTGCAGGCTGTTGTACTGGCCCAACTTCAGGGTGAACGTCCGAATCATGTTCCCGTTGGCCACAATCATCGTTGCTTCTCGTCCTGAAAATATAGCCAGGCATGTCTCCGTAGCATTTATAGGAGCCTGAATCAAATAGTAATAGTGCTTTTGATGTAGATAGGCTTGAAAGAAGTATCAATTTGTGTAACCTAACCTAAACATTCTGGAAAAACATTTTATGCGTGAAAGGAGAATGCATTTTTCATCTGAATGTGAATATAGCTTTTAAAATTTCAAATGTTGGAAAACAATCCTATAGTCTGTTTGCTACAAAATCGTACGATAACATGCAAAACAGATAAATCAGAAAGCCACAATTCGTCTTAAATGACATGAAAGTTATTTATTTGTGACAAGTCGTCACCGTAATTTCAGACACTGTCATGAAGTAGAGAAAAAGTTGTTTTACAAACTATCATGTAATTGTCTGTGTTGCAAAGTTTCTTGTTACAAGGGGGTCTGTACACTAAACATCACAGCTAAAGGGCATCGCGGAACAAAGGGATAGTCTCAAAACGTCTATTCTTAAATGTTTTCATTGTCAATGGCACCGTTACTGTCAACTGAAATAATAATTTTACTGACAGTTCCATGATCTAAACCATCTCTTTTACAATATGAAGCCTTTATTCCGGTCTCAACTCAAACCACAATCAGCACGACTGAGGGACAAGTCCACACGGCATGTTACATGAGTGTGTTCGATCCCGGCACGCTCTTGCTGGAGACAATCTCATTCATGGAATAATATACCTACTGATATCATCCATGAACATTCCAGCATATGCCTACTGATATTCTTGTTCATTCCCGAATCAGTAAACCAATAACACCCGTGTACATTATAAGCATATACCGACTACTATCACCCATAACTATTCATGCATATTGCAACATGGCAGTTTAAACCGTGACAATGCCATGGGCCTGTACACGGGTCTACATTGTGTTGTGTGTTCTGTCAGTCTCGATGGTAGGCTATGGGTTAAGCAGCTCTAATATGTTTGTGTCTGAAGTACAACCTAATAACACGTCCACGTCCTTGCACAAGGAAGTTCTCTGTTCATTCGTCCTTATTTAAAGGATGACGCGCTATTAATGTTCGTGTTTCCAAACAGTAAAACATCAAACATTTTCCACCAGCAATTAATTCCAGACACTTACAAACATAAACAGATAACTGCTACAGACCAATACACGGATGCAAAATAAAGATGCTGAATTTCGACAATAAAGATAGATGGGGCCTTCAACAATGACAAATGTCAATGAAATAATGTTTGATCTAGAGGAGAATGTGAAGTGTTGGATTCTAACTTGAACGAACTCGACTACTTCAGCTGAAGAATGTGTCAAGTCACATGAAAAACTGCAGAGTTTAATAAAAATTTACAGTTTTGTTTGTTTTGAACGTTGTTTAATGCGCACTCTGTAACATTACAGCGATATGACGGCGGTCTGTAAATAATCGAGTCAGTGATTGAAATCATGAGCATCGATGACATACATCAACCAAGTCAGCGAGCCTGACCAGCCGATCATGTTAGTCGCATCTTACGACAGGCATGAATTGATGACATCTTCCCGAGGCAAGGGAATTAACTAACTGCAAAAATCCAGTTTCCACCCTTGCCACTCTTGAATTTCGTGGCTCGACCGTAGCGCCACCAGTGGCTATTAAGAGTTATGTCCCTTCTATGTCGCTATTGACCAAATTCCATCTCTCATATCACATGCATTTGCTTCAAGCAAATGGCGGCGCCCAGTCAAGACTGGTTGATAATCAAGATATCTATTGTAGTAATTGTGGTCTTACCTATCGATGTGCATCAAATCATTTGAGCATCTTGATTAAAACCATTAACAGATTTGGAAAACATCTGTCGAAACCAGTATTCCAGTTATATCGCAGCGTGTCAGCTTAATGTGGGAGGAAGGCCTGAAGTGATGCAGGTCTCAAACGTTTACCCCTTCGGTGAAACCCACGAGCACGGGTATGGTGCTGACAAACCAAGAAACATAATCGGGTCGAACCGGGATTCAAACCCCACAATCATAGGTTCCTGGCGTGCCCAAGGGACGCAACTCTGCACAGCGAATCGCGGCGCCTTAGACGACTGGGCCACCCGTGCCCCCACATGTATATGGTGTGCCTACCTTTGGCATCACAGCGACTCCCGTCTTTGTTCAGCCTGTAACCATCAATACAGCTGCACCTGTAACTGCCGATGTTATTCTTGCACTCCTGGCTGCAGAGTCGGTGTCTCGGAGTCTGATTCGCACACTCGTCAAAGTCTGCATCAAATCACAGGTATTTAAAGGGATAATTAGTTATTAGTGATGCAACTTGACCGTAGTGATAATATCTCAAGGCACACCAGAAAAACGTTTCAAATTCTACACGCCCTTCCGGTACCATTAACATTAGATGAACTGTCTCGGGATCCTTGATTATGCAAGAGTGAGTGAGAATATCAGTTACATCGTTACAACGTGTATGTTTGTTTGTTTGTGTGTTGTTTAACGCCGCACTCGGCAATATTCCAGCTATATGACGGCGGTCTGTGAATAATCGAGTCCGGACAAGGCAATCCAGTGATTGATATCATGAGCATCGATCCCCGCATTTGGGATACGATGACATGCATCAACCAAGTCAGCGAGTCTGACCACCCGATCCCGTCAGTCGCCTCTGACCGCAAGCACGGGTTGATGAAGACCAATTCTAACCCTGATCTTCACGGGACTCTTGGATTTGAAACCACAATCATGCAGACGCTGCACGACTTGGGGATAAGTCTACACGGTCTGTTTGGGATATGAGTGTGTTCGATCCCGGCACGCTCTTGCTGGGGACAATCTCATTAATGGAATAAAGCGACTTATTTGGAAAGTTCTTCTTCCATAAATACATTAACACGTTTTCCCCCCGATATGTCCTGCGTCACAGATTATATTTCAAAATCTTTACATTAACAATTCTAAACCTACCTCTGCATCTTTTTCCATCAGCGAGCAGACGATAGCCCTTCAAGCACGTGCAGGTAGCGTTGAGCCCTGTTCTCGTGCAGCCGTGTTCACACTCGTGTTGAGAACAGAATGCTGGAAAGTCAATTTCCAGAGTCGATGTGAGGTGGGTAGAGGTGGGATGGGGTTTAAAGTGGCGTCTGAGATATAGCGACGTGTCCGGACTAATGGTCATCTTATAGTGACATACTGAGATACCATACCGTAGTTTAACATGAATACCCCCCTCAGACTCGGAGCCGACCAGTCCTTGTTTTAGCCCCTTAATGTACAGTGACTACAGCTGTAAGCTGGGCATCCGTTGTGCATAGTTTCATATTTATTACCATTATTATCTAAAACAATGTTTCCCTTTCACAGAGGGCACTGAAGGCCAAAACCTAAACCGTCAATCTCAAAGGCGTGTACGTCCTTTAACGCTACACCAATAGGAGTGTGCGTCCTTTAACGCTACACCAGTAGGAGTGTACGTCCTTTAACGCTGCACCAATAGGCGTGTACGTCCTTTAACGCTACACCAATAGGAGTGTACGTCCTTTAACGCTGCACCAGTAGGAGTGTACGTCCTTTAACGCTACACCAATAGGAGTGTGCGTCCTTTAACGCTGCACCAATAGGAGTGTACGTCCTTTAACGCTACACCAATAGGCGTGTACGTCCTTTAACGCTGCACCAATAGGCGTGTACGTCCTTTAACGCTGCACCAATAGGCGTGTACGTCCTTTAACGCTACACCAATAGGCGTGTACGTCCTTTAACGCTGCACCAGTAGGCGTGTACGTCCTTTAACGCTGCACCAATAGGAGTGTACGTCCTTTAACGCTACACCAATAGGCGTGTACGTCCTTTAACGCTGCACCAATAGGAGTGTACGTCCTTTAACGCTACACCAAAAGGCGTGTACGTCCTTTAACGCTGCACCAGTAGGCGTGTACGTCCTTTAACGCTGCACCAGTAGGCGTGTACGTCCTTTAACGCTACACAAATTTATGTATACGTCCTTAAACGTACAATCAAATCAATCACACCATAATATTAAGGGTGTGCCCACACAGAAAATAGAGACCATATAAATGGGACGCAAATACAAGCTTGAGATTAAATTGTCAAGGCTATCTTCCCAACTTACTGCAGTTACTTTCATCCGACTGGTCGGTGCAGTCCACCTTGCCATCACACTCCTTGCCCCCGTCCATGCACTCAAGGCCATCCTTACACAGAAACATTCCCCGGGCCTTGGTGCACTGAGACCGAATGGCTGAAAGAAGACATTTAAAAACATCCGATAGTTCTTCAGATGACATGCCGTGGGACAGGAAGCATTACAACGTCGCTTATAAATGTTAACCTGTTTTCCACGCAACCCCTACCGCGGAGAACACTGAATGTTTGTTTGTTTGTTGTTGAACGCCGCACTCTGCAATATTCCAGTTATATGACGGCGGTCTGTAAATAATCGAGTCTAGACCAGACAATCCACTGATTGACTTCATGAGCATAGATCCAATTGGGATACGATTACATGCATCAATCAAGTCAGCGATCCTGACCACCCGAGCCCGTTAGTCGCCTCTTCCGACAAGCATGGGTTCCTGAAGACCTATTCTACCCCGGATCTTCACGGGTCAGCACCGAATGAGTGGAAGGACATGCTGGAGCATAACCCAAAGTAACGCTGACATTGGGCGTTTACCACTTTACTGACAAACCAAAATGTCATGACCAGGGCGAATCTGGGAGTCGAACCCACGCTCATAATCTTGCGCGTTTGTCAGTTTTAGTGCCATTTTTTGTGATATATGTTCAGGCCTTGAGCAGGGAAACAAATATAACCGGGGTGATTGTGTGACATATCCCGACAAGACAAAGTCTTCATTTCGGTATTAAACACTGATTTGTAGCTTTAATTGGTGAGATGAATGGGGTTTAAGATCGCGTTCAAGATTATTGCACTTATATAGCGACGTGCGTAGTTGCTTGCACTAGCCCGGACTAACGCCGGTTTTATAGTGCTAGCCCACCGAGATACCATGCCGCAGTTTAACATGAATGACCTACTCAGACATATTTTACTGAACAGTCCTTGTTTTATCCCTTAAAGTTTAATGCCGAGCGCCAGGCAGGGTAACAAGTACCATCTTTTAACGCATTGTGGTATGACGCGGCCGGGGATCGAACTACCGACCTTCCGCTCTCCAGGCAGACACTGCATCCTTGGATGCGGTCTGCAGCTACAACACCAAACTCACTGCCTCCCACCCGCGTAGTATTCAAGTTCTACTCTACTTTGTATTCCTTAAACGCGTACATATAAAACAACCCATCGACCGGAGTGGTACCGATTCATAAAAAAAGTAGGATTTTTAGGTTTAGTCCATGTATAGCAGTATTCCAGCAATATCACGGCAGAAATAGGCTTCACACATTGTACTTATGTAGTACACGGGTCACCGGTATAACGAGCGAATTCTTTGACAACCTGGCTACCACCTGGGTATGAAATAACACTAGCACTGCCACAGTGGACTTAGCATTCTACGCCATTGGCATTGGCGTCTAATAATTAAACCACTCGATCCCCCATTCTTTCAGTGTTTTTCTCGAGTGGTAACGTGCTGACATGTTGAAATATCTAGTGCCATTTGGACAGCTCTTTCAAGTTGGTTTATCTCTCAAAAGAGTTAAGTCAGTAAGGCGATTTTGAGGGAGAAAGATAAATATCATCGGTTGAAAGCGCCATTTAAATCTCTAGATGATGGCAGCAATTGAACACTCCATAGACGTAATCTTGATTTAGACGGGCAAAGAATCCCAACATAAACGACTTCCTTGTGCAGATTGGATTATCAATGATGGCTGGAGAATTTATGGTTTCATCAGCAGGAAGTTGGTAAAACGCTTTGAAAAATCAGACTTCTGTGGCTCTGTCCCCGAGGACCGACGGTAATACGTGTTTTTTGTAGATGACATTGAGTGAGTAGGGTTTTACGATGTTTTTAATATTTCATCAATAGCACGGAGGGAACATATATGCTTCACATCCTGTTTCCGTGTGGGAGAAGCAAACCCTGGCTTTAGACGTGATGAGTCAATGCTACAACAACTAGGCTTCCCCGCAGCCAAGTGAGTGAGTTAGTATGGTTTTACGTGTATGGTGTGTGTGTGCTTGCTTGTTGCTGATTTTTAGTGCAGTTTAATACCCTACTCAGACACAGTATACTGACTCCGAGCAGACCAGTCCTTGTTTTAGCCCTTTAATGCCGAGCGCCAGACAGGGTAACAACAAGTACCATCTTTTAACGTCTTTTGGTATAACGCGACCGGGAATTGAACCCTGGGTCTTCGGTCCTCCAGGCGAACGCTCTACCACAAGACCACGGTGGCGGTCCTGTGAATAAACGAACCTGGCCGCATGTGAATTAACGAACCTGGCCGCATGTGAATAAACGAACCTGGCCGCATGTGAATTAACGAACCTGGCCGCATGTGAATTAACGAACCTGGCCGCATGTGAATTAACGAACCTGGCCGCATGTGAATTAACGAACCTGGCCGCATGTGAATTAACGAACCTGGCCGCATGTGAATTAACGAACCTGGCCGCATGTAATTGAGCCTAGACCCTGCAAACCGGAGACTGAAATAATGATGTCGATCCACGGCAACGAGACACGATGACGCTTGAGTTTGATTTAATTTTTAGTCCGCTTTCAGCAATATTCCAGCATTATAAATCGGCTTCACACATTCATGAGGAATCGAAACCGGTGGGGTAGCCATTAGTCTATCGGGACAGTGTCCGCACAGAGACGTCAAGCACAGTACGACGTGAGAAACAAAGAAATAAATTCACACACAGTACCACAATCACACAGAACAGAACCCGAGTCAAAGAGAGAGAAGAGAGCACGGCTCCATCACGGCACCATGCGACCATTCGAGCTGAAATCAAATCTACCTACACCATGTACACCCGACAGCGTTAGAAAGGCCACTTGGTGGCGTCGCATCTATGTACCAAAATGGTTCAAGGCTATACTATAATGGGACGGTCCTGGAAACCAACGGGGGTGGATCGATACGATTGGATAATGGGATAAATATATTCGCTCTTGAAATACAAACGGGGCGGAACTATAAAGTAAGGTAACGCATATATAAACGAAGATGTAAGAAAAGAAAATATTTTGTCCAATCGAAGGCCGGCTTTATTATTTGTTTGTTTGTTGTTAAACGCCGTACTCAGCAATATTCAAGCTATATGACGGCGGTCTGTAAATAATCGAGTCTGGACCACACAATCCAGTGATTGACATGAGCATCGAACTACGCAATTGGGATACGATCACATGCATCAACCAAGTCAGCGAGCCTTACCACCCCATCCTGTTAGTCGCCTTTTACAGACAAGCATAGTCGCCTTCTACGGCATGCATGTGTTGCTGAAGGATCTTCACGGGTCCCGGTTTTATGGGGTACGGGGGATAGGGTATATTGGCCATAGATCCTAATGGTGTACGTGTGTACTACTTACCGCACTCGGGGCCGGTCTCATCCGCGCCGTCGTCACAGTCCGGCTTGTTATCACACCTCTGCGACTGGATCAGACAAACCAGCCGCGTGCTGTTGGGGCACTGGTACAGGCCAGGTGGACAGGAGCCTGGGGAGAGAATATATTGGTTTTTTTATGGAGTGAGTTGGGTTTAACGCCGCTTTTAAAAGTATTCCAGTTAAATCACAGCGTTTTCAGCTTAATGTGGGAGGAAAGCCTGAAGTGATACAGGTCTCGGACGTTGGCCACTATGGTGAACCACGAGGACGGCTGTGGTGCTGACAAACCTAGAAACAAACGGAGTGAACTGGGATTCGAACCCGAGAACCCGGGGTTTTGGCGAGCCAAACGTGATGCGGAAGAGTGAGCGAGTGAGTTAACGCCGCTATAACAGTATTCAAGTTATATCACGGCGTGTCAGCTTAATGTGGGAAGAAAAACCCGAAGTGAGGCAGGTCTGACTTTTACCACTTCTGCGAAACCCAAGAGCACGGGTATGGTGCTGACAAACCTAGAAACATAATCGGGGCGAACCGGGATTCGAACCCCACAATCATAGGTTTCTGGCGTACCCAAGAGACGACACTCTGCACAGCGAATCGCGCGCCTTAGACGACTAGGCCTCCCGTGCCGGAAGAAACACCAGTTGTTTCTCTATCGAGACTACCAACATACACTTACTGACTCGTCCCTGTAATATTTATCATTTGTCAGGCATTGTATGTTATTCATTTTAGTGTGATTCAGTTGGTGGGATAAACTATGAGTGAATAGCGCGTGTTAAATCGTGTCACCTCAAAATGATGCATGTGAAGCCGTTTACCAGTGAATCCGCGAGCACGGGTATGGAGCTTACAGGCAATGGATCACGATCCGTGGGATTCGAACCCACAATCACTGGATCCTGGTACGGCTAAAGGGCGCAACTCTGCACAGCGAAACGTAGTACCACATACGACTGAGGCTAATGGCAGAAGATGTGTGTATGTCGCATCACCGCGATTACAAACCTTCACAAACATTCCATTTTTGATCAATATGCGTATAAAGTGTGCGGCAGTGGATTTTTAAGCGCGTTTTTAAACATACATTAAAAGCGCAAGTAGATAAGAAACATGGTCCGCGTGTAGGACGAAACATTATCAAGAAAACAATCTAAACATAGATTTTAACCTTAACCTTTAAGTATGAAGGGGTTTTGTCGCTTTGTCTCACTGTTAGTATATGATTCTAATAAAAAATGGCTTAAGCACAGCCGATTTGTTTTTTCATACGACGATTGTTCATCCATTATAGCAAATCAAGGGGGTCTGTTACTACTGGAATCTGGAACAGACAAACCAGTGATTGACATTTTGAGCAATGTCACAAGCAATCATCTAAGTCACTTTCAGTAACAGAACCTGACTACCCGATCCAATTCAGTTGTCTAACGGCACGCAAAGAGTGTTGGGGCTTCTGTAAAAGGTCCCAAAGGGGCACATATTCAGAAATTCTAACATCAGCATGCAGAGTTGTCATCACGATGGGTAAGGTGAAGCTGACAATGTCGATCACGTACACTTGCTCTCGTCGGTTTCGTCCATACAGTCCGCAGATCCGTCACAACGCCAGTCTAGAGGAATACAGCTACTTCCGTTGTCACACCGGAACTCGGCAGCACTGCAGTTCTTGGTAGTCAAGGCTGGAATGAAATAATTCCAAACCCATTCACAGTCTTACACAGCTCAGTGGTTATGACAGGTTATATCTGTGTGGCCTGTAAATGCCCGAGTGTTGGCTAGGCAAATCAATGACTGATGAGCAGGGTCCACTACGGTAGGGGTACCATGACACAAAGTTTAACGCCGCACTCAGCAATATCTCAGCTATAAGACGACATCTGTAAATAATCGAGTCTGGACCAGACAATCCTGTGACGGACGTCATGAGCATCGATCCACGCAATTTGGATACGATGACATGTATCAATCAAGTCAGCGAGGATGACCACCCGATCCCGTTAGTCGCCTCTTATGGCAAGCATGGGTTGCTGAAGACCCATTCTACCCTGGAGTCTTCACGGGTCGACACAAAATCACCGAGCCTGACCACCCGGTCCATTCTAGTCGCCTCCAACAGGCATATGGACCAATTCTAATCCCAGATCAGTTTTAATTGAGGATCTGGGCCTTTCCATGTAAGGGACTACCATTTGATAGTCTTGGGAGGGCTTGAAATTCTATAGAAAAAATATATATATATATATTGTGCCAGAAAAAAATCAGGAATCGTCTGCCACAAAACAAACATTGATCCAAGATGTGTGTTTTCAAAATATACAGGCTCATGGCTTTAATTTTAAACTATCTAGCCTCCAAACAAAACACCAACACTCTCCCCACTCACTCATTAGAGTGAGTGTGTGAATTGTGTTTTACAGCACATTCAGCAAATTCTATAAACAATCGCCATGGATCGTTGCTCGTACTGTCAACCACTTGGTACAGAGCCTGACAGTACGAGCATCGATCCACGTCCCTCAATGGGTCAGTCAGGTCACACATGGCGATCCTTATTTTAGTTCATTCAAGCATGGGTACCGGCCATCAACTTCGCCAGGGGCCGGATGAAACACGGAGAACAAGCATGTTACAAGGAATCCTTACCAGCAATTGAGCATGTGGATGTTTCAGTGTTAGAAAATTTGAGGACAGCTCACCGTGTAAGGGGCAGCTGTCCTCATCTGAACGGTCCATGCAGTCGTCGTGGCCGTCACACCACAAATCCCTGCTGATACAGCGCTTGTTGCTGCACAGGAACCAGAGACTCTGGTCCAAACACTCCCGGGAACCTGTAGTCAGTGAGGCAGTGGTGAGTGAGTGAGTTTGGTTTTACGCTGCTTTTAGCAATATTCCAGCAATAGCACGGCGGGGGACACCAGAAATGGGCTTCACACATTGTACCCATGTCGGGAATCGAACACGGGTCTTCAGCGTGATGAGCGAACGCTTTAACCACTAGGCTACCCGTCCGCCCAGTGAGGCAGTGGACTGTAGGCGTGTACCGCACCGTCATTTCATTAGTATCACGGCGTGTTAGACTATACACGTTGTGTGAAAGTGACGCATGTCTATGAGGTGAAACCAAAAAGCAAAAAAGGTATGTGGCCGAGTTTTGTTTGTTGTTTAACGCCGCACTCAGCATCGATCCACGTAATTGGGATACGACGAGATGCATCAATTAAGTCAGCGAGCCTGACCACCCGATCCCTTTAGTCGCCTCTTACGACAAGCATGGGTTGCTGAAGACCTATTCTACCCAAGATCTTCACGTGAACATTCTTCTGTTTTGCCTTCCTACTTCCAATGCCGAATATCGTTTTCTTCACACTGTGTAAACGGGAAAGGACTGTTCCTTGGTCGAGCTGACCAACCGTTTAGTTTACATTGTATATAAATAATATTTGTTCTGCAATCCTTTGTCATCAGATCGGACAGTCAAAACCCGTATTTCCTCACAGACCTTTAGAAACGTCAAAAGTGTGTGCCATTATTTATATCGATGATGCTGACATATTAATATCAAGCGATTATCCGTCATTAGAGTGTTCAAAACGTCAAAACAAGTATCGCTGATAGATACGCGATACACTGATGACTTTCCATTTACAAATGAAGCAAAAACATTTCGTTCTAACCGACAGTGATATACGGAGGAACCAACAGGTTTGTCTGCAAACTAACAGCATGGGTTTCCTATCGGTTTCCATTTTCGAGAAAAGATTTCAAATGTTGATGATGAATGTCTTTTTTTGCAAGCTTTCCACAGACAGCGTAATACATAATTGCATAACTTCGCTAGTAAACGTGAAGTGAACATCCATCCTCTACAATCTGTCAACAGGAAAACAGTCATTCTATGCCCATGTGTGGAGATTTTATTTGATGTGAACCCATTATTATAAACTAAGACAGAAATCTTATGGTAAAAGGTTCACACAAATAGCAAATATTTCAAATCACATATTACACCATATAACAACAAGCGTATAGTCGACGAAGTCATCTATATCCCCCCGCCCATTTTAACACGTTATGGCCCAAAATTTCTCTTAGCCCATGTCAAAATAGCTGCAATGGAAATTCTAAAATAAACATTTCTAAAACTCCTTAATATCAAATGGCACCAGTTCTGTTCTGTTCTGTTCTGTTCTGTTCAGTATGTGCTTTATATATAGACATGCAATGTTTGGCAAGGAAATATTTCTGGAAATAATGCCCTGTAATACAAATTTCTAAAATTCATAAATAGCAAAAGGCACTAATTCAGCATGTGTCTGATAGATGTTGAAAATTTCATCCGGAATCGAACCCTACCCTTACTGTTTTCTAAGTCCAACTTGTTGCCATGGAAACGTAAAAAATTAAATTTCCTAAATAGCAAAAGGCACCAGTTCAGTATGTGCCTGGTAGACATGCAAAGTTTTGTAAGAAGTATTTAACGGTTTTTGAGTTACGCTACGGAAATGAACACCACCCTTATAGAACCTAAGTCCAACTTGTTGCCATGGAAACGTAAAAAATAAAAATTTCTAAAATTCCCCAATAGCAAAAGGCACCAGTTCAGCATGAGTCTGATAGACATACAAAGTTTCGTAGAGAAATATTTAACGGTTTCTGAGTTATGCTCCGGAAACGATTTCGGGACGCACGCACGCGGACACACGGACGCACGGACGGAACCTATTTCTATTTCCCCCGCCAACTTCGTCTTTCAATAATGATTAATTGGTTTTAAAACTTTGGACAAGTCCCCTCAGTACGATTGCCATGAAGCCTCCCACCCTCAAGATCTGTCTTGACTAATATCGCATTTACAGTGCTGTAATTCATTTGTGGGAGGAAAAATGAGGTACTGCAGAAATTTGGAAAGATGGAAAAAAATCGCAAAAACAACCACGTGAGAGCCTGGCGCTGAAACACAGCAACATGCACGTGCAACATCACTTGTTGGGCGAAACAAACGATGGGTTTTCATTTGCATGCCATCACAATCTTACAGCAAGTGAACAGCGAAACCATGCCCAGACGGAAGCCCAACGCAACAACGCCATCGATCGACGGCATGCAGGCGAATCATCTTCGGCCGTACCCAGGTTTTTCCCACGTAGCACCAAGCACCATTACAAGTCTGTTGAACCGTTATCCGACACAGGGGACAACACGTGCTCTTTCCTAGATCCGGTTGACCATATGTCACTACTGGAGCACAGGACAGATTCATACGGCCACGTCACTTGCAGGAACAACCACGGCCACCTCTACAACTACAGCAATAGCAGGATTGCGTAGGTTATCAGCCAAGTGAGGAACCGTTTACGCGCTGAAGATATTCGCACTAGACAACCAGTTCGAGGTGTCATTTTGACAGATCTACTTCGGCGGCTGCGACGTCAATGCTGTCAAGGTCACAGAGTATGGCCTCAACTGCGACGGAGACAAGTGTGGTTTAGTAAGGAGTCACGTTTTTTTATGCTTCGCCGTGCGGATGGTAGACGTGTTTACAGGCGTCTCGGGGAACGTTATGCATGAAACTGCATACTCCAAGGAAGTGAACAGATTTGGTGGCGGTAGTGTGATGTGGGCAGCCATCTCCTACACTGGTAGAACATACTTAGTGCAAGTTCTGGGGAATCTAACGTCACAACGTCACACGGATGAGATTCTCCGGCCAAACATCCTTTCCCATGATGCAGCAAGCGAACGGCCGACCGCGACGGGCAAGACTGACGACAGCCTTTTTGAGGAATGAAAACATCCAGGTCCTGCCATGGCCCTCCAGTCTCCTGATTTAAACCCAATCGAACATTTATGAGTGAGTGAGTGAGTTGGGTTTAACGCCGCTTTTAACAGTATTCCAGTTATATCACGGCGTGTCAGCTTAATGCGGGAGGAAAGCCCGAAGTGATGCAGGTCTCAGACGTTTACCACTTCAGTGAAACCCACGAGCACGGGTATGGTGCTGACAAACCTAGAAACATAATCGGGGTGAACCGGGATTCGAACCCACAATCATAGGTTTCTGGCGTGTCCAGGGGACGCAACTCTGCACAGCGAGTCGCGGCGCCTTAGACGACTGGGCCACCCGTGCCCCCTAATCGAACATTTATGGGGTGCACTGGATCAACTGCGAGCATGTCAGTAACATCAGAAGCTCTGACAGTTGGCACAAGCAACGCACTGCACGGAGAGTGGGTAAACATTTCCAAGCCCACGATTCGGAGACTGATTGCTTCCAATCAGTTTTGGACTCTAATGGGGCCATACACGATATTGAGCACAGATGACCTTTACTTGGAACGTCTATGAGTGCCATATGTAAATTGGGTCAATGGGAATGAAAATCTTGAACAATCGATTACCATGTGTTAATTTATATGATATATAAAATATCCATCTAAAATCATTTTTGAGCTTCTTAATGCAGAGTATGTTTTTGAATGAAGCGGACGGGAATCGAACGACCGACCTATCGTTCTCCAGGCAGACGCTCTATTCACAGGATCACGGACATTCTTGAGAACTCATAACTGAATATCTTGTCGACTCTCTTACCTCTTTGCGCGCACTCTCTCTCGTCCTCGCCATTGTTGCAGTGTTCTATCCCGTCACACCAGAGCTTGGCAGCCAAGCAGGCGCTGTCCTCTGTACATCGTCGCTCAGACGCGGAGCAGTTGACGGGACCTCACAATAAATTAGCATGTGAAATCAGCAGCTTTATATGATAAACTATACAAGATTTACACAGAAAACAACAACAACAACCAATACTATCTTAAGGCAGAGAATTTAAGGATGTCAACTTCTTTTTGAGGAACAACGAGTTGAGCATACTCCTTCATCAAGTCAAATGATGGAGTAAGCATATACTCCGAAACCTTGTGTTCCTCATAATAAAGAAGTTGACATCCATAAATTATCTTCCTTACGCGTATCACTTCTAAATGCCATTCAAAGACTTCATACTATCGTGTTTACTTTCAAACAATTTTAATAAAAGTCACTCACCTGACAATTTACGTAAACAATAGGACCGTGCTTATCCAACACATGATGGTAACAAACACCGTATTTCGTTTTCGAAATTCATTTGTTATTACATCAGTTGATGCCGTTACTGATATCAAAGGAATGAATATTGTTTTACGCCAGTCCGTTATATTACAATATTAAGACGGCCTGTAAGTTATCGAGTCTGGACCTGTCAACAATCCACCCTGGGTATCTTGACACCAAATCGGCCCGGTCACTGTGACATGTGGTAACCACTTTATCTCACTGTAGCCGGCTCGTGCAAGTTCAGGGGCCCTACTCTGGCCCGCAATCACCACTGAACAGAACTTTATATCACTCAAGGCTTCAAGATATAGCATGTTGGGGGTTAACAGAACAATATATACACATGCATGGCGGCAATATGTACAATAGTCACTTAAAAGCACTTTATCATCCAAAACTGGAGATATCGCTTGGGTGAGATCAAGCGATATCTACATTGTAGATATCGCTGCAATGAAATTGCATCACAATGCTTTGGAGACCATTTTGACGTCATTGTTACCATGACATCACAATCAAATGACATCACTAATGGTTCTGCTACTGAAGCTGTTTGCAGTACTTTTTATACTTATGACACTGTTTATTACCGTCTACAAACTGAAAAGGTTGGAAGAATGATGTTGGATGATAAATAAAATCTCACCCTCGTGTCTTTTGATATCAAACATATCAACAACTCATTGATAAAAGTGGAAAAACTGCTCGGCAAGCCTCAGAGTTTTTCCACTTTTCTCAACTCGTGTTGATATATTTGATATTTAAAGACACGAGGGTGAGATTCTCTATAAACATTTTCAGAAAATTTATAATTTCTTCATGGTAGGTTTGTTTATCTTTACATTAAAACAATTTCACCAGTTTTGACATTGAAGGATTTCTTGTATGATATGAATAGATATATGTTGAGCGACAGGTAACAAACTTTTCACAAAATTTAGATATAATGATACTCGTTAGCAATGTCATTGCATGTACAGAATGGACTTTTAACTGGTGGTATTGTTGTCCAGCGACCGTTTTCAAATTGTAGCCTGTGACAAGACAATCTAAAATGTAAAAGTGGCATGTGGTATTTTTGGGGTAAATTATCCAGGTAGAATCGTTATAATTTCATATTTGATAAGTTTATAGACGTTCATAGTATATTGTTGGATGACCTGATCTTCAAGACATTTAAAATATATTAATCTCCATGGAGATTTATTTATCCAAAAGGCATTATAACCGGATATGAAAAGCATATTTTAATAACTGAAATCCAGTTGTTAGAATAATTGTTATTGCATTTATCAAGCAATACAAATTTATACATAGTAAAGGATGTTTTTGACATTTCGCAGTGATTATTTTTGCCCAGAAAGCAATCATTTTACTCTTTATAGTGATGTAACGTGGTTTCCGTACCATTGTTGCCGCCAACATATAAAGTGGTACTGTTTCCGATACGTAACACTTTCATATTAAAATCAAGGTGAATCTTCTCCATTATAGAGCAGTTTTCAAATCCCAGATTTCTGAACCATAAGTTAGGATGGGGGATTATGATAGCATCAAATAATTTTAATTGGCAGGTTATCGAAAGGTTATGTAATCTAGCTTTGGTCAAATTGAAATGCATTGCCTTTGATCTTCCTCACAATAATTGCTGAGTGGAATAGAATGTACAGGACTTTTTGAAAGTTACTCCAAGGTACATGTACATGTATTTATTCACATGTTCTAAAAAAACATCATTAACAGTAAACAGTAGAATAATCTCTTTGTTTCACAAAATGTGGTTATTTTACATTTGTCAATATTTATCCTCAGCTTCCCTTTACCGCAAAACGTCTCACATGTACTAAGAATCTTTGAAGGTCATCCTTATTTGTAGCTAAAAGAGCAGAATCATCAGCATATAGAAATGCAAATCACTCAATGAACACATTCAGAGACGTGTCGTCATAACAATTCCATCACAATTCTTTTCAGTTAGCAATTCCACAAGGTCATTAAGGAATAAAGAGAATTCGAATAGCAAAGGCGACAGGTTTTCACCTTGTCGTACACCTTTCAGACATTGAAAGGATTCTGTGGATATTCCTTTGCTTGAAATACATGATTTGATATTGCTATACATGGAGTATATTATTTGACATTTTCCATTAATCCCATATTTTATATGTCTTTGCTATAATCCCTGTCACCAGGCGTTGTCGAAGGCTTTTTCAAAATCATTATAAGCACAGAATAGATTTTTCTTTTATGTTTTCAAAATATGAATATGACTACATATTGAAGATGTGGCCTCTAGTAGAGTATACCTTCCGGAATCCAGCTTGAATTTCAGACAGGGTTTCAGTGTAATCGAGAAACGAAATTAGTCTGTTGCTTAAGACACATGTAAATGACTTGCTCAGACACGATAGGAGTGTAATGGGTCTATAATTCTTAGGGTCATTAAAATCTCCTTTCCTTTTATAAATGGGTCTTATGGTACCATTAAAGCAATATGTTGGAGAACAGCCCGAATCTAAGATTTTAGTAAATACATCTCTGCATATGCTTAAGTTATGATATGCTCATTAATTATATTGTCGCATCCACTGGCTTTATCATTTTTTAATTCATTAACAGCAACAGCAATTTCAGCTGCCGTAAATAGTCTGTCCAGATATTCTTCTGCTTCAGTAAAAGCAGGGTTTAAAGTCATGATCACCTTCATTTACTTCACCATCTGTATTACGTTCTTTGAAATACTCATACAGCTTGTCAAGCGGGGTATTCGTTCATCTTCCACGGAGACAAGCATGGGACGGGGAGATGCTCTGCACAGGAATCCCCACCGTGAGACAGGCTGTTCGTAGCAGATACCAACCTGCCCTGAATACCCACGGGGAGACATGCATTGCGTGAGAGAGAGTGTGCGAGAGAGAGAGAGAGAGAGAGAGAGAGAGAGATATGCCGATTTATAGTGCTGGCCCACTGAGATACCATGCCGCAGTTTAACATGAATACCCTACTCAGATACAGCATTCTGACTCCGAGCCGGCCACTCCTTGTTTTAGACCCTTCATGCCGAGCGCCAGACAGGGTAACAACAAGTACCTTCCGCTTCCGCTTCCGCACTCCGGGCGGACGCTCTACCACCAGGCGGGGGCGGTCAGTCGACAATTTTAAAAAGAAAATACTATAATAGTCCTCGTTTCATAGTGCTATTGTTTATATTTCCCTTATATACAAATACTGATTTTCATGATGTCAAGTGCATATTTAAATAGAATGACCTATCTGATTTTACCATCAGCATAGTGGTTACAGTTGAGTTACCTTGAGTTGAGTAGTTACCGTTCAAGTAGTTCGTGTTTCAAATAATAAACATTCAACCGTCTATTTTTCAAACGTGTCTGTTAGTATTACCTGGTGATGAAAAAGTCGACTGTTAAACATCCTATTATAGATTAATTTTAAAAACTGTGCTTGAGAAATACTTGACAACATCCAAGTGCTCCACTATTGTTCTGATACAAACGTGCCTGTACGCCGATACCGTACATACCCCATTATACCGATCCACCACGGTAACATTGTACGGGATTACGAGCCCAGGTTTCTTCATTTAGCCAATGTGCATTGCTACTTGAGGCTTCCAAGTTGGTTATATTGATATAGGGATCGACGTTCCTTACTCATAGCATCCACGAGGGTTAGTTAACTCATGGCACCGCCTTAACGTTGTTTGTGTGTTTGTTGTTTAACGCTGCACTCAGCAATATTACAGCGATATGACGGCGGTCTGTAAATAATCGTGTCTGTACCAGACAATCCAGTGATTAATATCATGAGCATCGATCCACGCAGTTGGGATCGATGACATGCATCAACCAAGTCAGCGAGCCTGACCACCCGATCCCTTTAGTCGCCTCTTACGACAAGCATAGTCGCCTTTTACGGCAAGAATTGGTAGCTGAAGATCTATTCTACCCCGGATCTTCACGGGCCGCCTTAACGTTGAGGAAATCCAGATGTGACGCAAGTAGGAAACATTTACACTTTCAATATTGTATGTTTATTGTTTAATATCGATCTCAGCAATATTCCAGCTGTATGTTGCAAAGGATGCAACTCTGCACGGTTGGTTGGATGGTTTGTTGTTTAACGCCGCACTCAGCAATATCCCAGGTATATGACGGCGGTCTGTAAATAATCGAGTCTGCGAATTCCGGCACCTGAGGACTAAGCTTCACCCTATACCCACGGCCTCAGACCCGAGAAGATCCGGGGTAGAATAGGTCTTCAGCAACCCATGCTTGCCGTAAAAGACGACTATGCTCGTCGTAAAAGGCGATCGGGTGGTAAGGCTGACTGACTTGGTTGATGCATGTCATCGATCCCAATTGCGTGGATCGATGCTAATGATATTAATCACTGGATTGTCTGGTCCATACTCGATTATTTACAGACCGCCGTCATATAGCCGGAATATTGCTCAGTGCGGCGTTAAACAACAAAGAAAAAAACAAACAAACCCACGGCCCTCAGCAGACAATTATGTACGAATCTTTAACTACAGTAAACTACGGTTATAACGAACTCAAAGGGACTACTATTTTTAGTTCGTTATAAGCATATATACAGCATAACTACAGCAAATAGTCGGGACTAAAAAGTGAGTTCGTTATATCCGTCAGTTCGTTATAAGCGTGTTCGTTATAACCGTAGTTTACTGTAGTTTTGGTGAGGTGAAATTGGGTTTAACGTCGCGTCCAAGATTATTGCACTTATATAGCGACGTGCATGCACGTGTATGTGTGTGTGTGGCTGCTTGTACTAGTCCGGACTGATGCCGATTTATAGTGCTAGCTCACTGAGATACCATGCCGCAGTTTAACATGAATACCCCACTCAGACACAGTATACTGACTCCGAGCCGACCAGTCCTTGTTTTAGCCCCTAAATGCCGAGCGCCAGACAGGGTAACAACAAGTACAATCTTTTAACGTCTTTTTGTATGACGCGGCCCGGGATCGAACCCTGGACCTTCCGCTCTCCGGGCGGACGCTCTACCACAAGACCACGCAGGCGGTCTACTGTAGTTTTGACCTTATGTGTGAAAATAACATTTGAGCTCTTTGGGCACAAAAAATGTTTTTACCCGCAAGTAAGCTCATCGACCAATTTCGTAGGAATAAAAAATATATAAAGCTTAAGATGACGACAATAGATGATTTGTCACGACAAAAACTCGGAAGAGTCATCATGCATTGCAATCGAATACCACACCCACAATGTAGAAAAAGTGTACAATTAAATTTATAATCTTGTAACAAGCTTACAAGAAGAAACAATCATTCATCTTATTGACCAAGACAGTCATATTGGTTCAAAATATCAATTTATGTAGATGCTTGCGCAAACGAGCCTCGAAAACGAGATTTCCGGTAATGAGCGAGTTAATAAATTGACAAACCGCAAGTCGTGACGTGACAAGATGGATGGAAGAACTACATCAGCGAAATCAACAGTGCAGTGCATGACAATGATTGTCAACACGATGGTGGGAGGAGGACCTATAGCCCACGATAGCGTTTGTGGTGATCGTCGAGTTAAATGCGGATCATGTAAGGCCAAATCCTATCTAAGAGTCATCGCACTTCATTTCCAACTTGACGAAAGCTCTGAATGTCAGGTTGGAAGTCGGGGATCCTCCCTATCGTCAGTCAATTGTCTGGGGCCTGGGAGAAGGCTATCGTATGAAGAGATGACTGGGCTTGTGATATAAGGCCAAAATATATTGATTTACGTCTTCGTGAGTGTTCCTGGCGATTAGTGAGTGAGTGAGTGGGTTTGGTTTAACGCCGCTTTGAACAGTATTTCGGTTAGTTGTATTATGGCGTGGCATCTTTCTGTGGGAGGAAAGCCCGATGTCAAAATAGCTGCAATGGAAATTCTAAAATAAACATTTCTAAAACTCCTTAATATCAAATGGCACTAGTTCAGTATACGCTTTTTATATAGACATGCAATGATTGGCAAGGAAATATTTAACAGTTTGTTTGTTATACTACTCAAACCAATCCTATATTAAAACTTAAATCCAAATTGTCATGGAAACAAAGAATAAAAAATTCTAAAAGTGCTATATATCAAAAAGCACCGGTTCAGTATGTGCCTGGTAGACATCCAAAGTTTTGTAAGAAAATATTTAACGGTTTTTTGAGTTACACTCTGGAAACGGACACCACCCCTGTAGAACACCACCCCTGTAGAACCTAAGTCCAACTTATTGCCATAGAAACGTGAAAAATAAAAATTTCTAAAATTCCTAAATAGCAAGAGGCACCAGTCCAGTATGTGTCTGGTAAACATGCACAGTTTTTGTTGGAAATTATTGAATGAGTTTTGAGTTATGCTCCGGAAACAAACTCTCCCCTTTAGAACCTAAGTCCAACTTGTTGCAATGGAAACGTAAAAAATAAAAAAATTATAAAATTCCTAAATAGCAAAAGGCACCAGTTCAGTATGTGCCTAGTAGACAAGCAAAGTTTTGTAAGAAAGGATTTAACAGTTTTTGAGTTATACTACGGGAACGAACACCACCCTTATAGAACCTAAGTCCAACTTGTTGCCATGGAAACGTAAAAAATAAAAAATTATAAAACTCCTAAATAGCGAAAGGCACCAGTTCAGCATGAGTCTGATAGACATGCAAAGTTTCGTAGAGAAATATTTAACGGTTTCTGAGTTATGCTCCGGAAACGATTTCGGGACACACACACGCACGCACACACGCACACACGCACGCACGCACGCACACACACACACACGGACGGAACCCATTTCTATATCCCCCGCCAACTTCGTTGGGGCGGGGGATGAAAATGAAGGTATGCTGCCCTTTCATTACTTTAAGAAATCAATTGGTAAATATTGTCACTGAAATTATGTCACCTCTGAAAAGACGCATGTGTTTGACTATCTGATGAGACAAAGCGGATTCCAGGTGCCACCACCGTCAGATCTCGCGCCGACCCGACCAACCCCGACCAACCCCACTTTATGTATAATATGCCAAAGAAAACATCGATAACTTATGTTACTAACAGCGTAAATGTGTAAAGACTTGAATTGCAGCAACCCCTTGAGGGGATCTTTGATAAGGATAACAATGAATAAGTGCTGATATTTCATTGATAAGTTTCATATAATCACACTGACAGTGAATTGAGCGATGAAATGCTATCAGAGAATTACAAAACATCAATCATAGTGAAGCGTGAGAAAAGTATTCTATAATAAATCGTACTGTAAGTAATACTTACTTTTCGAGAAGAAAAAGGCATTTGCCGATGATAAGAAACATAGCAACACGAAAATACATGCACATGTTGAAGCCATGTCACTTGGCACGAGCACTAACGAATCACCCGACTTCCCTAAACACAGTGCGTCGCTCAACTGTACCGCGCAGTGCGAGCTATGACGTCATCTTGCATGGACATCCCGTGCGTCCCTGGGTAAGGCGACCGGGTGCATGATCCCTCGTATTTCATGTGTTCAAGACAACAATTAACGTGTCAATATCGATTGTGAAAACTTGTTTATTGGTTGTAGGTGAATTATTTCCAGAAGAAAAATGTTTGTAAATGTGACAAAGGAAAAGAAAAGATAAGAAGCAAATCGGGTTTGGTAATTAATTCTGATAGGTCTTCATCTTTCAAATAGTGAGTGGGTATGGTTTTACGCAACTTTTAGCAATATTCCATGACGAGGACACCATAAATTGGCTACACAGGTGGGAAATCGAAATCGAACCCGGGTGTTCAGTGTGACGAGCGAACGCTTTATAACCACTTGTCTATCCCACAGCCTTTCTCTTTAATAGTTAATACAATCTTAACGAAAATTTGAATACGTTTTGGAGTCTTTCGGGTTTTTGGGGGGCTATTGGCGTTGATCGTGTTTATTGATAAAGTTGTTCGTGTTGATCGGGAAAATATGTGAATTTTCTTTACTGCCATATAATAGCGACCTTCAAAATAGACTCGCACTGGTCGACAGCATAGTCAGACTCATGCGAGTCAGGTACGATGACACGCCGTGCCAACCAGGCAACAGCTGAGAGAGTGACGTAAATGGTTGCGTGGGGAGACGCTTGGCCGAAATACAGGTCTATAAGTATTTTGGAAGCAATGTTTTGACTCTGTAAGTAAACAATTATATCATTCAACATTCTATTGTCATATGGCAGTGTAACGTATTGTTAAACAATGTTGCAATTGTATTTCTTTGTGTCTTTTGATATTCAATAGAAGCTCATAGCATTGTGTTTTGACAATGTTCAGTTGTCAGAAATGTAGTACTATCTAATGTAAGCAGTGGTGTGGAAGTTACTATATTTAAATGTTTTTGTAGTCAGTTGTAATCTAGAATCTTCCTTCTTGGGGGTATTTATATTATATAAGAACGTGCCTTTTGTATCTCACATTATATCTCACATTACATCAAGACCAGCGATTGTGTGAACATCACTTTTCACACTGGATGTCCAGCCTAGACCTCTTTTGGAGGCTTGACCACTGTTGCTGCTAGGTGATAATTATGATCACTGCTGTTATATTTTATTCTACCATTGTAATTGTACTGTCATTGCGTTGTGTTCTGCCACTCTATTGTGTACTGCCATTGTAATTGTACTGCCATTGCGTTGTGTTCTGCCACTCTATTGTGTACTGCTATTGTTATTGTACTGCCATTGCGTTGTGTTCTGCCACTCTATTGTGTACTGCCATTGTAATTGTACTGCCATTGCGTTGTGTTCTGCCACTCTATTGTGTACTGCCATTGTAATTGTACTGCCATTGCGTTGTGTTCTGCCACTCTATTGTGTACTGCCATTGTAATTGTACTGCCATTGCGTTGTGTTCTGCCACTCTATTATGTACTGCCATGTAATTGCTGTGCAGTAATATGGGCGGTCGGGTAGCCTAATGGTTAAAGCGTTCGCTCGTCACGCCGAAGACCCGTGTTCGAATCCCGGCATGGGTACAATGTGTGAAGCCCATTCTGGTATCCCCCCGCCGTGATATTGCTGGAATATTGCTAAAAGCGGCGTAAAATCATACTCACTCACTGTGCAGTAATATGTTTTAATTGTTAATTGTGTATCATTTCCTCGTTGTTTTTTGGTTTCACACTGAATTCTTTAGCGTACAGATTTCTGGGTTAAGGTATTGTTTCAATTTTGAAGTCAACACGTAACAGTATACAATAATCACAACAAATAGGAAGAGAGGAGACCGTGTTTCAGCCAACAATATCGATTGGCGGTGATCATTGTCAATGTCTTGACTCTAGCGTGTATTCATCCATCGATACACCTGTTCTTATTGATAGTTGTGAAGGCTTCAATGTGAGACGGGTGTATTTCTAAATTGGTTTACAGATCCGCCTACCGTAAACAAGAAAACAGGATAAGTATGGGTTTTTTATATTACCGCCGATTCTGAAAACCCTATTTAGAAATATAATATATCACAAATTGGTTTCATGCCTGGCGCGACAAACGATTATCAGGATCTTTGATATCATGAATGTGATTTATCACAAATCAGAAAAAAATGATTTCACGAACAAAAATATATTTGTGGTTTTTTTCTTCGACCATCGGCTTAAAGTTTTGAGAGAAAAAATCCGTAAGCCAACTACCGAAAAAGGACTGTACTGAGAAAAAAGGGTCTCTGACTTCTACAAACTTAATTACTGGTAATCCAGGATATGTTTGGAACCAACTCACAAAACGCATTTGAGACAGGTAGGCGGTGAACAGAATTTAGGCAAACATAGTTGGTTTCTTCCAGGTACAGAGGGTGAACGCAAATTATGCACGTGCAGGTGATGACGGTGAAATTAACGACGCTCCCATGGACACACGTGTTGCTCATAAGACTAATAAGAGGTCGGTGTGAGAAGCTGATACCAGAATTCTCTAAAAGTCGTTCGATGGAAGTTAATTACAAACAAATGAACATGCCAAAGCTAGGTAAACAAGTCAAAGCTAGGTAAGCCTGGCCAAAGCATACATTCTCAGGCAAGTGGCCTTTAATGTCAAAGTGAGTGAGTGAGTATGGTTTAACGCCGCTTTTAGCAATATTCCAGCGATATCACGGCGGGGGACACCTTAAAATGGGCTTCACACATTGTACCCATGTCGGGAATCGAACCCGGGTCTTAGGCGTGACGAGCGAACGCTTTCACCACTAGGCCACCCGACCGCCCCCTTTAATGTAAAAAAAAACGTGGAGAAAGAATGTATAAATGAATCTCAACCATTGTCAAAAGTTAGCATTGACACTGGTCTGACTGTATCCGTATGACATGACACTATTCGTTATTGCTCTCTGAGGTAAAAAAAAAAAATGGTCCATTTTAACAGCATATGAATTCTCCCTTCATTGTCACGATACTTCTCAATTGTTCATTGTCTCTGCAAATTTGCTGTCACCGTTTAAACAGTCATCGGCACGCACGTACTATTATGTGCTATTGAACTCGCCGCTAGAAGTGGTTGTTAGCCGAGACAGGACATGCACATATCCATCGTAAAATTTGTCACGGACCACCCGCTACCCCTTTCTTCAAATTGGTACACACCAGTGGGCGGACACCATCCATAGTCATACGGGGTTAGCTGTCAGGTCACAACTCAACTTATCCTGCCTTACCAGTGTAACAGCCGCCAGAAGATTAGTAATCAACGAATTTACTATCCTGCCTGGTAGATTTAATGCGGCAGAGGTGGAGAAAAGGGGTATCCAATTTCAGTTTCGGCGTCAAGACCACGTGACACTCCTCATTTCCGCTCGCCATTTTGAAATAACAAGGAGATGATTATGAATCGGATTGTTGTGTACATATTAGTTTTGTAACGTTTTGTAATGTTATTTTTTAATGACTGACAACATTATGAACTTTATAGCCCTTGTTAAGTTTCCACCTTTGTTATCTTATTACTGTTATTGTTCTCAGAAGTACATATGTATGTTCTCTGTTCCACAGCATTTATTAACCTGATGAAGGAGTAAGTTTATACTTCGAAACGTGAGGGACGCCACCTACCGTGTGTGCGACAAGTTGGGGTCCACTTTGCTTGACAACATTTACAAGGTTTTTTGAATATCCGTAGGGAATTAAGTAACATGAAACCCCCACACGTAAACCTAAAGGTATATTCTGGATATTCTATAATTAAAAAGGCAATCACAGTGGACCTGTGGGGTTTGTGGATTGGTAACTTTTGCCAGCCGAGAGGCACCAGTCAAGTCGGCCATATGCGGTCATATACCCCGTTCATTTGTTGTTTAAGCCGCACTCCGCAATATTCCAGCTATATAAGGCTGTCTGTAAATAATCGAGTCTGTGTTCCAGACAATCCAGTGATTGACATCATGAGCATCTATCCACGCAAATGGGATACGATGACATGAATCAACCAAGACAGCGAGCCTGACCACCCGATCGCGTTAGTCGCCTTTTACGGCAAGCATGGGTTGCTGATGGGTTGCCTATTGTACCCCTTATATATCCCGTACACGGGGTACACCACAAATGTGCTTCACACCCATGTCGGGAATCGAACCCGGGTCTTCGGCGTGAACGCTTTAACCACTAGGCTACCCGATCGCCGCTAAGGTTGTTTTGTACAACGGCACCCAGGAATCTTTGAGAATGGACATCGGTTCACTTTATGAAAGGCAAAGTAATCTAGAAGATGAACGTGAAGCTCCTGGTGACACAGCTTGCCTGGCAAGACTCAGCGACAAGGTAAATACTCTCCAAGATTCTGTAGAAAGTATAACAGTATAGCCGAAGAAACAATATCCTTTTGTTCAATGTGGTGAGGAAAGAAATGTAGTAAAACGCCTTGTTTGTGATATTGTAAATGAACATGCAGAAGAGGGAGGTACCTTTATTGCACTGACTGACATTGCAACATCCTACAGACTTGGATCGTTGTCAAGCAAGGAAACAACAATATAACGGTATTGCTTGACAACGGTATGTGGATCTATACCGAAACGTCGCTTTTTACAGTATTGAAGAAGTTGTTATCCATAAAATTGTGTCTACCTTGTCATCCGTCAACTTCTAAGTAATGCCTATCAAACAATTTAAAGAAAGAATCGTTTATTTCAGAATGTTGTCATGAGACTAAAATGTGCTTTTGAACAGGACTGGCTTTCCTCATTGTCAAACAGTTATAAAACACAATTTTATTCCTCCTTTAAACCACTTCTAAATTTGTTGAACTATATTTGAAAGAAATTACCATTGCAAAATTTAGAACAGCTTTGTCCCAGGTCCATTGCATTTCCCACAATCTCTGCATAGAAATCGGGTATCATAATATTCCAAGACTTAAAGGGATTTGCCTGTACTGCAATACCAATGTTATGGAGGATGGGTAAGATTGTATATTGATTTGTTCTAAATACAATACGTTACGAGACAGATACGTTTCTAACAAATTCGTTATCCATCCGACCCGTGAAGATCCGGGGTAGAATATGTCTGTTTGTTTGTTGTTTAACGCCGCTCTCCGCAATATTCCAGCTATATGACGGCGGCCTGTAAATAATCGAGTGTGGACCAGACAATCCACTGATTGATATCGTGAACTGAGAACAGAAGTCAGTGTGAATAGAGAAGAACGGGCCATTCTCAGACCAGATGCTGATGAAGTATCCAACAAAGTAGATGAACTGTATTAGTGGTCTGACAATATTGGTGACCTAGAGTCTAGAATAGAACATCAGGAAAGACAGATCAGACGAAATGATTTGATTGTATATGGGGTACCAGAGAGAATAGAAGAATCTTATAAAGTGTGCAAGGAAATGATACTAGACATTTTAATAGAGCCAGAAATAAGAATCCTACATATGAGGAACTTGCTGATAGAGACATAGAACGTGTACACAGGATATCCAGCAAAACAACAAATAAATCCCGTCCTCTTATAGTGAAAATGGCACACTGGGATAATTGAATCCAAACACTTGGGTTTAGGGATACCCTGAGAGAAATGGGATATGGTATGGCTAAGGAGCTAACATACTTCCAGCGACAAGAGCTGGGCAGGTTACGTCGTGAAAACCCAGAAACGAGGAGGGAAAAAGGAGGATGTGAAGAAGGATAGTGATATGAGAGATAGTCAAGAGACACCAGAGAGAACTACAGCACACAGACGGGAGAGAAGGGATAGCCAGAACACCAGAACATCACCCTCACAAGGACATAGACGGGGAGGTTCACACACAGGACCACGACTTCTGAGTTCTCGCTCTAAGGCCTGGGACAGGTCAGCAACCCACTAGGGGTGCGACGAGACCGAGCGTGATTGTAGGACGCCTCATGTAGATACGATAGATGATGTCCATGATTGTAAATTTGAGAATACATGTAGAACATTTGTTTTCTGGAATGTATCAGGACTTAATTCTACATTAACTGATCAGGACTTTACCGATTATTTAAACTCATTTGACTTCATCGGCATAACAGAAGCATCAATTAAACATATAGATATTAGTTTGATATTTCCAGGATTCAAGCTATGAATCAAAGAAGCTGAAAAGATTTCCAACTTTGGTTGACCTTCTGGTGGTATTGCCTTATTAGTTAGACAACAACTTGTTAAATGTGTAAAATGGTCTAACGTTTACGACAGTGGCATTTTCATGCTGTTAGATAAAACCGTATTTGGATTTAAGAAAGATTTGCTATATTCATGTGTTTATGTTTACCCTGAATGTTCTACTTGGTACACAAACCCTTTGAGGCAATGCAAAAATGGCATACATATATTACAAATAGACTTACTTGATATACTAGCACATTGTGATGATGTTTATTTGATGATTGGAGGAGACTTGAATGTCAGAACTGGCACTGAATCTGATTTTGTAGAAGATGATATCCTTGAATATCTCGAGGGACATGATAACAGTGTATGGGGATTTCTGTTTTAAAAAGATTTTCTGTGGATTTATCTTTGAATAATTTTGGTAAGAGCTTACTAGATTAATGCAGTATACTAAATATACATATTATGAATGGAAGGTGCGGGTCAGACGCCGGGTGGGAGATTTTACTTTTATAGGAAACCAGGGTGCGAATGTGGTGGATTATGTTATTGCCTCGTCCGAGTTGTTTGGTATGTGCCATATGTTTGACATATCGTCTCGAGCCGAGTCATCACAACTTCCTGTCACGACTAGTTTACGTACGCTTCTAGTAAGTGATCCTACGCCACGCAATACACGTAACAATGCTTCCTTTAAATTTGTGTGGGTTGAAGAGAAGGCTGAACAGTTTAGAATAAACCTTATTTCTGGGAGTGCGCATGATTTACTGGAGAAGGATGTAGATATAGCATGTGTTAACGTTGAAGAAAGTATTGGGTATATTACTGAAGCTGTTATTATTGCTGCATCTGATATGAAGAAGATGAATAAGGGCTGTAAATATGATCAACAATGGTTTGATAGCGAATGCCAGCTACTTAAAATGGAACCATGTAGACGTTTAAATAACTTTAGAAAGAATAAGGACAGAGGAACGCTAACAGACTATAATAGAGTAAGAAATCAGTACAACGATCTTTGTAAGAAAAACAAGACAGAATATTTCGAACAAAAACAGAAACTGTTGGAATCAAGCATAGATTATTCTAAAACATTTTGGTCATCGCCAAAAGCCATTAAACCAAATAGATATTGCAAAAATAACATTGATATTCAAGCCTGGTTTGAGCATTTCCTGGAATTGTTTTCAGTTCCATTTAGCCATGATGATAACAATCTATTTGACATGGAATTCAACGAACAAAGAGTTGACAGTGTAACAGCTGATATTCTTGAATGTCCAAAATCTAAAGAGGAAATTATTGACAGCATATCCAACCTTAAAGATAATAAGACATCTGTGATAGCAGAGTTTTTAAACATTCCTCAGATATTTTAATACCATATTTGGAACTTATTTTTGATATCCTTTAAGAGAGATAATATTTTCCAGAGAATTGGACAGTTGGTATTATTGTTCCTCTTCACAAACAGGGCGCAACCAGTGATGTTAATAATTATAGAGGCATAACTCTCCTAAGTACATTCAGTAAAATATTTACTTCAATTATTAACAAGAGACTTGTTTCTGGGAGGATTCTTATGATAAAATAAGTGAGTCACAAGCAGGTTTTAGAAAGGGATACTCCGCCACTTACAATGCTTTTATCCTAAATTCTATAATACAGAGATATCTATCAGTGAAACTAGGGAAGCTATATGCTGTATTCGTAGATTTTGCAAAAGCTTTTGACTCTGTGAAAAGGGTAAACTTGTGGTCACTCTTTCAAAGACATGGGCTGAGTAGCAAAATTGAAAAGTTATTGTGCTCAGTGTTCGAAATACCTGCCTGCCCGACCGTCCGAGACGGGTTGATTTCAACTCGGGCTGCCAGATTTTCAAATCCCCCTGTCCGACGGTCGGGTTATATTTCATATGTGAAAATATTCTAAATATTTCCCGATGATAAGCATTAATTCACATGTAAAGATGAATGATAAAATGTAACCAAAAAGAAACCCCGTTAGCTTATCCTGAGAAACATATGATTATAGTGGGCAGGCAGGTTTTGGTCAGGGCTGGCAAATATTTCAGCTAGCCAGTCCTGTGGTCTGGCTGACATTTTTGGGAGTTTCATACCCTGTTGTGCTCTCTATATAAAAATGTGAAGGTGTGTGTCCGGAACAATGGCGCTATATCGGATAATTTTGTAAGTAGCATGGGTGTCCGACAAGGGTTTATATTAAGCCCCTTCTTATTTTCCTTTTTCATAAATGAATTAGCATTTCAAATCCAAAATAATTGCACTGATGGAATACAACTACACAACGAAACTATTAAATTATTTCTGCTTCTTTTCGCTGACGATATAGTCATGTTCTCGAGCACAATACCTGGCTTGCAAAAACAAATACATGTATTAGAGAGTTATTGTGACGGGTCAAAACTTACTGTAAATATGGATAAACCAAAGTTGTAGTTCTTAAAAATGGTGGTAACATATCCAGAAAAGAAAAATGGCTTTACAGAGGGAAGCCTGTAGAAGTTGTTCCATTTTATAAATACTTAGGCATGTGTTTTACAAGTAGATTAACTTGGTCAAGGAATGCACATAACATTTCATTGCAAGCCAAGAATTTTTTTGTAGGCATATTAAAAAGTCTTAGAGTTCTGCACAATATTACATATGATGTTTATTTTAAAATATTTGATACAAAAATAAGCCCGATTTTATTGTATGGATCAGAAATTTGGGGCCCAGAACATTTGGATGTTATTGAGAAACTACATTTATATGCATGTAAAAAGTTCATGGGTGTAAAATCTAGCACAGAAAACGCAAGGGTATATGGTGAATGCGGACTGTTTCCCATGTATATCAATAGTTATTTAAAGGTTATTAAATACTGGGTCAAGCTATTAAATATATCATCTTCAAGATACCCTAGAAAATGTTATAATATGACGCTTCTCTACGACAGCCATGGGAAACAAAATTATGCATCAAAAGTTAAAAACATGGTATACGAATGTGGATTTGGTTATATTTGGTTACAGCAACATGTAGATATGGCACAGCATTTCTTCTCCCGTTTGACACAGACCTTAAAAGATATGTACATCCAAAAATGGCATGGTTCTTTGTCCAGTTCTAGAAAAGCAAATTACTGCACTACATTTAAGACTACTATTATACGAGAACCTAATCTATTAAGTGTAAATTTACATAAGTTAAGAACAGCTTTTTCTCGATTTCGTTGTGACTCACATGATTTATTTACTGAAACAGGCAGATATGAAGGTATTGCAAGAGAACATAAACTTTGTAGGATTTGTAAAACTGATTGCATTGAAGATGAATATCACTTATTATGTGTATGTCCAGTGTATAAAGATTTAAGAGCAAAATATCTAGATAAAAATTTCTACCGCAACCCAAACGGTAACAAATTCTTTAATAAAGGACTTGTGATTGTACAGAAACTATTAGAAATTTATCAATGTTCATTTATCATCCTATGAAACTCAGAAAATGTTGACAGTATGAATTTGTAACACGCCCCAGACAATGTACTATAGGCCTTTGGCCTCATAAGTTCCATGAATAAAGATTGATTGACATCATGAGCATTGATCTACGAAATTGGGATACGATGACATGCATCTACCAAGTCAGCGATCCTGACCACCCGATCACGTTAGTCGTATCTAACGACAAGAACAGTCTACTTTTACGGCAAGCATGGGTTGCTGAAGACCTATTCTACCCCGGATCTTCACGGGTCTGTCAGCATATGTACATGTACTGTATACTTTACCGTGTTTAGCTACAAAATATAAACACAAAGTGAACATGGGACCATTAAAAGATTTATTTGCTCTTCGGGTTAATGTGAGTGAGTGAGTGAGTTCTGTTTCACACCGCTTTTAACAGTATTTCAGTTATATCCGGGCGTGTCAGCTTAAAGTGGCTGGCACAGCGAATTGCAACCCTCCCGTGAACCTCCCTTGATGGGAGGTGGCGGCGTTGTGAAAGGATTTGTGTGAGATTCTTTAGTTTATAGTTTATGCATGCCCAAAAGAGAAATGTTATTTTCCTCATTTGCCTTTTCTAATGAGGCGTGAGAGTCATTATCATCAACATTAACAATAAATGCTACTGTTTAGGCCGAAAGTATACATCCTTGGTCAACATGGACAACACACTAGGTATTTGTTTCATCTTGTAAACATAAGGCCTTTTAACATCCTTTATTTCTTGAACTTCGAATCCGTATGCCACCATCTTGTTGACTCGTGTCATTAAGGTCATGAGGTCAAGTGTTGCGCCATGTTCCTTCAGAACTTCACACAGGGCCTGTATGAACAGCGAACCCTGCATGTTGTCACGCCACGAATAGTACCCTGTAACATCAATATCATGAACATGATTTAGACCGGGATAATTAGAGAAGAACAAGCTTCGAAGAATTACGGATCATCTGTCCCAAGCATAAATAAATGGTATTAATACCGAGCCGAGCATTCATTCAGATGGTCCGGACATTGTTCGTCATATGACCCCTTGACATTTTAAGAGAGAAAATGAAGAAAAAAAGTATGAAATTATAATCTTCACTGAATGCAGTCTATTCTTAAGATGACGTCATGTTTTCAATTTGTGACGTCGTGAAAAAAAGGATGACGTCATTTCGTATTGTTCTCAACAATACAGCACTGTGATGTATTATGGCTTCAAGTGACCGATCAGCATTGAGAATCGCGTAACTGCACATGTGCAAATATTAGTATACACGATCATTCTACAATTATGGGTAATATTATTCAATACAAACGTGTAAATACCATTTACAAACCTCTTGTGATGTCATAATATTCACCATGACGTCTTCAATCGGGTTCAGTCTTACATATATATTCCGGTGATATTGTAACGTGTCTGTCCCGCGCTAGAGGTATATTTTGCATTTGAACACAATCTAGTAGATGTTCGGAATAATGTCAAAACAAGCGTCTTCTTTATATAACAGTGGATCGAACTTGCATCATTCGTACTTGTAGCTTTGTGCGTGAACCACTAGACTACAGAGGTGCTGATATACCACACCATTTATAAGAATAACTTTTTTCATGTGGTCTAGTGGAAAGAGCGTCTGCACGGAGAGCGGAAGGTCGTGGGTTCGATCCCCGGCCGCGTCATACCAAAAGACGTTGAAATGCGGCTAGGTGGTTACCCTGCCTTGCGCTCGGCGTTAAAGGGCTAAAACAGGAACTGATCGGCTCAGACTGATCCCTAGTGTCTGAGTGGGGTATTCATGTTTAAAACTGCAGTATGGTATCTCAGTGGGCTAGCACTATAAAATCGACATTTGTCCAGACGAGTACAGGCAGCCACACATACACATGCCCGTCGCTATATAAGTCCAACACTCTTGAACGCGACGTTAAACCGCATTTCACCTCGGGAATTAATCCCTGACTTCAGGGTGCGCGTGACGAGCAAACGCATTAACCTCTAGGCTACCCTATCGCCGTCAAAAATACTTGATTAAAATGATGAGTATAGTAACTACCTGAAACAACAGAGTACGCGATGAGGAAGTCTGCCTCCGTTGGGATCCTGTACGTCACCGGCTCCTCGGCGTCATCTCCATCCTCATCCTCGCCGTCACCAACCACGTTCATGGCGTCAGTGACGTCGGCTCCAAAGTCTGTCGCCTTTCCTCTGCATGCCTGATTGTAGATGTCAAAATCGTATATCTCCGTTCAAATGTAACAATCAAAACAGGCCCAGACATATTGATTGAGTGATTTGGGATTAACAGTGAACAGTGTTCTCGTTTTATCACTAAAGACCAAAGGAACGCATAGACATAGACATAGTTTAGAATGGTAATTGTTTGTGATGTACATCTGGTAATGTATGTTATAGATAATTACGGTAAGCTTTTTATTATTCGTACAGGATACAGTTTTGTACCAGAATGCAACCATTCGCTTCTTGGTACTAATTGTTAAAGGGGTTCTACCAGTCTCACCGTACAACATGTATGATGGAGTGTTTTTTCTTAAATCGAGTACGTACTTTAGGAACATTTTATGAACTCCTTCTACGCAAGTGAGGTCACTGAAACCCCACACCTCGCAACCATACATTGCTATAGGTGCTACCATGTGGTCAAAAGCTATCAGTAAACATTCTGTTGGGAGACATACATTTCTAGCTTTGGATAATAAAGCAAACGAGGCTTTTAAAGATTTTTCTCTTAAACTTTTGGTGGCTTGTGTAAAAGATCTGTTTTTATTTAAAACAATTCCTAGATATGTATAACAGTCTGTTATTTCCATTATTTTGTTTCCAAATTTATAGTCAAGTTTACTTTTTTGAGGGGTGCCAGAACCAAAGATTACTATCTTTGTTTTCTTTAGATTAACCTTCAGTTTCCATTCTTCGCAGTATTTTACGAAGACATTTTGACTATATTGAAAGTTAATGGGGTTTTCCGAAAATATTACAGTACCTACAATAATAACAGCAGAAGTTTCAAGGGACACACTTTTACAGTTGTGGACTCTCAAAAAGGTTTCAACATCATTTAAATATATTGCAAACAGTAATGATGACAATTTCACCCTGCCGAACTCCCTTGTCACGAGTAAAATATCCTGATATATCTTCATCATGAACAACACAAGATTTTATATTTGAATTCATATTGTGAACAAGATTAAATATTCTTCCAGAGATACCATATGATAGGAGCTTTTGCCATAATCCGATTCGCCAAATGTTGTCAAAGGCCTTTTGGAAATTCACAAATGCACAGTACAATTTCTTTTTACTCGCCCTTAAAAATATCTATTAAACCATAGAGTACAAATATTTGGCCAACAGTACTGTAACCTTTCCTGAAAGCTAGCTAGTATTTCTGAAATAATATAGTTATCATTTGTAAAAGATGTGAAGCGATTGTTCACAACTGCGGTGAACAATTTACCTAGACAAGATAATATGGTAATTGGGCGATAATTTTCAGGTTTGGAGGGATCACCTTGCTTTTTGTAAATAGGTCTGATCATACCAACCAGCCATGATTTCGGAAATTTTCCACTTTCAAGGATAAGGTTGAGCAGCTCGTAGACCTTTCATCTTCCCGAGGCAAGGGAGTTGAAGTGCCAGGGCGTGACAGTTCTGGTTCTTTTGAAATTCATGCATGTAATAATCTTCCAGTGTGACGTCACACCTTTAGTTTTATGCACGATTCAATTCTCAAAACCAAAACAATAGAGCTTCGCACAGTGAAGTCAATAACCCAAACGCTGCGTAGAATAACAAGCTTCGGTCATGTTTTTACTATAAAAGTCCAATTTCTACACTTGCCGAACTAGGCAAATCGTATTCCACCTCTAATATCACTTGCATTTGCTTCAAACAAAATGGCAGCGACCAATCAAGACGATCTGATAAAAAAATCCAGATCTATATTTTAATAAAACGGGTCTTATCCCGCGAAGCGTATCAAAACACTTAATCACTTTGATTAAAAACATAAGAGATTTGGAAAATCTGCAATCGACCGAAATGTTGCTAAGGAATCGGATGTTATTTCGTCACGCAATTTTTTGTATAGACTCGTTAATCCGGCCAAAATATAACACAGAAATTCAAGCCTAGTTCGACAAGGGTGGAAACTCGACTTTTTATAGTCAGCTAAGTCACATGCCTCGGAAAGATGAAGACGTTTGTTGGTGAGCGTTGCCTTGCTCTACTCCTGCCCTTGCGGTGTTGGTTGAACCAACGATAGGTGTAGAGTTGGAAGGCCTAATTGGGGACAGTCAGGGATTGGAGCTCACGTTCAATGGATCCTGACACCATTGTTGGAACCAACTCTGCACAGAGAATCGCGGCGCCTAAGATGATCTGGAGGCACCCGTTTGTTCGTGGAACATAAAGATAAGTTAACACTTGCACAAAGCGATCTTAGTGCTAAAACTAGTGTAACTCCAGTACTTTTAACAAAGACTTACACTATGGCCAACATCGCTTTGTGCAAACGGGCGAAGGAAGGATGTGTTCGATAAATACAACACATGGATGTTGTCATCGTACCTGGATGAAGAACAGTTTTGGTTTACCAGCCAGCGTCGGACAGCGATGACCTTTGAAGGGGTCCAAGAGTTTGGTGACCTCCACTGGACCATCTGTACCGTAGATCCTGTCCTCCTCCCCGTGAGACAGAATCACACACACGAAGCAGTCGCTGTCACTGTGGTCCTCTTTTGATGCTGCAATACAAGTTAAGATGATAAGAAATAACACTAACGTGAAAGGAATAATTGAGTGTGTGAGTGAGTTGGGTTTTTAACGCCGCTTTTATCATTATTCCAGTTATATCACGGCGTGTCAGCTAAATGTGGGAGGAAAGCCCGAAGTGATGCAGGTCACAGACGTTTACCACTTTGGTGAATCTCACGAGCACGGGTATGGTGCTGTCAATCTGGGCGAACCGGGATTCGAACCCCACAATCATAGGTTTCTGGCGTGCCCAAGGGACGCAACTCTGCACAGCGAATCGCGGCGCCTCAGATGTGACTTTGTCACATGCACTGTGTGTGTTGTTTAACATCGTACCAAACATTAGTCAAGCCATACGGGGGCGGCCTGTGAAAATGTTGTGCTAATCAAACCAGTGAGTGATATTATCAGCAACGTCTCACGCCGTCAGATTACGATGCAATGTTTGAATTTTTGTTGGACAGAATAACTTTTTTTGCGCGTTTCGTTTCCCTAAAACGAGAAGCCAAACAATGTTTGGAGTATTTACAAGCAATCCTGAGAGCAATGTTATTTATATTGTCTTTTTTAAGCTGCTATCAGTAATACTACATCTATATAACAGCGGTATTTAAGTAATCGAGCACGTCAGACAAATACAGTAGTTGATTGCGTGAGAAACAATCAATGCCGCAGGTACGTTGACAAAAATGGGGAATTAACATGTTTTGCCGCACTCAGCAATGTTCCAGCTGTATGAACATGTGTAAGTAATCGAGTCTTGACCAGAAAATCCAGTGATTGATATCATGAGCATCGATCTACGCAATTTGTATACGATGACATGAATCAACCAAGTCAGCGAGTCTGACCACCTGATCCCGTTAGTCGCCTCTTACGACAAGCATATTCGCCTTTTACGGCAAGCATACGTTGCTGAAGACTTAATCTACCCCGAATCTTCACGGGTCGAATTAACATGTACAAAGGGGGTGTACATACCTTGAATCATCATCTCCTGCATTTGTCTCTTGGTCTGATTAATGTGCATTCTCACATCAAAACCCAGTCCCTCCCAGCGTTCGGAGACCGCCTTCCCATCCTGGTCTGTGCCCCCTCGACACCCCACCCCCAGGGTGGTGAAGTCTCTGTTGTTAATGACGACAGCAATACCACGGTGACGGTGAGACATGGTGTACTCGTCGGGGACATTGGACATGTCGCACCTGACTATGGTCACTTTGCCCCGCCTGAAGATTGACAGTAAATAATACATTGTCTAGTCGTGTGCTTTTGTGCGTATGAGCGCCTGTGTACGTTCAGTTTGGGTCACTTATTTTCATGAGGTCATACACATTGGTCATACACAACCTTTGATCTATTTATATCCAAAAATGTCAAACAACCAAATGTATCATCCACTTATTAATTGTGCAAAATTCGACGTGATTTTTCAATTGATATGATCATCGCCCGAATCAACTGAGAGGCTTTAAAGTCAAATACAGTACATTATTTGGAGAAACAAAGACTGGAGACTAACCTCTGAGAAGGCGCCAGATCAGATTCCGCCATAACGGGATGTCTGTATGCTGTACAAAATCTGAAATCACAAATCAAAAGGCTTTATGAATGAATTACTTTTCCGCAACATTTATTTGTAAAATTGCAATCATAATTATTCTTTTGTTTTAGAAGGCGCAATCACAAATGACCTTGTGATTGAAAAAGGTGCAATCATAATCATCCTGTTGCTACAAATATTGCAATTACAATCTACGTGGTGCTTTATAAAGGTGCAATCACAATCTACGTGGTGCTTTATAAAGGTACAATCACAATCTACGTGATGATTCAAGAAGGTGCAATCACAATCTACGTGGTGCTTTATAAAGGTACAATCACAATCTACGTGGTGCTTTATAAAGGTACAATCACAATCTACGTGGTGCTTTATAAGGGTACAATCACAATCTACGTGGTGCTTTATAAAGGTACAATCACAATCTACGTGGTCCTTTATAAAGGTACAATCACAATCTACGCGATGCTTCAAGAAGGTGTAATCACAATCTACGTGATGATTCAAGAAGGTGCAATCACAATCTACGTGGTGCTTTTTAAAGGTACAATCACAATCTACGTGGTGCTTTATAAAGGTACAATCACAATCTACGTGGTGCTTTATAAAGGAACAATCACAATCTACGTGGTGCTTTATAAAGGTACAATCACAATCTACGTGGTGCTTTATAAAGGTACAATCACAATCTACGTGGTGCTTTATAAAGATGCAATCACAATCTACGTGATGCTTCAAGAAGGTGCAATATGAATTATCGTGGAATTAGAATTATATAAACATATATCACAGATAGCTTCTATAAAAACATTTGCTTAAAAGTTACTATGATAGATTCATAGACCAGGTGCAGACCAGATTTATTCTTGAACTATTTCAAAGACGGAACCAAATCATGACATTCTTGCACAGAAGCCACGCAGGTTACTACAGCTACTAATTTTACTACGTTCATCGGCGTTCCGATGTCCTCCTTTTAATCTAAAAGGAATTGAACAAATATAGCAATATACTTACATTAAGGCACAGGCCGTTTTAGTTATTGAAATATAGGTCACCTTTCGCCATTCAGATCACACAACATGAACCTTCATACCTGTGTAAAATCTTGTTTATACACCCACCTGTAAGGGGTCATCTCAAAACGAAGCTGTTTTTAACAGTATGGGTTAACGGCCAATTCTTCAATAACTCTTTAACACTCTGTATAAGCAAAGCATTTTCTTTTATCAACTTCTATTCCAACCATTGTATGTATACAAAAGAAGAATTAATTAAAAACATTATAAATGTACAAATAAATATGATCCACCCACACTACAATTAATTAACAATACGCATTCGGAAATTGAAGTCAACATTATTGTGTCATGAAATTAATAATATGATGAAGAGGTTCAAACAGGAAAATGACTAGAAATGATATGACACTCTCCCCGAGTGAGAAGCTAAGCGGTCTAAGTGTTGTGTCATACTAAGTAGGTGTGTGCATGGTCTACTGTAGGCGGGCTACTATGCCCGGACACTATTGTGTTGATGGTTGATAATTACCTTACAAACCCCTTGAATGGAAGTTGACCTCGCCATGTCAGATAAAACCTGAGTAGATCCTAAACCAACACCTGCATCACGTCGACACACTGTAACGATAACGCCAAATTAGGCTAAGCATACGGGTCCTTTGTGAATATTTGATCATGGAAATCAGTATTTGCTTACTTAAAGAGATTACCGATATTTCATGTCACAATGACTGGATGTATAATCACTTTGTATTACCTAATATCTTACAGCTAGTTGAACATAGCTTCAGGGCGACTGGTTGCTCCTGATAACAGTGAAATATTACCAAGAATAAATCTACGGCATGCAGTGGGATCGAGTGAAATATTAACTGGAGTAATCATGCTCAATCTCAGATAACATGCAATTATAAATAGTGAAATATTGACTTGTACTGCCATAGTATAATCTCAGATGGTGTGCGGTTGGATATAGTGAAATATTGACTTGAACAGCCATACTTTAATCTCAGATGGTGTGCTGTTGGATATAGTGAAATATTGACTACAACAACCAGACTGTAATCTCGGGTGATGTGCTGTTGGATATAGTGAAATATTGACTTGAACAGCCATACTTTTAATCTCAGATGGTGTGCTGTTGGATATAGTGAAATATTGACTTGAACAGCCATACTTTAATCTCAGATAGTGTGCTGTTGGATATAGTGAAATATTGACTTGAACAGCCATACTTTAATCTCAGATGGTGTGCTGTTGGATATAGTGAAATATTGACTTTCACAGCCATAGTTTAAACTCAGATTGTGTGCTGTTGGATATAGCGAAATATTGACTTTCACAGCCATAGTTTAATCTCAGATGGCGTGCTGTTGGATACAGTGAAATATTGACTTGAACAGCCATACTTCAATCTCAGATGATGTGCTATTGGATATAGTGAAATATTGACTTGAACAGCCATACTTTAATCTCAGATGGTGTGTGGTGTGGTATAGTGAAATATTGACTTGAACAGCCATACTTTAATCTCAGATAGTGTTCTGTTGGATATAGTGAAATATTGACTTGAACAGCCATAGTTTAATGTCAGATAGTGTGCGGTGTGGAAAAGTGAAATATTGACTTGAACAGCCATACTTTAATTTCAGATAGTGTGCGGTGTGGTATAGTGAAATATTGACTTAAACAGTCATACTTTAATCTCAGATGGTGTGCTGTTGGATATAGTGAAATATTGACTTGAACAGCCATACTTTAATTTTAGATAGTGTGCGGTGTGGTATAGTGAAATATTGACTTGAACAGCCATACTTTAATCTCAGATGGTGTGCTGTTGGATATAGTGAAATATTCACTTTAACAGCCATACTTTTATTTTAGATAGTGTGCGGTGTGGTATAGTGAAATATTGACTTGAACAGCCATACTTTAATCTCAGATGGTGTGCTGTTGGATATAGTGAAATATTGACTTGAACAGCCATACTTTAATTTTAGATAGTGTGCGGTGTGGTGTAGTGAAATATTGACTTGAACAGCCATAGTTTAATCTCAGATGGTGTGCTGTTGGATATAGTAAAATAGCGACAAGAGCAATTATACCCTATGACATGCAGTCATATATAGTGAAGTATTGACGAGAACACATCATACTGTTATCTGAGATGGTGTGCATTTGGATATAGTGAATTATTACATTTACAAATTCATTTTGTATTTTCATTGGTTGAGAAAAGGTTATATGACCTCCATTAGAACACTGTATTGGCAAAGACAAAACACGGTAATTTGGCCAAGTAGTTTAATTTAAGCTTCAGGAATATCAATCATCTGATATCGTCCTATAGCCATCAAATAGCTTATTCCCTTCCACTGATTTACCCACCTGAACTAGAAACAAAGCATACCAGTGAGACGTCCACGTCTGTTTCATAGTGAGATCTATGCATAAAGATTCAGAGTGGCAAAATACTCTCCACCAGACAAGAGTGATGATGACCTCAACTTTCCAAAAGCCAACTTTCCCCTTATGTCGAGCAATATTCCCGCAGCTCCAGCATTGGTGTCTACATTTCACAACTTTTGAGCATGCTCTTTCAACGAATATTTCAAAGAGCGTCACACGACTCCTACTCAGGTCTTAGTACAGCTCTCAAAAAGGTTTATGTTTATCAATGACAAACATTATTTCCCGTGCAATTCTCTTGTTTGACTTGTACCATATGTTCCTGTGGTGTTTTTAGATGAACAATTGACTTGCCTTTGTGTGTGTTTGTGACGGGTGCCACTGGTGGGGCAGGATGCGCTCACCATTTCGCGAACACCTTGTGTCATCACAATTTGATAGTAATTGATAAACACAAACTCATGATATCGTCGGAATCATACACCGGACTCACCGGGGTTTCTTATCATTGTGGAAGTGTTTTTGTCGCTTTTATTTTTACAGTAAATAATACACATAGAATTCCAAACAAACTGGGAATTCATATGAATGCAAGTCATTGGACGTCTTTTTTTTAATAACTGTAATGAAGGGAAGAGCAATCCGAGAGGTTTCAAAATAGTAAAATTAGTCTCAGCATGGTATTGAACATTGAAACAACACTAGGATTGCCAAAATCTATGTATAAATAGATAATCTGAGTGACAATTGACGGCCATCGTGGAATTTGGCAGCCATATTGGATTTCCAGGTGGTTAACATTTTTCTATCAATGTGTATAAACATTGATGTAAAGTTTCATGCTTGTATCATTATTTGAACAATTCATCTATTGTCTGCCCAATATTAGGAAGGTTCCATAACGCGTCTAACCCAGACTACTTCCTCCTTTGGAGTGAAGATAAGGTCTTTGGTCAGCATGGAGACAAACGATGGCATCTGCTTCACCGGAATCGTACTACGGCCATCAATCTGGGATTGGAATCGTCGAGCCACTATTTTGTTGACCAGAATCAGCATTCTCAAAAGGTCCATGGTCGTGCTGTATTTCTTTAAGACCCAACACAGGGCGTTAATGTAGCATGATCCATTTATCGTGTTTCGTGGTGACTGGTAACCTGGAAAAAAATATAATATGAGCGTTGTTGGGTCGTTGTCGGCACAGGTACTACAGAAATATACAATAGGTACATTTCTGTAGAGACAAATATACAACAGGTACACTAATGTATAGTTAAATATACAACAGGTACTTTTCTGTAGACACAAATATACAACAGGTACCTTTCTGTAGAGACACATATACAACAGGTACATTACTGAATAGATAAATGTTCAACAGGTACCTTTCTGTATAAACAAATATACAACAGGTGCCTTTCTGTATAAACAAATATACAACAGGTACCTTTCTGTACACACAAATATACAACGGGTACCTTTCTGTAGAGACAAATATTCAACAGGTACCTTTCTGTAGAGACAGATATACAACAGGTACCTTTCTGTAGAGACAAATATTCAACAGGTACCTTTCTGTAGAGACAAAGATACAACAGATACCTTTCTGTAGAGACAAATATACAACAGATACCTTTCTGCAGAGACAAAAATACAACAGGTGCCTTTCTGTACACAAATATACAACAGGAACCTTTCTGTACACACAAATATACAACAGATACCTTTCTGTAGAAACAAATATACAACAGGAAATTACTATACAGACAAATATACACCTGGTACCTTTCTGTATAAACAAATATACAACAGATACCTTTCTATATAAACAAATATACAACAGGTACCCTTCTGTACACAAATATACAACAGGTACATTTCTGTAGAGACAAATACACAACAGGTACATTTCTGTAGAGACAAATATACAACAGATGCATTTCTGTAGAGACAAATATACAACAGGTTCCTTTCTGTAGAGACAAATATACAAGAGATACATTTCTGTAGAAACAAATATACAAGAGATACATTTCTGTAGAGACAAATATACAAGAGATACATTTCTGTAGAGACAAATATACAACAGGTACCTTTCTGTAGAGACAAATATACAACAGATACATTTCCGTAGAGACAAATATACAACAGATACATTTCTGTAGAGACAAATATACAACAGGTACCTTTCTGTACAGACAAATATACAACAGGTTCATTTCTGTACAGACAAATATACACCTGGTATATTTCTGTACAGACAAATATACAACAGGAAATTACTATACAGACAAATTTACACCTGGTACCTTTCTGTACAGACAAATATACAACAGGTAAATTACTATACAGACAAATATACATCTGGTACCTTTCTGTACAGACAAATATACAACAGGTAAATTACTATACAGACAAATATACACCTGGTACCTTTCTGTACAGACACATATACAACAGGTAAATTACTATACAGACAAATATACACCTGGTACCTTTCTGTACAGACAAATATACAACAGGAATGTACTATACAGACAAATATACACCTGGTACCTTTCTGTACAGACAAATATATAACAGCTAAATTACTATATAGACAAATATACATCTGGTACCTTTCTGTACAGACAAATATACAACAGGTAAATTACTATACAGACAAATATACATCTGGTACCTTTCTGTACAGACAAATATACAACAGGTAAATTACTATACAGACAAATATACACCTGGTACCTTTCTTTACAGAAATATATGCACCTGGTACCTTTCTGTACAGACAAATAAACAACAGGTAAATTACTATACAGACAAATATACACCTGGTACCTCTGTACAGACAAATATACACCTGGTACCTTTCTGTACAGACAAATATACAACAGGTACCTTTCTGTTAACGGCGATTGAGTTACGACTGCAGTGCATTAAGATGTTGTGACATATATTCCACCATGCGACAGTTTAACTTAAAGGTGTTTTCGAGCATTGTCAAAACAGACAGTGACGCATATATATTTACCTGCTAGAGTACATATGTATATACAGAAAAGTATCTGGGACATATTTGTATTTCCCTTGTGTGGACAACTAACCCAACAACATTTACTATATTATTCACTGAAAAATCACCTGGGCATCAGCTGGTGTCAGTCGAAAACCTCGGCCAGCACTGACAAGCCTCCAGTCGGATCTAGTTGTGTGCACGTGACTATCACATGACACAACACATCTGGTTGCCGTGAACCTTGTATATTTTTTTATTTTTTCCCGTTTGTTCCAATCTTAAATTCAAAGTATGCACCTACGTTGGGTGGCTGAAATATTCTGGGTCTAACTATGACGGACTGCATTGATGGAGTTTGTTACTTAGTATTTTTCAACATAATCCTCTCCGAGGTCCACAAACTCTTGCCAACGATGCTGGAGTGCCTGGATCCCAGTGTTGTGGAACTCCTCTTCCCGGTGGTGTAAAGGTCCCACATACCGGAAATAACGTCATCATTGTTGGCATTATGCTTACCAGACAGTTCAAGTTTGGGAAGAAAGGTGGAAATCCGACGGTGCCAAATCTGGTGAATATCGAGGATTTGTAATTGCGTAGTTCAAAGCCACAGTCATACAATGCAGCCATGGCGACAACAGACATGGTCACAGGTGCATTAAGCTGGTGGAATAACACGCCTTTAGTGAGTTTCTCATGACATTTAGTCTTGATTTCAAGCAATTGCCTAATTAGATAAGCATAACATTGGCCATTAAAGGAATCCCCTTTCGGGAGGTAGGCCACCAGTAAAACTCATTTGGAATCCCAGAAAAGAGAAGCCATGACCTTGCAAGCCGATTGAACATATTTTGACTCCTTCACTAGACGTTTCCACTGAACGTTGTTTGGTCCCTATCTAATAGTGGTGAACCCAAGACTGGGTTACAAATCGCTCAACAAAATAAGCTGGGACGGCTCCAAAAAGTCTTAAATTCTCGCGAGAGAATGATGAACTTATTATTCAGGAAGCCTTGGAACCCAGCGTGCTGAAACCTTTTTGGGGCCCAGTTCATTCCTCAGAATTGTCTCAACTCTCTCGTGAGAGATGCCTACTATATTGTGGCGATCAGAGTGTCGTCAATCATCCATGAACATATGTATCTTATCGACATTTCCCTTAGTGGTAGCAGTTGAAGATTTTCCCTGATTTTTTCGATGCTCTCTCTCTTCCCTTCTTGAATTGCGCTGCCATCTCTTCTTAACAAAAATGGCTAAGGAAGGAGCATCATCCCCTAAACAATGGCACCGGGTCCGCGTGGAAGGCCGTTGGGGTTAGCCCTTTCAGTTGGAGATACTTGAGGTCAGCGCGGTTGCAAATTCTGTACATTTTCATCATCAGAGGATACCTAATCACTTTGATGCCAGCAGAATTATGCTGCCTGGTTGTGTATTTGGTTTGAATGCAGCCTATAAGTATGGAAAGTATTGTACATAATACATGCAAACTGTTATGGGTGCACTATTACTATTTCAGCCAACCCTCGTACATATTGTCTATAAAGCAGTGAATAACCTAAGCATTCTTCAGAAAGGCCGTCATGTTATACACACTATATGCAGCGAGATCTGGCTTCACACGGTTTACAGTGAAATCCACTCGCAGCCATTTGATTATTTCGATACATACAAAATACAACAATGGATAAATTTTGATTTTCACAAAAGAAATTCCACACAAAATATACATTTTCCTTCAATAAAACCTCCCTCAGAAACGACAGGATATGTGAAATATCCTCAACAATAATGTTTACAACTAGGTATCCAAACCGCACTTGACATGTTGATAAGACACAACGGCCCTCTTGACGCTCTGATATAGATACAGCCATCTTTCTAGAAGCTGGCCCATCCCCAAAACTTCTCAAATGATCAATCCTACCATGTTTGTAAACAAGTAGGGTCGGTTACTCTTATCACTCTGGTCACTACATTCACGACATTTTACTAGTGTTTCAGTCATTTTATGCCAGCAGCAACAGTTTCTGCTGCCACCAATATGGAGTGAGTGAGTGAGTATGGTTTTACGCCGCTTTTAGCAATATTCCAGCATTATCACGGCGGGGGACACCAGAAATGGGCTTCACACATTCTACCCATGTCGGGAATCGAACCCGGGTCTTCAGCGTGACGAGCGAACGCTTTAACCACCAGGCTACCCGACTGCCCCGTCACCAATATGGAGCGACCGTGACTAGGAGAAGACAAGTGATGTGAAATATAGGACACACCTGCAACTGTGGAATACGCCAAGAGGAAGTCGGCGCCGGCTGGAATTTTGTACGTCACAGACTCGCCGTCAACTTCGTCATAGTCGTCATCTGCGTCGTCTCCAACTACGCTGAAGGCGTTGGTGACATTTACACCATGGTCAAGTTCTCTGCCGCGACTTGCCTGCGAACCGACAGATTTTTAGGACATACGTGTGCTGTACCATTGAACATATACAACACAAAAGTAGTTAAGGAACACACGATTCTTTCATAATACTATAGGGCGGTCGGGTAGCCTAGTGGTTAAAGCGTTCGCTTGTCACGCTGAAGACCCGGGTTCGATTCCCGACATGGGTACAATGTGTGAAGCCCATTTCTGGTGTCCCCCGCCGTGATATTGCTGGAATATTGCTAAAAGCGGTGTAAAACCATACTCACTCACTCACTCATAATACTATAGTCAATCTGTCATGCCATTTACTATTGTGATTAGAAAGAATCGGGTGTTTTTTAACTCCTTTTGAATAAATACACTGATTTAAAATTCCCGGTCGTTGAGGAGTGACTAAAGGTGAAAGGATTATTAAAGGATTATTAAAGGATTCTTGTATTTGTGTGACGATTTATTTGAAATGTAAAGTGTTCTAGGTTGAAATATATTTATATATATGTACCTGTATAAAAAATAATTTAGGTTTTCCAGCCAGAGATTTGCAGATATGACCTTTGAATGGTGCCACCAATGATGAGATGGTGACAGTGCCGTCGGTTGCCTTCACATTGTCGTTACCGCCGTCGGAGAGTATGACACAGACGAAGCAGTCACAGGTACTGTGGTCGGACTGGGCGACTGTGGAGACAGATGTTATCTTAAGTCATTGTCATCTCCCTACAATGAGCATCATCATCATCATCATCATCATAACAATAACTGTACGCTCTGTCAGCGCTGTGTACAAACGTAATTATTCTTCTTAATTTTGACCAAATCCATTGTCAGCAGCAGCAGCAGCAGCTACGGTAGCAGGTTTATGATACTTTTAGTCTACATATAAGACGTCAACGTATCGATTTTCTATCCAAACAGATTCATTGGACGTAAAAGGCAAAACAGAGGTGAAAACGATATGTTTGTTTGTTTGTTGGTTGGTTGTTTAACGCTGCACTCGGAAATATTCCAGCTATATGACGGCGGTCTGTAAATAATCAAGTCTGGACCAGACAATCCAGTGATTGACATCATGAGCATCGATCCACGCATTTGGGATACGATGACATGCATCAACCAAGTCAGCGAGCCTGACCACCCGATCCCGTAAGTTGCCTCTTACGACAAGCATACTCGCTTTTTACGGCAAGGTAGGTTGCTGAAGACATTTACTATGTAATATTGACACAAGTCGGCTCAAGACCTATTCTACCCAAGATCATCACGGGTAAAAAACCCGATATGAATGGACCAGTGACAATAAGTTATGACACCAGGTGTTCCGGACAAGGCACTATATACGTCATTACCCCGGTCTAGGAAGCAGTGTGCACTCACATTACATTCTCAACTCTCTGGGGAGTATACAATCCATGTTGCCTTTCAGATCACATACGCATGGAAAACTAACATTACCTGCATATATAGTAGGATTTAAGTTACAGACTTGCTAGTTGTGATTTATATTGTTTTACTGTTGTGTTGTGTGGCCAGGTCTGTGTGTCTGTATCACCTGTCAACTTACCTTTACTCATCAGGACTTTCATCTGCCTCATCGTCTGATTTGAGTACACCGTCACCTCGAACCCCAGCTGCGTTAAGCAATCCGTCATACTCTCCCCATCCTTCTCCACCCCTCCCTGGGTATTGGTGATGATGACGGCGAGACCACGTCTCTCGTGCTCCATGTTGTATGTGTCGGACACCCTCATCACATCCGGCTCCATGGTGACTGTGTGGGCACAATATGGCGACATGTCAGAGAGTTTTGAGTGAAGTGCGTGAGTCGGGCTAAGTATTGTGTGTTTGTTTGTTTGTTTGTTTGTTTGTTGTTTAAGTCGCACTCACCAATATTCAAGCTACAGGACGGCGGTCTGTAAATAATCGAGCCTGAACCCGACAATCCAGTGATTGATATCATGAGCATCGATCTACGCAATACATGCATCAACCAAGACCACCCGATCCCGTGAGTTGCCTCCTACGACATACATAGTCGCCTCTTACGGCAAGCATGGGTTGCTGAAGACCTTTTCTCTACCCCGATCATCACGGGTCGTGAAGACATTGACTGTATAAATGACACAGAGAGGCTCAGTGTCACGTGTTGGCATGGTTACATATCAACAAACAACACAGCTTTTATTCCCCTAGGATGATGGGCCCGTTTCAGACATGTTGGGAAACGAACTCGTGTCTTTGTTGTGCCGGGCGAACTATTTGACCTCCGGGCTACCCAAAACAGCCCCTTTAAAGACTAAATAGACATTACGCTCACAGTAAAAAGTAACAAGTTTGGATATTGCGAAAATGGAATCGTCCACACATGCCAGCGTTTGAAAACGAACTCGGGTTTTTGGTGTATGTTAAATTTGTGTAGGTTCTTTGGTTTAAATGCAAATAAAATCAGTTCATAGGCGGATCCAGAGGGGGTTCAAGGGAATCCTGACTCCCTAACCCTCCCCTTTTTGTAAACCAAATGTATGTTGTAGGCAGTAAAATTATCTGAGGGAGGATTTTGATATTTTGGACCCCTCCCTTGTAAAAATGCAGGGTCCGCCCTTGCAGTTAACCCTGCCATATGCCACATGAACAATGTCAAGACTATCCGTCGTGAGCAGGAACATGTACTTTTACTTGAATCTATTATCATGTTAAAGACAATACATAGGCTTAAATACCGTCCCGTGATTATCATTGCATGTTTGAATGTATAAGCACATGTGGCATCGGTTGCCCAGTCGTGTGCTTCAAGGCGCTGCAATTCGCTGTGCAGAGCTGCGGTCCTTAGGCGTTCCACAGACGAATGATCGTGAGTTTGAATGTGTCTAGGTTTGTCAGCAGCATACCCATATACCAATGGTAAACGTTTAAGACCTGCATCAGTTCGGGCTTTCCCCTACATCAAACTGACACGTCATCATACCTCTGAAATACTGTGGGAAGCTGCGTTAAACCAATATCAGCACTTACTTATACTATAATACATAATTACGAGCATGTCCCTTGTACGGATTATTGAGGTGAAATTGGGTTTAACGTCGCGTCCAAGATCATTGCACTTATATAGAGACGTTCTTGCACACGCGTGTGTGTGGCTGCTTCTACTAGTACGGACTGACGCCGATTTATAGTTCTAGCTCACTGAGATACCATGCCGCAGTTTAACATGAGTACTCCACTCGGACACAGTATACTGACTCCGAGCCGACAAATCCTTGTTTTAGCCACTTAATGCCGAGCGCCAGACAGGGTCACAACAAGTACCATCTTTTAACGTCTTTTGGTATGACGCGGTCGGGGATCGAACCTCGCTCTCTGGGCAGACGCTCAACCACTAAACCACGGAGGCGGTCGTATGGATTATTTGTGATCAGTGCAATACCAAATAACTCTAAATGAAGCAACTACGCAACCGTAGATGATTGATTACCTTTAGGCCTAAACACAGACACGGCGATAACATCACACAAGCATATACTAAAAGGACTTATAATCTAAATGTATAATTTATAATGGAAAAACCAATAAAATCCTTACGTTGTCGAGACAGGAACTAGTCTTCAACTATGAACGCGTGTTTACTTGACTGTGCATGTTCCGTCACTGAATCATCCGTAGTCAAATGTAGGTTGACAGAAGAGACGAATGGTGTTCTTTTCACTTCATAATTCGGATGAAGCCGTCACGTTACACACGCAGTGTGTATGTAGACTATTTACCTTCAGCACGATGAACACCAGCATGTAATGACAAACCAACCTGTGATTGTAGGTGAATAGTGTTGTACTTTGAACCAGGTAACTATATAGAGTGTAAGCAGGTGTAAGCAGCGATAATGTATCTACTATCTTACCTATCTATTCTCGTGGGAATGTATACTGATAAAAAAGGAAACGCATATGATTTATTGATAAGACACATTTGAATGACAATAACAATATGTGACGCATCATTATTTCGAAAAATAAATTGCAACATAAATGCAGAGACTAACCATCCTAGATTTTCTGCCGAAACAGATTCCACTGGGCGTACAGGGCAAATAACTGTGGAAATTACATGAATGGACCAATGAATATCAAGTGATAACCCCAGGTGTTCGCGAAAAGTGTAAACATGTCCTGTCCTACCGGGAGCACCCGTCAGTCATACAATTTGCATAAACAATATGTATTTATTGCCTGACGCTATGCGACGTCAGCCTGTCAATCAAGTGATGGACGAACCAGAAAACACTGTGACACGAGTGAATCATTGCTGATTCTATTTAAGTCATGTCACAACTGAAGCACAGCAGAACAACGTCGTGGAACCATTGAAAACAGGGACGGAATCCAGAAACGGACAGCGTCGCGCTGTCGAGAAGGATACTTGCAAAAAGCGGCCAAAGCGCCAGGGTGTACCGACGGTGCCATGACTGTTTCGCCGACAACTGCATTTCGGGAGGTTGACAAATTAGGCGGTGGCAGCGTAATGGTGTAGGCGGTAATTCCCAACAAACCTTGTGCAACTGCAAGGCAACTTAACGGCCCAACGCTATTGTGAAATCCCACAGCCGCATGCTAACGTCATATTTCGTGTGAGTGAGTGAGTGAGTATTGCTCTGGGGTAACACCACCTTGTCACATGAGACTAGTCTCAAAGCTGTATATGAGGCTGGAACATCTTGTAAATGCTCTGTATACAGATATCACTTGGTATCCTTTGAAGCTTGGTCTTATCTGTATACGCAGCAATTATCTTTAGAGTGTGATGGACAAAGTCTGGAGGCACTTGGCTACCCCAATGGCCATCTTTATAAGCATAGGTTCATTTACTTGTAGGTACTGATCTAAATCTCTTCAGCATACCAAGACCATTCACTTCTGGGCTGCCCGAACACATCCACACAATGAAAACACAAAATACAATACAGCTGATGAAATTGCAAGCAGTGATTTATTTAATTTCTCGGACAGTTTTGTACACTAGAACTGGCTTACATGCCATATATCATAACACTTTACATTCAGATATAAGCTATACATAATTAAATAACAAGATCATGCAGCAAACGATGGATGAAGAGATGATGAAAACAATGAAGTAAAACAGCTATACATAAATAACACCTTGCATGTAGCTGGCTACAGGTACACAATTGCATATATTTATCAAATAGACTCAAAATATCTCTTTACATCTGAAAAAGGGGGACTATGTTCCATCTCCAGTCAAGACATTAGTGCAGTAGGTTAAATCTGTGATGAGGTTACTCTGTAACTGATAGAATTATCTACATCTGGATTGTTTGAACAACTTGATAAACACTGTTCAACATGATAATGCTGGAGTATGTGAAGACATCATACCATATAGCCTTAGAGTGAATGAGCATGGTTTTACGCCGCTTTTAGCAATATTCCAGTAATATCACGACTGGGGGCACCAGAAATGGGCTTCACACATTGTAACCATGTGGGGAATCAAACCCAGGTCTTCCACATGACGAGTGAACGCTTTAACTGCTCGGCTAGCCCACCGCCCCTAAGAGTAAATGAGCATCAGTGTTATAGTCAAGGGGTGTAACAATGCAGGGAAGAAGTATCACATGAGGGATTTAACATGTACGTCATAGATACCAAACATGATTTAATATTAGAGTCATCACATGATATATATCCTGAATGTATACAAAACAGACCATGTTATTGACAACTGTTAACATGTAACGATCTTATGTATTTTCTTTAGTTAGAAGTGCAGTTTGGGACACTTTTTGCTATAAAAAAGTAAACAATTCAAGTATGACTTGCGACTCATGTATCATGTCAGCAGCAGTTAATATGCAAAACAGATCCTAAGGAATCAAAATCTTTCCAACAGTGTTCAATTTCCTTCAAGTTGATGTACAGGAAGAGACAACATCTAACAAACAGTGTTGGTTTACTCCTAACATGAATTTGAAGCAACAAATCTCACTCAAACTAAGTGAAATAAATAACACCATATTCATTTATATGAGGATCTATATGGAGGATTACAACCCAGGTGCAATGTGGAGACATGAAACGCTTCGTGAAGATGCATGCTTCATGAGGACACAATGCTTCATGAGGACACAATGCTTCATGAGGACACAATGCTCCATGAGGACACAATGCTTCATGAGGACACAATGCTCCATGAGGACACAATGCTTCACGAAGACCATGCTTCATGAGGACACAATTCTTCATGAAGACCATGCTTCATGTAAACACAATGCTTCATGAGGACACAATTCTTCATGAAGACCATGCTTCATGTAAACACAATGCTTCATGAGGACACAATGCTTCATGAAGACCATGCTTCATGAGGACACAATGCTTCATGAGGACACAATGCTTCATGTAACACACAATGTTTCATGAAGACACACAATGCTCCATGATGACACAATGCTCCGTGAAGTCACACAATGCTTCATCTAGACACACAATGCTTCATGAAGACAAAATGCTCCGTGAAGGCACTCAATGCTTCATGTAGACACATGTTCATGACAATGTTCCATGAAGACCGTTAAGAACAGGATCCCTAACTACCTCTTGGATGTTGATTTAAAGAATCAAGAAATACTTGAGATGTTGGCAAAAGAGATCAAGTCATGTAATCTTTTTTGGTAATTGCACAGAAAGTTTTGATTTTGAAAGTTTAAGAGAGTTGAACATGGAAAACAATTGACACATCTTGAATCAAATATTCAAGACCTCAAGAACTATCACCAGATAGATGATCCACTTAACGATTTGACACATTACAAGAAACACAAGGTACGTCAATGATTACATACAATAAACATCATCATGATGATAAATAAAGATTCTGCACCATATTTCACATGACATGATTCTGAATGTGAATTTACAATTCATTATCAATATATATTGAAGAAGGGTAATATCATCTCAATATACAAGAATCTGAAGTATGCATAATTATCGGTGATTGTATGAGTGAATGTCTCAATGCACCAGGTACCAGTGCAGAAAAATACAAAGATATACTAATTTAACTGTTGAGTGCGTCAGAAGAAAGTGTAAGTCAGGTTGAAAAATATAGTATTCTCTCTGATGACATGAGCTTCAGTGCCACAGGATAAATGAATCACAATATATTTCTCACAATCTCAGTCATCATGGTCATAATCTCAATACTCTCCCATTTCTAATACGGAACAGTATCAGTCAAAATTACAGTCAAACAAAACAAAAATCTAAACAGTTCTCTTTGGGCTGAAGCCTAATAAACAAACTACTAGCAAGCCTAAAATAACAAACTAAAACTAAAACAAAAACAATACAGGGATGTTTTAATAAGTATTATCCATGTATAGAGATTTTGATGACTGATTTTACACGCTCAACAACTTGCATACAAGGAACACAATGTAGAAAGGTATTGCAGACACTCACGATTACTGGGAAATGCACACCTATATTCAAACAAGGGAGGGTTGTAAATGACTGCGTTGATATATCTACCTCTGACTCTACAAGCATATGACATGTATTAGAGCAGTCATGATGTACTGATGTACTGATGTATCATGACTTTACACCCGATGAAACCACACATAATACGCCTACCAGGTATCCATTCCTATTGGTTTAAATAATCCCACCAGATAGTTCCACTGGCAATAAACACCTCGTAGCTAATCACATCCGAGAGAATAATACTGTTAAAAAAAAGCCAAAATAATCAATCATGACAGTCAAAACAAACTGGTTGATGGCAACAACCTCTTGTTGCCCGGGATGCATGGACCAAGGAGAATTTCATATAATGACAGTGGAAATGAATTATCACACTATGTGTCATATCATTATTCAAAGGTGAGTGAGTGAGTTGGGTTTAAAGCCTCCTTTAACAGTATTCCAGTTATATCATGGCATGTCAGCTTAATGTGGGAAGAAAGCCTGGATTCAAAAGTAGATGGTAGAGATAGACGTATCATGTATGTACCCTGCGTGTCTGCATGTACCCTTCGCGTCTCTCAATGAGGTGCACTGATACAGGATGGGACTACGGGTTCTCCTTGTAAGAAGCATGCAAGCTCACTACAAAACTCAAGCAATAACTAAAACTGAAAACAATCTTCCAAGCTGACTGTGCTTTATGTTTTGTACATATATACAATGTTTACAATGTTTACAAAATCCTCTCATTCCATCAGTACAGGGCATCTCACCGTCACATCACACATACATCTTCACCAGAGCAACACGTTTATTCCATTTAGCTACAAGTTGATAGAAGATGTGCTCACCCAGTCCTCCAGCCTAATACAACACTGAGGACATCATCAGGAATAATAAATGCAGCTTAAAAATACATCCTTGTATAAACCATACTCGTGGAATATTACTAGACAGAGTTGTCCGAGGTGTTATGCAAAGCACCAGTGGAGGGAGGCTACTTCAGGTAATGTACAGATCAGTGTTCCAAACTAGTCTGATGACACAGCTTGGCCTAAGATGAATGAAGGAATGATATTGTCTAAAAGAATGGTGATTAGGTGTTGAAGTTATAAAACCTCAGGTTACCATAGCTTTTAAATAACAGCTCATTAACTAGAATTGTTGGGATTAAACAGTTTGTACCCTGTAGTATTTATAGTGATTGAAATTAATGAGGGTCCGCATCACCATATAGAGTACCGCTGCAGATCTGGTACTGTTGGTGGTCACATGGTTACATAGAGTAGAATTCCAGATCTTGTGCAGTGGGGGGCCACATGGCCACATAGAGGACCACTTCAGATGGTGGTGCAGTGGGTATCCACATGACCCCCTGGTGTAGCACCTCCCTGCACTGGACAAGCACCTCCCTGCACTGGAGAGGCACCTCCCTGCACTGGACAGGCACCTCCCTGCACTGGACAAGCACCTCCCTGTACTGGACAAGCACCTCCCTGCACTGGACAAGCACCTCCCTGCACTGGACAAGCACCTCCCTGCACTGGACAAGCACCTCCCTGTACTGGACAAGCACCTCCCTGCACTGGACAAGCACCTCCCTGCACTGGACAAGCACTTGGGACTCTGCACACACTCTGTTAACCCTGGACATAAACCTGTGTAATGCAGCACCTCCCTGCACTGGACACACACTGGGGACTCTGCACACACACTGTTAACCCTGGACATAAACCTGCGTAATGCAGCACTTCCCTGCACTGGACACACACTGGGGACTCTGCACACACACTGTTAACCCTGGACATAAACCTGTGTAATGCAGCACCTCCCTGCACTGGACACACGGTGTGTTAACCCTGGACATAGACCTGCAGCTGTGCTGCTGACTGGATGAGGACTTTGATGCCAGGCATGAAGCTGCTGATCTCGGAGAAGTTGCCCTGGCTGATCATCTGGGTGTAGACGCCGAGGCTGGCGTTGTAGTCGTACTGCTGTACAGACTGGATGATCTGGTGCAGGCCCAGGACCACATTCCCAGATAACTGAAACACAGCATGCAGAACAAGTCACGTCATGCTCCCCAGCAAGACAGAACATGGTGTACACTGGCCGTGGCATATAATGTGTGTATGAACATTAACAAATCTTTTGTTTCGTTTGTTGTTTTATGCTGCATTCAGCAATATTATGGCCATATCACATCAGCCTAACTAACAAATCTGGGCCAGGCAAACCTGTGATTAATATTCCAAGCAATGTCCCATGATTTGGGGGATTATGACACACAATCCACCTAAGGACCGACAACCTGATTCAGTGTTGTCGCCTCTTAGAACTAGCATTACAGTGTTTGAGAGCTATCATGAAGTATTTTTAACATTTAACTGTGATACAAAGTACTAAATACAACACTGCGGAGAACACTGTGATGCTTATCAGAAAAAACAATATTGCCATGGTATATAGTGAGCTTAGCCATGCCTAAAGGTGAGACAGGAACATTATGGAGAAACCTTCTGTATCATTACAACATTATCATATCCCTCTATGAAAACTAAATCCTTTACTGATGACATCTACATCACCAGTATCTGTGCACATTCAGAGAGAGCAGGACAGGAAAAGTCATGACTCACCGTTCCGTCCCGGAGACGGTCGTACAACAGTTCCAACTTCCTGGATACATCCTCTAGTTTCCTCTTCATTTGCTGCAAAAAGATTTATTTACATGATGAACTTGTTCTTTGTTTATTATCTAATGCCTACTCCGCAATAGTCACACTATATAATAGCAGCCTGTAAATAATCTTGTCTAGGCTGAACAAACCAGTGAGTGATAGTATGAGCAATATGAAAATGTCAACATGTGTTCAATGTTAAGCCTATGGTCTTGTAACCTATTGTCATGCAGCTTAACCTCTTGTAAGCACAATTTTTCCGTAAATTGTAAATTACACTCTTTTTTCTCTCATTAGATTTTTGTTTAGGATTTTGTAAACCAATTAAGAACAGTTTGCCTGACAATGTAAGACTGATGTGATGTTGGAGTTACAACTTACTGCACTGGAGGCGGCCCTGACAATGTAAGACTGATATGATGGTGGAGTTACAACTTACTGCACTGGAGGCGGCCCTGACAATGTAAGACTGATATGATGGTGGAGTTACAACTTACTGCACTGGAGGCGGCCCTGACAATGTAAGACTGATATGATGGTGGAGTTACAACTTACTGCACTGGAGGCGGCCCTGACAATGTAAGACTGATATGATGGTGGAGTTACAACTTACTGCACTGGAGGCGGCCCTGACAATGTAAGACTGATATGATGTTGGAGTTACAACTTACTGCACTGGAGGCGGCCCTGACAATGTAAGACTGATGATGGTGGAGTTACAACTTACTGCACTGGAGGCGGCCTGGCTGCAGTTACTGACAAGCAGGTTGAAGATCTCCTGAAGGACCTTGTGCTCGGCCGGGACGGGGCCCTTCTGGACTGGCTTCACCTCCTCCGGGGCAGGCTTCTGAGGCTGGACATACACAACAGGGTTACTATGGTAACAGTATCATCTCAACTCTGTCAAGAGGTATGCTATGTCAGTTACTGGATTAAGCTGGTGTTCATGCTTGGAGGTCATTCATCAGACTTGTAAGTGGCCTTAGAAGAAACTGTTAATTGTTGAGTACAACTGTACAAGTATTCATCAGGCACATTCATACTGTACTGTATACACGTAAGGCATTATGTCAGCAGAGGATACCAGGGTTAAGATTATGAAGTCTATAAAGGTGCCAATTTCAAGTGGAGACAATACATGTCAGCAAATGCATGAAAGGTAAATATTATCTTGATTTCTTGTTTGGAGAACCGTAAACACAAAGATTCAAACATCAATTATTTTGTTTTTTTGTTTGTTTTGTTACACAACACTCAGCAATATTCCAGCTATATGATGACAGCCTGTAATCAAGTCTGGACCAGACAATCCAGTGATTGACATCATATACAACATCCCAAGTCACTGGGGTACGACGTCCCACATTCAACAGTCACTAAGCCGGACCAACCAATGCAAATAAGTCATCTTGTATGACAAACACTGATTGCTGTGGACCTATTCTAACCCGTAATCACCTATTGGAACCCACAATCCTCATGGGTTTGAGTGAGTGAATAAACCAACGGATCAGGTTTACACCTGTATCACACAGATCAGATCAATAATGTAAGCAATGATCCACTGTCCACAAAAAGCAATGAGAAGGTGGTGAAGTGAGTGAGTGAGTGAGTATGGTTTTACGCCGCTTTTAGCAATATTCCAGCAATATCACGGTGGGGACACCAGAAATGGGCTTCACACAATGTACCCATGTCAGGAATCAAACCCAGGTCTTTGGCGTGATGAGCGAATGCTTTAACCACTAGGCTACCCGACCGCCCCTGGTGGTGAAGTGAAATTGGGCTAGTGTTCACAAATCTCAAATCAACCAGGTGAGCTTTGGGAGTTCTTCCCTCATGATCATCCATCCAGGTTCTATCCAGTTCTATCCGGTTCTATCCGGTTCTATCCAGCATTATGAGGTGAGTTGAAATGGGGTTTATTGTTGTTTGAGATTATTGCACTCATAAAGCAACGTGTGCATTTATTTGTTGTTTTACCCCCAGTCAGCAATATTCCAGCTATATTATCTGTCAATCAACCTGTCAATTATCAGCCGTGTCCTACATGCCAAGGGTACAATGACACACAATCAAACAAGTCACCGAAGGCTAACCACATCAGTCCACAGAGTCACCTCTTACGACAAGCGACTTGTGAAGATCAGGGTAGAGAATAAGTCTTCAGCAACCCATGCTGGCCATAAGAGGCAACTTTGCTTCTCATAAGAGGCGACTAAAGGGATCGGATTGTCAGGCTTGCTGACTTGGTTGATGCATGTCATCTTATCTCAATTGCGTGGATCGATGCTTATGATGTCCGTCACTGGACTGCCTGGTCCGGACTCAATTATTTACAGATCGCCATCACATAGCTGGAATATTGCTGAGTGTGGTGCCAAATAACAAACAATCAATCTTACGACAAGCAATAGAGTTTTGGGGACCTACTGTACCCCGGGTCCCCTTTGGAGACAGAACTAGTTATGCTGGTTCTATGGAGTTCGCCCCCTGCGCAAGGTGGGTGTGTCTCACCTTGGGCTTCTGGGGGGCCTGGAAAGCGGGCATGGTGGGAGGTGTCATGGCAGTATATTGTTGCTAAAGGCGGCAAGCGTGGGAGAAAACAGGATGAGTTAACAACATAAATAGGGAGAACTACTGCATGCATACTGTCAGTCCACCAGACCTCCCTGATGTAGGTGATGCTTTCCTGACTTGCTGCTTCCGAAACACCAGTGTGGAGATCATGTCTGGGTAGGATTTAACACATTTAATCGCCCCTTACCACAAGCATGGTTTGATGCGGACTACTTCTATTAATGAATCCCTTCAGGGTGTAGTCAGCAGTCTTTTTGTAACCACTAGTCAGTAACCATGGCAACAACAATGCTCTAAAAGACTTAAAAATCAATTTAGGTCAAAACAACCTGTCCTCTTCCCAGAATTGAAATGGTAATTACTTCCACAACATGCAATGCTATTAGTGAGCGAGTATGGTTTTACGCCGCTTTTGGCAATAGTCCATCAATATCACGGCGGGGGACACCAGAAATGGGCTTCACACATTGTACCCATGTCGGGAATCGAACCCGGGTCTTCGGCGTGACGAGCAAACGCTTTAACAACTAGGCTACCGGACCGCCCCAATGCTATTAGTAGTACAGAGCAGTAGTGACATGCAACATCGGTCCTACCAACTTCAAACACAATGGAAAGATAGTTCTATTTTTATAGGTACAATAACTCTCTACGTAACCTTAAGTCATCAGCTAAATATTCTGTTTTAATGCCGTTTTCTTTCATTTTGAAAATAACAAAACAAGATGAACACGTTGAACAAGTGTTAATTTCGCTCGTCTTGTTGTGTTACCATGGTTACCAATAATTACAAAGTATGCATACAGAGTTTCCATAGAGAAAACAAACAGAAACTGGTGACCAGAAACCATGTCAGTTACTTCAAAATACCATTAACAATGCTCAAGCTGTATGATGGAGAGATCTGGAATTGTTATTCATAATGCTCGCATTCATGGTAGCAATATTTAAGAACATGTTAGAAACTGTTAATCTGGGGAAACTCATGCAGAAACATTACAACTGTGAGCTATTAGTAAAATTAGTTAACAGATACACTGTTCAGGCATGTGATGCTGCCATTAATGATTATTGTGGTCAGTTAGCTGCTGGTTCTCAACACAAATAGATACAACATCAGAGTCAATTATACACTTAAAAGTTACGAAGCAATTTTAGCATAAAGCACATCTAAGACACTGTAAGAACAGCCTTACAAATAGAGTACACAATACCAATCTTCAGAGATCAGAAATGTCATTGAAGTTACGTCACAAAGCTAAACATCTTTATTTTCATCCGACATGTCAGGACTGAGTGGATGGTATGGTCAACTCACCTCTGGAGGGGGCTGATACTCCTGGGGGTTGTAGAAGTTGTAGTTCATGGGGGCGCCAGGTGGGGGCTGCTCGTTACCAGCGGGGCCGCCGTACAGTGGGGAGGTGATAGCAGACTGAGGGTCATATTGGGCAGTGGGCTGTCAACATCAAACAGGGGGATACTTAACACAACATTGTTAATCCTTTAAATTATTTTGAATCAACAACTTTAAATTTGCCAGGCCAACATTGAGAGCAGAGCCTTGCAAATGAAGCATTCTTACCACAACAACATTTGCATCTGTTAACGGATGAGAGTTAAGGTAATCATACTACCAAGATGGCTTTGGGAGAAGAGGCCCTAGTTTCCTGTAGCCATGCCCTGTTTAAACCATGCCCTGTTTAAACCATGCCCTGTTTAAACCATGCCCATATTCACACACAGGATCCATTGTAACCATACAAGAACGAGAGTAAAATGAAGTGGAAAGTGTGCTGTTATTGTAAGCAAGGATTATATCCTACCTAAATATTATCCTGGGGAAGTTTTACTCTAGAGTATAGTATCTATACGATTAAACACACTGGTATGGGTTCAAATTCACTAGGGAGAATCATCCTGACACTAGAGAATTTCATCCCCGGGAACAAATTGGGTTGGATAATTTTCACTCTTACATAACCTGATTGATTGATAAACAAGAGATTGGATCACAGAAATATTCTGAAATTTTCACTGAATATTCACCATGAATATTTTTCTAGATGATAACGAGCCATTCGGCTTGGCAAAATGGACACCTTAATATCAGTTCTGCTAAGCACAGAAACATACGACATCATCCATAGTATTATGACTTCCCAGTATTCCAGTGTGACGTCGTGTCTGTGTCAGACCTTAGAGAGCTCACATAGAGAGAAAGGGGACCAAGGAAGTTTCTGATAACCTTTTGTATTTTACATGTCAATAAACATTACGTGTTTTCAGATTGGGGGGAATTATTGAACAACTGATGCAAAGAAATTTTATCTTCCATTTACTCAATTTCTTCTTTCCCACAATCCGTGAGTGTGCAACGTGGTGCAGACACTCGCCCCACTCGTTGTACAGGACTCACAGGGCACCTACCTGCTTCTTGGAGGTGATCAGAGGGGGGTCATTCCAGGCCGTGTCAGACTTGACATCCTGGTAGGAGGGCATCTTGGGGGTTGACTGGGGGGCAGGGTTGGGGGGTGGGGCAAAGGGAGCACCTGTAAACAGAAAGCAAACAACACTGAAGAAACTGGCAAATTGCACAAATCTGTCTAGCCTTAAACGAATATGATTATATATACTACTCAAATGGTAATGTTAATCTCTCATGCCATGACAGATTAACATTACCAATATGAAAAATTAGGGGGGATCCTTAACTTCTTTTGAGTAGTATATATATATATATTTGAGCAGCAACACACAAATGGTGAGAAATTACAGAAACAAAATGTCAAATTAACGTCTGTTCTGTTGAGAGTTAAAAACGTATGTATCAGTTGCATACCAGGGGTTGATGTGGGATTGTAGAAGCTGGTTGGTTGCATGGAGTTGGGTTGAGAGGCAGCACCTCCAAACTGGTTCCTGGGGCAAAGAAAAGGATAACATTAGACAATAATACACACTGAGCATCTGTCAGACCAGGACCACTTAAAACAACTCTTGGAACATCCTTCTTGAGTACATTCTTACACATTTTATGTCAAGGAAATATTGCAGACTCAGTGGGCAAAGGCTACATATGTAGAACACTTTACTTTAGCATGTTTAGAAAAGCTGGAGTGTCATGCCACAGTTTCCAATGTATCTTCAACTTATAAACCTCCAGTGACGTCATCCTAATGTTCTCCAGTTGGGTTAAATCTCATAAACAGGGACGTTACAATATCCCTGGGATTTTATATAATTTCCCAGGGATTTTATTGATACAACTTCTGTTTATATATTTGAAAAATATGAACGTTTCTTGCTTGAAATTTATTTTGCATTTGAACAGAAGGTAATGAAATGTGAAATGAAATTACAAAGTTTTTTCTATATATTCCCGTGGATCAAACACACAGCCTTCGTATCTGTAGCCAAGTGAGTATACTACTAGGCTACAGAGGCGCTGATCACAGTCAGAGTACTAGCAGATACTGTGATGACAGAATCATCTCTTTCAAGAGGAGCTAGCTTAGCATTGTTATTAACTTCCCCTCAACATGCTCAATGAGGTGAGGTGAAATGGGGTTTAACGTCGCGTCCAAGATGATTGCACTTATATAGCGACGTGCATGCACGTGTGTGTGTTTGTGTGTGTGGCTGCTTGTCCTAGTCCCGACTGATGTCAATTTATAGTGCTAGCCCACTGAGATACCATGCCGCAGTTTAACATGAATACCCCACTCAGACACAGTATACTGACTCCGAGCCGACCAGTCCTTGTTTTAGCCCCTTAATGCCGAGCGCCAGACAGGGTAACAACAAGTACAATCTTTTAACGTCTTTTGGTATGACACGGCCGGGAATCGAACCCCGGACCTTCCGCTCTCTGGGTGGACGCTCTACCATTAGACCACGGAGGCGGTCACATGCTCAATGAAAAAGGAGTACTTGTGTTTCAGTGAATCAATTATTTAACATCATACAGATCACACATATAATTTGGGTTACTTACGGCTGACTGAATGCTGGCTGGTTGAACTGCTGTGCCTGTGAGAAGTTAGGCTGCATGTAGTTGGTTTGTTGGTAGCTGTCTATGCCATAGGCTCCGGCCGACGACGGGTAAGCAGGGTACTTATGGGACAACGGACCTGGAATAAAGAAAGCCCAACTAAAATACTGCTCATCACTTAATATGTTCTTGTTTATCATGTCATTTTTAAAACAATCAAAAGTCATTCTGATTTACTTTCAATCACTGAAGTAACTTCAGAAATTGTGTATGATCACAATGCTAGAGAAAAGATCTTGATCACATCTTTTCCCCATCTGACTACAGTAGTGAGTGAGTGAGTGAGTTGGGTTTAACACCGTTTTTAACAGTATTCCAGTTATATCACGGCGTGTCAGCTTAATGTGGGAGGAAAGCCCGAAGTGATGCAGGTCTCAGACGTTTACCACTTCGGTGAAACCCACGAGCACGGGTATGGTGCTGACAAACCTAGAAACATAATTGGGGCAAACCGGGATTCGAACCCACAATAATAGGTTTCTGGCATGTCCAAGGGACGCAACTCTGCACAGCGAATCGCGGCGCTTTAGACTACTGGGCCACCCGTGCCCCCTCTGACTACATTAACACACACTATGTATCATGTGTATTATGTGCAGCCATGTTGGTTACAAAAAAGCCCACACACTGGGATCTCATATCGAAACTTCGTGGAAAAAACACCCATCAATAGTTTGTAAGTAAGTGTCAGTAAGCATCGCACAGATATTGCAGCTGTATGTCTCAAAATGAAGGATGTAAGTCTTATATCCAACATCAACTATCAACTTCTCTGTCACATCATGTTAATCTCATCACACATCTCAATCACGACAAACTTAAAATTAATATTTCAAGTCGTACCTTTAGATGCTGGAGCTGCCGCAGCGCTGACTGCCGGCTGAGGTGTGTATGTAGTCTGTGTGGACACGGGGCCGTTGACGGACGCGTACTGTCCTTGGTTCTGGTAGTAGTTGCTGCTGGGGGTGGTCGTTGTCTGGAAGTTGCTGCGGGCCTGGGCCTGGTACGAGGAGGACTGACGCTGTCCACCACGCTGCTGCTGGCTGGCCGGTTGAGCAACCTGGGGCTGTCGGCTGCCCTCGGGGAGGATGTTCACCTTGGAGAAGGGGAACGATGGTATCTGGATGCCGGGGATGTTCTGTCCAAATGCTCTGAAAAGCCTCTCCTGGAGGATTTGGAGGGAAGGCTGGAACAGGAAACATGTTGCTTTACTAAAGCCTATCAGCATGATATGAAATCTGTATCATCTATACTACTCAAAAGCAGATAAGAACACTTGATTCTTTCCAATCACTATAGTTAATCTGTCATGGTTGTATAGTAATATCAGGTGTTCTTATCTTCTTTTGAGTAGTACAGTGATCCCTCGCTATTGTGCTCTTCGATAAAGCGCTACCTCGGTTACTACGCGCGGTAACGCATGGCTCCCAAAATTTATGTACACTTTTAATACTGAGAGTTTTACACAGACATGATTGTATTGTTGTTCATTGTTCATTGTTCATTTGCACATAACGCTTCTCATTGCATAAGCAACCGTTTATAGCTGAATGGAGTTCTAATAATCCGTTTGAAAACATCCGCGGCAAGTCCCGGATTGTTCTACAAGTTAACTTTTCACACTATACATCCTTTGATCTTAGAAGCGCATGCATGCAATAGAGGGAGAACCACAATTGAAGTTTATATTCTTAATTAGGGGGCAATCCAATTTGAGGCGACACTGTCAACTCGCATGTAGTTGCTGTCACAACACAGCGGTCATTCCGTTTGATTCGGATCAAGTAACCGTATCAAACCAATTAATCTGGCTTGAATGTGTATCTGTATTTGTATGAATGTGTATGAATGCGCATAGTGCTGGTCAAAACTCTCGTTTTCCGTATTTTAAGCAACATGACCAATCAATGCCACTGAAACAATCTGTACTTGTGTAATGAATTGTGATTGGCTCTTCGTTCATGGCGTCTGTTACTACCATTATCGATTGATATTCTCATGCAAGTAGACTACATTCACATTGAATGTGACAGTTAAGGCTTGTAAATAATAACAAACGGCAAAAACATAATGGATATATATTTTTACACTATGAACGGTAAACAACTTGTATCATTGCAATGTCCGAGACAAGGCGAAGATCGTGAGATTGGCCGAGCGCGCTCCCCCGCCTCGGCCTCGGTTGAACGGCTAATCGTCTATAACGCCCACTGATTATTTGGACCCCATTGGTAGCGTTGTAGCAAGGGACCACTGTATCATATTTCTGGAGCAAGTAGTAGGTCCATACATACATACATATCAGTGCTCTGATAACATTTTGGTCACATTCTTTTTTTGCAGTATTTTGCCCTTATCATTAAATATCTTAAGTGTATCAAAGCCTTACAACATTACAAAATTCTATGACTCTGCTTCAGCATGAAGTTACAAATCTCAATGACCTATCCCTGAAAATGGCGGTCAGATCGAAGGTGAAGATGAATATGCCAAGTTTGGAGGACAGACATTGACTCACCTCATTAGTATTGCGGAGGTAGCCTATGGCAGTGAAAATACTGCCCTGGGCCGCCAGCATCTCGGAGTACTGACTCAGCCTGTCTGCTAGAGGGCCGCTGGGGATCTCCGGCGCCTTGCCTCGAGACATCTCTACTGCTTTCCTGAGCACCATGATCTTCTCCACCAGGTCCTGAAACACAAGCAGGTCAATCTTCAGCCACAGGTATTTTTTCCACAGACGGCAATTTTCCATCTATATCATGGTTGCTTGTCTACATAACTGTCTATGTTATCAAGTGCTATGCTTTCGCGGAATACGCCTTACTTTGATGTCATAACACGACGTCACCAGTTTCTGCATACGCCACTGTAATGCAGTCTGAAATAAACTAAATGAACGGCAAGACGTGTTTTCACTGAGTAGCGGAAAAAGGATGCTCAAAACATAACAATCACCCTGGTTAATTTCATTCTCATCTCCCTGGGGAGTATACAAACTAAGTCGCCCATGAGTCGCTAGAAGGTCACATTGCCATCATATCCTACCAGGTGAACAGAGGCATATTTCGAACAAAATCTCTTTGCCTAAGGAGACACCACATGTAACATGTGTTTCAGTACAGAGGAGGACTGAAGATGAAGAAACTCAGGAGTCAAGCTGAACAGTCACCCATCCACCTCTCCCTGACCAATGTTGTTTACCATCGCCTGATTTCTGACCTGCGCACTGTACACAGGACCATCATGATCACACACAATCTACCAGTTCCCATGGAGTAACCACTTCTATTAGCTAGCTTGTAGGACTAGCATAGGTGCTAAGGACCCATCCTTCCCCATAATCCCCACATGGGCTGACAGAACAAGGGAAGCAACATACCTGTAGTGCTAGCGGAGCGTTGTTGTTTTCAGTGTTGCGGACCCAGTTATCCACCAGCCTCTCCACATTCCCAGAACACACATAGCACAGGCTGGCGTACAGAGACAGCTCTCCCTCCCTCTCCGACTCCAGCCGCGTGGCCAGGGAATCTGAAAAATACCCACATCATGAAAATGAATAAGCTGGTAGAAAGCATAGCAAAAACAGTGCATGATAAATAGATCTGTGAAAAGAGCTGTAACTGACAACTGCCATGTGTTTGGTAGCCTAATGACTATAACAGCATCCAACTATACGATAGTGAAGGCCCCATGGTCCCAGAATCTCCTCAGGGGATCGGCTGAGACAGCCGGAGGTGTAGGACACATGTACCAGTGCCGAACATTTGGGCACAGACTGTTGTCTTGAGATGAGTCAGACTTGATGAACGCCATCCATGCACGTTCTACTTTATTTGGGGGGACAATTTGTGAAACTTATTGACAGGTACACTTTTTGATGATTGATCTGGTACATTTCAATGTATCAAAGACTGCTTTACATTCATGTAGACTTTGGATATCCAGCTATTTTTGTTTGTTTGTTTGTTGTTTAACGCCGCACTCATCAATATTCCAGCTATATGACGGCGGTCTGTAAAGTAATCGAGTCTGGACCAGACAATCCAGTGATTGACATCATGAGCATTGATCCATGCAACTGGGATCGATGACATGTATCAACCAAGTCAGCGAGTCTGACCACCTGATCCTGTTAGTCTCCTTTTAAGACAAGCATAGTCGCCTTTTATGGCAAGCATGGGTTGCTGAAGACCTATACTACCTCGGAATCTTCACAGGTCGATATCAAGCTATTGCCACACACTCATTGAGTGAGTTAGTTTAAACACAGCTTTGAATAGCGTTTCAGTTATTTTATGCCAAGAACGCTTAAAAGGGGAGGCAATCCATAAGTGATAAAGGTCTTAGACAGTCAGTGAATGCTTAATTGTGATTCAGTACTTACATGACCTGACTTACAAAAACCTTTAAATCTCTGAACAAGAATCAAATAGGTTTTATTTTGTTTTGAGAACCAATGAGGACACAATAGAAATAAAAACCATTTCACGCAACCAACTCAACCCTGCAAAATATCTTTTGAATTAAGAATACCCACCATGGGAGCATTTTAGTCTGGTGGTGGCTATGCCCCAAACCAATCTTTGTCAATCATGGCTTGAGGGTGACTCTTAAACACACATCCATGACTTACCACACAGGGCAGCAAACTCTTCAGCGGAGGAGTACGTGAGGATGATTGCTAGGGCCTCCTTCCAGTTGTCTAGGTCACAGGTCTCCACTATATGTGCCCAGTCGTGAGTGACGATTGAGGAAACAAGCTGCAAAACAACACATCCGTACAGAAACTGGCAGATTCAATTATCAGTAGATCACAATAGGGGGTATTTTGTTTTGAGGTGAAACTGCAGGAAAATACACCAGTGAAATGAAAGTAATGTGGCAAAAACATTTCCGAAGAAATCAAGCATGTAATAAATCTCACACTAAATAATGTTTTGACAAATATCTAGAGGCAACATTCATAGATAATACTTCTTAAATCTGGTCAAATGACGAAAGCACTAAAAAAACTTCACATACCCTTCCTAGGTTACTCTTATTTTTCTGAAAGTATTTTTTCTGAGTTCGACTGAGGAGCTCAGGTCCCCCTGCAATGGCGAGTAGAATTGCCTCGGCCATCTTGTTCTCACTGAGACACATCTCGACAGCTGCTTCAAAGTTGCCAGTCAGCAGCGCCTGCGTCATTAGACCATCCGCATCTAAACACAACAGCAGACACATAACAGTCATCTACATCCCACTCCATCCCTGTATATACTTACAATACATCTGGGAGAACTAGAAACAAGGGACATAACTCTGTTAAATATTCGTTCTCCTTGGAGGTTTTCAAACTTGATACCATGTTCATCATGTTCACTGATGTATTCAATACGTCATCTCTAGTGGTTTCAGAGGCAATCACTTCTGTACAACTTTGTTGAGTTGAGATGCATTTAGAAGTTGGAGTACAAAGCAAAATAGAAGCTGTTCATCCATATATCTTATCCTTACTCACTACTGTGCACAAAGATCAAACAAGAATCATCCAGTTACCTTTTCCCTCCTCATCAACAGTGTTTCCACATTGCCAGTATCTAAAAACTAGTACTGAATGAGTTTGGTCTAAAGTCACCATAAATACATTCTATTCAATCCAGCAATTTGATTGGCAAAGGAGGCAAATTTGTTCCTAACTCGATGAATTGAAACAATGTAGCCTACAGCGGCGTCTTAGTAGGACAGCAAATGGCACATTACCATTACTACTGGGGATGGCTAGAGGTGTCTGCAGCCCCGGTTCACGCTGCTGTGAGGCGATCTCATCAAACATCGCAGAGCCATCAGACAACTCATCTCGACTTCCAGGGGTCTGAAAATTGTCCATATCCAACATCAAATACAAGATCTGTATATCACAAAACACCATAAGCAGCTTACAGTAATGTGTACACAAAGAAAATAGTTTAATAAAAAGGCACATGCTAACCAAACTGCCCTCGTGCAAGTCCCTAAACATCTACTTAATTTGATCAGAAGCATTATACGCACAGCACTTCAAGAAAGGAAAAAATTAACAGGAACCAAAGGACACAAAAGTTAAACATTAAAATATGATTTTTCTCAAAACAATATAAATAAGGCCATAATAAATAATTAGATTCCACATCTCGATAGGATGAGATGGCAATGTGGTTGTTAACCTTCGAGTGCCTAAGAGGAAGCTTGGGTTGTATACTCCTCAGGGAGCTGAGAATGGTTTTTCAGTGCACTCTGATCCAGGGACCGGGGTAAAAATAGAGCTTTAAGCATGCCCCTGTGTGGTGTGGAAATATGTGCAATATAAATAGCCTATTACTATTATATTATAATTATCTGTAAAAAAACAAATATGTTTGAAATAAGTATTGAAAATAAAAAGGCTTACGAAAAACTAATCAATTTATAGTGGCCTCTTTAATTCATTAAATTTATGATAACAAAAGCAGGAAATGCAGGTAGATCTGACATGACGAGGTGGAGACACTCAGCAGAGGAAGCACAAGTACATGCAAGGTATATAGCAATGAGCATGAGATTGTTACTCAATACAATTTCACTAAAACCAAGACATTTTGACATGTGTTTCCACATGTAGAGAAGTAATGTGTGACGACATGTCCTACCTTTGACCCCACACTAGGAGATGCCTGTCCACTAGCCATTGGCCCAGGTACTGTAAGAGAATCCTGGAGAAGACAGGAACCCAGTCTAATCATTAATCAGTACTGAATCAAGCAGTATCTAACACAGGAACCCAGTTTAATTAATAAGAGGTTGCTTGTTGTTTTACACCGCACTCAGCAATATTCCAGCCATGCAGTGGTGGCCAGGAAATAATTGAGTCTTGACTAGACTTAAAAGTGATTGATATCATGAGCAAAGATCCACACCATCAGGGTACAATGTCATATAATCAACGAAGTCACAGAGTCTGACCATGTGATCCACTGAGTCACCTCTTACAACCAGCGTAGGTTTCTGTGGACCTATTCTCGCCATTCTCCCCGAAGGGCCAGTAATCAGCATCGAATCAAGTAGTACCAACTAGGGCTGTTACGATTCACCGAATGAATTCATGAATTGAATTCGTTATTTGTTGCCATTAGAATCGAATATTTATGAATATGCAAGTATGTGCATTTGCATACCCTGTACCTAAAAATATCCATAAGAACATATTATATGCATAGATTTGTTCAAAGACAACACTCTTATAATATTTAATTTAACAGTATTGTGGTCACTGGTCATTGTCGCATTTGAGCAGATACTACTAACTGGATAAGTGCAGTATATAAATGTATAATATATTTATAATTAACAAACCATGTCAAAAAAATTATGTTAATGTTTCACTAAATATAACAAATACTACATCAACTGCTGACTTGTTATTGTATTCGTGAATTAATATTCGTATTCGTTACCCTATATTCGTGATACGAATCATATTCACCTCATAGTGTATTCGTTGTAGCCCTAGTACCAACACAGTAACTAACAAACACAGTCACAGCGATTCTAGGTATACCACTTTGCAGCGTTAGAAACTAATAGTTTTCGTCCACTAGTCCTTATAATTATAAAACATGGCAAAACCCTTAAAAATGGCAATTTTCTACTAGTCCTTATGATACCTTTACCATTGGGCGGTATGGCAAGGACTATAGGACTAGTGCCAATTTCTAACCCTGCTTTGCAAACTTCAATTCTGATAATCAAAATTCTACTAAATATGATGAAATGATAATGGGATGAATTTGCACAGCAAAATATATTGGGAAGGGCAAAGAATCAACGAATTTATCAAATGCTTCTTCTGTTTGACTGAATAAACATGAACAGACTAGTATTGCATGTACCCAGAAATATTATTTATCATGTTTATAGCAAAGGCCAATGAATGTCTTCAGTTTAGAGGATGTACTTGTTCTTCAGAGGAAACATTTGCAAATATATAAATCATAACTGGTACATGCTGCAAAGCTATTCAATTACATGTGCTGCCAACTTAATCATATAAGACAGAAATCATTATACATTCAAAATGGCATACTCAAAATGGTAAATCCACAAAAACAGAAACTGCATTCAAGCAAGGTGTAAGGAGATATACTACTCTACTTTTCATAGGGATATTTTGTATCTTTCATGATACACAAAATTGATTCTCATAATATGTCAAGTGTATATATAAATAGAATGACATTGCTGATTATCCCTATCAAAGGTTGAGTCGTATAGTATATTCAGGAAAGGAATAATTTGAAGAATAAACATACATAAAGCTATAAATATGCAGATTTGAAGCAACCATTTTGCTAATGTTTACATGTTTCTTTCACGACGTTATATCCAAATGTTCAAGGATCTCATTTCGGTGTCAATATGCTTCATGTGCAAGTCCCAAACTGCCCCAAAATGCCACGTTATTTCAGTTACATCACTGAGTGTCAGGTTGATGTGGGTGGAAAACCCACTTTGGCAAGAGATGCAATTCTGAACAACAACTTGCAGCACCTAAGACGATCAAACCCTACATAAACATGACAGTCCCTATACTTAACTTAATCAGGCAAACATTAAGGTATGGGACATGCCAGCTGTCACATGAATCATTTACGGGACATGCCAGCTGTCACATGAATCATTTACGGGACATGCCAGCTGTCACTTCAATCATTCAGTTACGGGACATGCCAACTGTCACATCAATCATTTACAGGACATTCTAGCTGTCACATCAATCATTCAGTTACGGGACATACTAGCTGTCACATCAATCATTCAGTTACGGGACATGCCAACTGTCACATCAATCATTTACAGGACATGCCAACTGCGACATCAATCATTCAGTTACGGGACATGCCAGCTGTCATATCAATCATTTACAGGACATGCTAGCTGTCACATCAATTATTCAGTTATGGGACATGCCAGCTGTCACATCAATCATTTACAGGACATGCAAGCTGTCACATCAATTATTCAGTTATGGGACATGCCAACTGTCAAATCAATCATTCAGTTACGGGACATGCCAGCTGTCACATCAATCATTTACAGGACATGCCAGCTGTCACTTCAATCATTCAGTTACGGGACATGCCAACTGTCACATCAATCATTCAGTTACGGGACATGCCAACTGTCACATCAATCATTCAGTTACGGGACATGCCAACTGTCACATCAATCATTCAGTTACGGGACATGCCAACTGTCACATCAATCATTCAGTTACGGGACATGCCAGCTGTCACTTCAATCATTTACAGGACATGCCAGCTGTCACATCAATCATTTACAGGACATGCCAACTGTCATATCAATCATTTACAGGGCATGCCAACTGTGACATCAATCATTCAGTTACGGGACATGCCAGCTGTCACATCAATCATTTACAGGACATGCCAGCTGTCACATCAATTATTCAGTTATGGGACATGCCAGCTGTCAAATCAATCATTCAGTTATGGGACATGCCAGCTGTCACATCATTCAGTTACGGGACATGCCAACTGTCACATCAATCATTCAGTTACGGGACATGCCAACTGTCACATCAATCATTCAGTTACGGGACATGCCAACTTTCCCATCAATCATTCAGTTACGGGACATGCTAGCTGTCACATCAATCATTCAGTTACGGGACATGCCAACTTTCACATCAATCATTCAGTTACGGGACATGCCAACTGTCACATCAATCATTCAGTTACGGGACATGCCAACTGTCACATCAATCATTCAGTTACGGGACATGCCAACTGTCACATCAATCATTCAGTTACGGGACATGCCAGCGGTCACTTCAATCATTTACAGGACATGCCAGCTGTCACATCAATCATTTACAGGACATGCCAGCTATCACTTCAATCATTCAAATATCGGACATGCCAACTGCACATCCATTATTTGTTATGAATCATGCCAACTGCACATGAAGAAATTATACCCACAGCGGTTAGAAAAATGAAAGGCTTAGCAAGGTGGGATGATGAAACGTACCCCTGCGTCTAACATGGACATTTTCTGGGCAAGTTCTGAGGCATCTATCCCCTGACTCCGTGATAGTGCAGCGTCTGTGCCTGTATGTTCCACAACCTGAAAGTAGATACACTTGTAGTAGATGCCAAAATGAACTTCCAACTACTCCATTACACATACTTTTGTCAGTAGTAACAGCCATGTGACATGTGACATGTGACATGTGACATGTGGATACATGTTGATCATGACAGGAAGCTGATGAATCTGTTTTCTCAACTTGAAACACGCATTATTTTTTTAGAACGTTTGTTTAAGTCGTGGGCAGATTTTAATCGCTGTAGGGCTGATGGTGCATGACAAGTCAGGCAAGTTAAAGTACAGGCAATTACATCGAAGACAGTAGAAATACACATTAAACAGCTTTTCTATAATGATCTGGAATTGGGGGGAAAACTTGGACAGAGATGGCTTATAAGGTTGTCAAACAAAGGCTTTAAATCTTTTCTACACATTATTATTTCATAATTGACTATGAATATGCTTTAAACATGTTTGCTTCCTTACCTTTTTGGCAAGTTCATTTTGATCATATCCTAAAAGTTGCAGGAATCTTGCTCTTGGCTCCTTTTCAAAGTTTACCTGGAATTATAAGACAAATATTAACACAACAGTCCCACATTACATTTGTGAAAAAGCAAAAGTATGTTTCACAACTCATTCAAAACAAAACAAAACAAAACAAAACAAAACAAAAGCTCATTGGGACAGAGTAAGATGATACAATAACTAAAATTATTTTTCAAAACAATCTCCAGGACATGATAATTGAATATCTGTTTTCCAAAAGTTTCTAAGAAGTTCACAAGAATAGTAGTGAGTGAGTGAGTAGGTTTGATTTTACGCCGCTTTTAGCAATATTCCAGCAATATCACGGCAGGGTACACCAGAAATGGGCTTCACACATTGTACCCATGTTGGGAATCGAACCTGGGTCTTCGGCATGCCAAGCGAACGCTTTAACCACCAGGCTACCCGACCGCCCCACATTAAAAATAACAGTACGGAGATGATTTTACACCAGCTTTTAGCATTATTCCAGCCATAGTGTGACTGATGACACCAAGAACAGACTTCACACTTCGTAGCCATGTGCACAAACTCTTTGTCTTGTGTTGACAAGCCATTGCATTAACCACTAGATACCAATCCATCCCTCACAAAGCAAGGTGTCCTCCTGTGGAGACGACCCATGGAGATTCCGGGGTAGAATAGTGCCTTGTCCAGAACACCTGGTGTCATAACTTATTGTCACTGGTCCATTCATATCGGGTTTTTTACCCGTGATGATCTTGGGTAGAATAGGTCTTGAGCCGACTTGTGTCAATATTACATAGTAAATGTCTTCAGCAACCCATTCTTGCTGTAAAAGGTGAGTATGCTTGTCGTAAAAGGCGACTAACGGGATCAGTTGGTCAGGCTCACTGACTTGGTTAATGCATGTCATCGATCCCAAATGCGTGGATTGATGCTCATGATATTGATCACTGCATTGTCTGGTCCAGGCTCGATTATTTACAGATCTATATTTACATATAGCTGGAATATGGCCGAGTGCGGCGTTAAACAACAAACAAACCAACCAATCCTGTGAAGACTTACCCTGAGGAAGTTCCAGAGATTCTCCTGCATGCCGTCTCCAGCATTGGCAGCCTTCATGGCACAGAACTCGAGAAACTGGTTGTTGTTGAGTGCTGTCTCCAGCTGGCCGGACCGTGTCAGTAGTTCAGTCTCCGTCACAACCTGGCTGATGAACACCTGTTTGGGGACGGGCTGTTGAGGGTTCTGAGGTTTCAGGTGATCAAAGCTGACTAGTTTGCCACCGAACTGAAACAAATAACTTGTACTGAGATAGATTCACAACACACTCATTGTTAAATTCAGAAAAAATATCAGACCTAAATTAAAGGAAATGTTAACCAACAAAATGAGTAAAACAAAAGTTACAAATAGTCTGTCCTAAACAAAACCTAGAAGATTGGATAGTTTCAGAGACCTGTGTTTTAACGTCTTTCTGTGGGTATTTTGTGTTTAATTTTTTCAAAATATGCTTAGTTTGAAGATTTAACTTCAAATTGTACCTGAAAACATTTTTTTACTATTTTTCCTCCTGTCTCTAAATATTAAACACAAAAGTCAGTAAAACAAGAATGAAGCTGGTGTCTGGTATATAGAAACTTCAAAAGACACACAAAAAAGACAAAGCTACATTTCAAGCTGATCGTGTGTGTATCATCGCTACTTAAAATCAATTCTCGAACAACAATCATGTTGCTCACAATAAAATAGTTCTGCATCAAGATCAGAAGCAAATCAAACAATAGGAACAAGCAGCAATAATAAAATAAAACAAGACACATTAACCCCTACACATTATCTCGGAAACAAACACTACTCACGGCAAAGGAAGCACCAACAGGTTTGCGGAGCCACTTGGGGGGCTTCTTTAATGGAACAATTTTCTCCTCCTCCTGGGTCACGTGGATGGGGGCCTGGGCGAAAGGCTCCAGTCCACTGAACGACTCTGCTACCTGGAATGAGAACATGGTAATCCTATACCCGTCCTTGTAAAAAGTTCACTTAGCTGTATAATAGAGATCACTTCAACAGCCTCATAAAATCAATACTGATAATTTGATGGACATCTGGTGTTTGGAGTCCAGCTGAGCAGCCAGGTGTACAGAACCCTGGCGTTTACAGTTATTAAATTGTTCTATAAGCATGTGAAGATGTGTCTCAGCATTGTGCAGTTTCTGTCCCCTGTCGTCAGTCTGCCACATGCAGCAACAACAGAGGGTGACAGCCCACATGCCAGCTGTTCTGGACCCCTGCGATATCATCACAGACAACAGCCTTCACTTTAACATTAAGCATAGTCCCTTTCGCTGTATCTGTTAATTGAACTTTTTGAACCAATAACACAGAGCTAGTCATCTTTGGGTGTAAGAAATCTGATGCAGCCAAATATAAACTAGCAGTAATAAATACAAAATTCGAAAAAAATAAAGTCTATGAATTTGCAACTGTGTCAAAAGTAGTCCTCTCCCTGAGGCAAGAGCATCCACAAGCATATTTGTCAAAGTCTAGTTTCAATCCTTGCCATATCAAGCCCACTTTTCTATGCTAAATATGATTGGACGATGGCACATATCGATAGTCCAATCAGAGAATGCTTCATAAAATAAACATCCAGGTTAAAAAAACATGGCCGCCGTCACATAGCTTGTCTAATTTGCACTGAAGATCTTTCAACAATTAAGCGAAGACAAGTATTTTCTAATTCTTTCAAAGTTGTAAATCAATTCACGCAAGAACTGTGGTTGTAAGTGGTACAATGATGAGAACAACCATTAAACATGACAGGCACACATTCGTATGAAAGTGATTTAACGCTGCGTGTCTTCATGGTCTTTGTTGACACGAATGTTTCTTTTCCATCTTTTAAACCCCTCAACGATTGCCTTTGTCTGTCAGGGATGCAATATGTGAATGTTCTCGTTATCTGATCGACCAGGTCGTCATCTATGGTAGTCGCCTTCTTTGGGAAGCCATACCTGCTATGATGTGTATTCATTACAAGGGGCACAAATCTACACTAGGTGGCGCCACGACTGAGACAAGGAAAGAGGGCTTGATGTATCAAGGGTAAAAACTAGTCTTTGATATAGGCTAGGGGACACGCTGGCCTCAGGAAGATGATAAAACAAATATATACTGAAGAGTATCACAAGAAGTACTTGTTTAATGAAGGCAGCCTTTAAACAATCAAATCTGGACCAGACAATTCAGTAATTGATATTGTGAGCACGATCCATATGTCAGATTAACTATAGTCATATGAAAACATCAGGTGTTTTAAATAACTTTAAATAGCAAAATGATCCATACAAAATTTGTGGTTGGTTGGTTGTTGGTTGTTTAACGCCGCACTCACCAATATTCCAGTTATATGATGGCGGTCTGTAAATAACCGAGTCTGAACCAGACAATCCAGTGATTGACACCATGAGCATCGATCCACGCAATTGGGACATGATGACATCCATCAACCAAGTCAGCGAGCCTGACCACCCGATCCTGTAAGTCGCCTCTTGCGACAAGCATAGTCGCCTTTTACGGCAAGCATGGGTTGCTGAAGACCTATTTTAACCTGGATCTTCACAGGTGTACAATATTTGTGGCACAAATTATTGCCATGCTGCTATTGCGTCAATACTTGGGAGAAATTACAACCCAACACACAGCAGTTCATGTGAAGGACCAGCCCTTACTTTGTTGCTGGGCTGGAGGGGATGCCCGCCCCCTAAGAGGGAGTACACAGTCACATGACCGTCGAAGGAGGAGCTGGAGATGAGGGAGGGATTGCGTGGACACCACTCTACATCAAAACTCCACTGATTCCGCGTTGGCAACTCATACACCACCTGAAACATCAAACCTAATGACACAACCACAAAACAACATGTGAGGCAAGTACTAGTAAGTAAGACAAGTTGGTTTGATATATTGGTAAAAAGGAAATAACTATCAAAACTCAACAAGCAAAGACTTGATCTTCTTAAAGTCAAAAGCATGTATTCAAATTTCTATTTATCACAAAAGAGAATGAAAGGGTGTTTAACTTATGTTTCAGTGTTGATAAATTTAGTTGGATTATCTTTTAAAAAACATCATCATGATAAGTGTAATGATGCTAACAATCATATTAATATTAGTAGAGTAGATATGCCTAAATATTGTGCATGGATTACATGTAGGCTATACATCAAGGCATAGTTAAGAATTCTGTCTACATTGTTAAAGTACATGATCATCTAGATGTTCCCAACATCATAACATCACATCACCTCTCCACCCTGGACATTGGAGTTAGGGTTCCAGCAGAGGATGCGGTTGTCCTTCCCACACGACAGTAGCAGGTCGGGGTCTCGTGGGCACCATGACATGGACAATATTCCTCTGAAAGAAGGAGATAGCATTAGCATTGCCACTAGGCCTGTAGTATTACACTTTGCAGTGTTTGAAATCAAGTTGGGTCATTGAGGTTTGTATCTGTAACTTGATAAGGATCCCTGAAGAGAAGGAGGCAGGGAGAGAGAGGGAGAGGATAAACCCTGGTGGGTATGAGAATATGGTTCACATAATTCTCTTGAGTTATCAAACCCCATGGCTCGTGGCCGTTTCAGAGTGTTGACACATCTGAGTGAGTGTTAGTCCAAGCAACAGCCACCAAAACCTTGTCACAAAAGACCATAAACTATCAAGATTAGACTGACAAAAACAGTGGATGATAGCATGGTACATTTAACTGTACATAACAAAACTGTAACTAAAACACAAGGACGCATGGCTGCCAAGAAAGCCCCAACGTTATACCTTTGATGGTTCTCTAGGACTTTGAGAGGCGACGTGGCATATCTGAGATCCCACAGCTGTATGACAGGGGAGTGGTCATCCTCAGATGAGATCATCAGTTGTGTGGCTACATCAGGGTGCCAGGCTACATGTTTGCATTTTATCTGAAACACGAGACACAGCTCGAGTCAGTGGAGTCAAGAGCTAACGCAATATTAAAAATTGAAAAACTTTACACAAAAATTAATATCTGAACAACATTTTCATTTGAAATGTAATTAACAGGTTTCAATTCAAACTATGGGTGACACAAAACAGTGGTTGACGCTATGAGCAACATACAAAGCTGTTATGGTATGTCTGAGTGAGTATGGTTTAACGCTGCTTTTAGCAATATTCCAGCAATATCACGACGGGGGACACCAGAAATTGGCTTCACACATTGTACCCATGTCAGGAATCGAACCCGCTTTAACCACAAGGCTACCCGACCGCCCATCATCATGGTATGAGGGCACACAATCTATCCAATGACCAGATCAAATGTTGTTGTGTGGTACAAGCAATAATAGAGTGCTAGAAACTTATTTTAACAGGGGTCCATGTAGATAAACTGATGTTTCAAAAACAAGTAGGGTAATCTTCATAAGCTCTGATCTGTACCTCTATAAATACCACACATCACGATTATGGGGCCTATCTGAGTGCAAGCTATCCATGTACACATACATATGCCGGACACCCACGTTGTCTCCACTCACCCGAGACATACTGTCACTTATTTTGATGATAGGCTCGTTCTTCCTCAAGTCCCACACAACACATCGCGTCCCGAACGTGGAGCCCAAGATGTGTTGAACCTGTCTGTTCCAGGCCACGCATGCTACTTCCTCTGGAGGCTGAAACATACAGGGTCAAAACCTGTGACCAACTTGCTGAGTCAGCAAAACCCTAGCTCTACTGCAGCAACCTGCTGTTGATCCAATGTGTTCGATATCATGAACAACAACCCACATGCTCAGGGTAAGATGACATTCAAGCAATGAATGATTTAGCATTTTGTTTAATTTGTTTCCATGTACTTCAATGAAAAAGCAGACACTTTGCACAACAACAAAAACAAAAAAGATGAAATTAGATAAGCTTATGCACAGGCAATACACAAACCAACCAGGAGGTGACATCTTCGTTGGTCTGGTTAATTTTTATCTCAAAGAACATGAGTGAGTGAGTGAGTGAGTTGGCTTTAACGCCACTTTTAACAGCATTCCAGTTATATCACGGCATGTCAGCTTAATGTGGGAGGAAAGCCCGAAGTGATGCAGGTCTCAGACATTTACCTCTTCAGTGAAACCCACGAGCAAACCTAGAAACATAATCGGGGTGAACCGGGATTCAAACCCACAATCATAGGATTCTGGCATGCCCAAGGGACGCAACTCTGCACAGTGAATCGCGGCGCCTTAGACGACTGGGCCACCCGTGCCCCCCAAAGAACATGAAGATTCAATACAGGCGACTTACCAGTGATTTCTGTCCAGGTGTCATTGGGTTGTCTGGTTTCGTCATGTCCCAGATGTAGATCTCAGACTCACCGGCTCCTGACGCCAGCAGGTTTTGCTGGAAACACAATGATAAAACCATTTAATTTTTAAACATGGCAAATTCTGAACCAGAAAACTTCTGCTTTGTAATAATAATTCCAAAATCAACCACCCCGCGAGGAAGTCAAAATTTAACATAGCATCAACATCAGGTCACATTCAGCAATATTCCAGCAGGGTTCACTCTAGGAATTTTCTGACATGGGCCCTTTGTGAAAATTTCAAATATTCCATACAGCACAATGTTAAAATGCACCTTTGTATTTGTAAATGTGGGCCTTTTTTCAAATTTAGGGGCTAAAAGCACAAGGCCCCACCCTTGAATTATCCCTCTTCCAGCTATATGACAAGGGTCTGTGAATAATTGAGACTGGATCAGACAATCCAGTGATTGATATCATGAGCATTGATCTACACTGTAACACAAACGGAGATGGGATGACATGCATCAACCAAGTCAGCTGGCCTGACCACCCCATCCTGTTCAATACCTCTTTCAACAAGCAAGGCTTGCTGAAGCCAAATTCTAGCCCGGATCGCCACGGAGACATCCATGATGGTGAAATCCCTCTGTCATGGAATCAAAGGTTTATCTCATCATATATTAGGCATGACACAATATGATGTAATACAGAGAAAATAGACGGTCACATAGTGTTAAAAGCCACACCCACCTGGAAAGGGTTAAAGTCTAGAGCCTTGACAGCACCAGTGTGTTTTGACTGTTCAAACAGCTGACAGTCCTGGTCCCCCTTTAAGAGAGCTGCTGCGTCAAATGCCTGGACGAGACCATTGTCTGTACCAGCTACTATCACCCCTGCCGGTGCTGTTGTGCCATCCATACCATAAGATCCCCATAATACTTTGTGGAATCTGGAAAAACAGGGGAAACATTATCATAAAACTACAATAGACACGATTAGGGCTGTGTATTGCCCCAAATTTCGTATTGCGATATATTGCGATACATTCCTCTGTACTGCAATACGTACTGCAATATATTGTGGAAGAAAACTTATTGAGTTCTGTCCACTGTTTAAGATTCTTTTACCTCCACATTGAATCACAGTACAATCATACAAAGTTTAGCTTTATTCAAAGTAAAAAAAAGGGAAAAACCAGAACCATCAGACAAAACAGACAATTGTATATTGTGTCTGACTGGCTGTGCTATTCGACTCAAGAATAGCTGTTTAAGGCACCATAATGGTAAAGTCCAACATGCAGTAAATATTAGTGGTATCAATTCTCCAGACTCAGTGACATCATGGGTGCGTTTAGCTCATAGGTTCAGGAAGAAATGTTAGAGGTATTTATGTATAATATGGGTCCAGTGTTTGTGGTAACGTAAGTTTGTAATTGTTTATCAAAGAGCTGTTCGTGCAGTTTCATCACAATGACATCGCAGGTAAAAAGATGGACAATATTAGTTGTTTTAACTCTTTCAACACCAGTCAACCAGAAGCGTTTACTGCTGTGACACCCAGTAACCAGAGATTCCTGTGTGATAGATGAAACCAACATTTATCAAAGAAAATATCTGCTTGTAAAACATCTTTGCAACTCTATATTATACACCATTTGAAAGGTCTGATCCTATTGTTTATAAATATGAAAGTATTGTTTATCACATTATTTAAATAATGCATTTACAACTTAATTATGTTCAGTCACAACGTCCAGATTAAGGACCAAGGAAGCGAAAATTTGACTATTTTCGGCAAATATACGATTTCATGAAATGCACTTACCTATTTCCTTTTTATTTTTATTGTTTACGTTAATGAAAAAGCTTTTGAAAAAGAATTATCAATAGTATCTGTCATCACCCATTTCCCGATAACAGCGCCTGTCCGCTCAGTAACATGAAGAAATACCACTGTTTTCGAGGCTTCCTATGAATAACACGTTCGTCGAAGACTGGCATATGACACATCGCTAGAAAGCTTATTCTTTCATCTTCACGCTCGTAACATCACCTGGAGTTTTTCGTAGTTATAACAATCAATTTTATTGGATAAAAATTGGTTTCTAATGACGCTTTCGCGCCAAAATCTGCTACAAGGTTTGTGATTGGTCAAATTTGAGCATGTGATCTAAGGCAGTCAATCAAATTACAGTTGTGTTATGAATTTTAGATTTTGACGAAATATTTTTGTTTATCCTGCCATTCTGAACATCTTAAGCAGGAAATCGCAATTTATATTAAAAATATGTGCTTTGTTGATGTATCATGCTAGGTTACGAGCTGTGACAAAGTTTTTTCATGCATAATTTTGGCATTAAACATCGTGTCCGAGCCGAGAATTTAGGCGACGAAAGCCGATGTCATTTGATTTACATTACAAGCGATCGCACGAAAAGATGGAAATAATAACTTGGCAGTAAGTTTGACAACTTTTAGATATATTTTTGTTGATTGTATCTATAACTTTGTATACTATATTCAAAGCTTTGCTTGAAACGTCTTTATTTTGCTCTTTGACATGTTCGATGTGGACCCGTTTTCGAAGTGCGTGTCTGGGATTTTTATTTTAAATAACATTACGGGAAATAGTGAATAATTTCTTAATCTATTGATAAAAAATGATCAATTGAAATTGAATACGTATTTCAGACATTGTGAAATGTGATAGATCTAGTAAATGAAAGATATGACTGGTAGGTTTAAAAAATTATATACTATTTTGACGTGACTACGGCTTGGCCGGTAGGGCCTATACCGGCCTACGGTGTCTGGGAATGCTTCTTGGCCGGTATTACGGGCCTACGGTGTTGAATGAGTAATAATAATTAATCATAAGCAAGTTCAATTTGAAAACACAAAATCATTGTCAATATACCGGTACATCACAAACGTATCGCGATACGTAATTGTTTCATTTTCATATTGCGGTATACCGGTATACCGGTAATACCGTGCAGCCCTAGACACGATAGGACAAAAACTTATTTCTATAAAAATGTAGGTATTAATGTAGTATTATCTTTGAGCATTAAAAATATTAATGCACATTAATAGCATGTATATCGCACTGTATCCACATACACTAGGGTGTACTTAGTGTGTGTTCCATTTGCTTCCCTGGGAAGTGCACAACTTACCTGAAGGTTTACCATGATTAGTATTTATGAATAAACATCTTATCTGTATATAACTATTCAATCTGTTCAACGACATTATTTCTGAGAAATCTGTCCCCTAACTACTTAACATGCTTAATAACCAAGTTAAAATACAAGCATTCTCAAAGTGAACACCAATCTAGTCTCAGATAACCATGGTGTCAGGACATGTAAAGCAATTTCTCAATGTTGATCAACTACTATTAGTCAAGTTTTTTGCGACTTAGGTCTAAAATGCACTTGCCAATCTCCGGACAACTATCTTTTCACACCGTGTCAAGTCAACTTTGGGATACGACAAACAGAAGATGAACAATAAAATCATTTTTTTTATATTCCAGGTGGCCTACACTATGTCAGTCATCACAACTCTGGGATTAGAGTTAGATTCACCATGACAGTGTAAGCTCTACTTGACTATTGTATTCTGAGTGAGTGAGTTGGGTTTAACGCCACTTTTAACAGTATTCCAGTTATATCAAGGCGTGTCAGCTTAATGTGGGAGGAAAGCCTGAAGTGATGCAGGTCTCAGACGTTTACCACATTAGTGAAACCCACAAGCGCGGGTATGGTGCTGACAAACCTAGAAACATAATCGGGGCGAACCGGGATTCGAACCCACAATCATAGGTTTCTGGCATGCCCAAGGGACGCAACTCTGCACATCAAATCGCGGCGCCTGAAACGACTGGGTCACCTCTGCCCCCCTCTTGTATTCTGAGTTGACTGTACTGATTGCCTAGAGCCTTAAACTTTCTATGACAAAGAGGACCCCAAGGAAACAACCAAGTGGTAGACAGGTACCTGCATTCTGACTGCAAGGAAGCCACAAGTGGCATGTCGAGTGTCGCCTCGGCCAGATTCAGACTGTACACTTCCAGTGCTGATGTTGTGCTGCAATAGAGAACATCACGTTACACATACAGTGCCTGACATCACCATGATCACATAGAAAGACATCACTCAGATGACATGTACATTCATCTCCTTTAGTTACATATGGCAGTGTAATGACTACTCAAATTATTGATGTATCACTATTGTCCAAGGCCCAGTTGCAATATAAATATAGATCACAAGTTAAAACACCAATATTTTACTGTATAGGGTCACTGTTACCACATTCTGAAGTATATACCCTTGATGTGCCTGGCTATTTTTAGTTTGACACGAGGTCGTGATGTTTTCAACCAAACACCAACCTAAAAGAATTATGAATGTATCTGAGCGGCTTAATATGCGGCACATGATTGGCTGAAGCAAACCTATGGACTATAGCTAACATTAATACATGCAAAACCGAAAATAGATAACGGTTTGGGTATACGTCGTAAGAAGGGAGAGAATAATAATTTAGCAAACTGAAGAGTTAATCAAGATGTTTTGCGGTCTTTTTTTGCAGTAAATACCTTTACACAAAGATGTACGGCTTTGGTTGATTTACAATAACAGTGGCCATTGGATATGAAATTAATAATGGTCCAGTCACTGCGTCCACGAGACCCACACATGTTACGCAGGTCCAAGATGCCAAAACACGCTCTTCAGCCAACACTGTTCTTCTCATCATCATGATCATTACAACAACAAAAAGCTACATTATATGTCCAGACCTACCTGAATGTGGCATCCAGTTGTTGGGCTGCTGTTCCTGTTACCATATAGATTGGATATTGGTCAACTGGTGACCACGACACGTTGGCCGTTCGATCTATTTCTTTTATCCTCATCTTGAGATATCTGTGTGAAGATGAACAAAAAGAGAGAGTTTGTAACATTTCAAAAGTAACATCACAAAATGTCAGCTTGAAAAATTGAGTATCGATATTAGGGGTGAAATGATAAAGCAAGGTAACGATACGATACATAGGTGACGATACGATACATATCCCAATACACATATTTACGTCAAGTTGCACGGAAACATCTTGACTATAAATATTTCGGAGTATGGCCTAAAGGAAAAGCTTGCTGTGGACATGTTCATAGCTGCTATTTTTACACATTTTGCGATATCTGACTGCCAAAATTGCTAGGGGTAATTAAAATGTGGAGTAAGTAATATGCTTCAGCAAATGTATCATCATGTATCAAGACATAAGAAAATGTATCATGCATCATATTGTTGCATGAAAACTTACGATGCACCGGTGCAACGATGTCTCGTTTCACCCCTATTGAAAATTAGTCCAAAGTGAAAGTACCAACACTGGTAGGTGTCACACTGGTCCCAGACACCTTACTACATGCCACAATCCACTATGACAGATTGTGCTGACAAACCAATGGTATTATTACATAATCACGATAATGGAGTTGAACTTGGCAATCAATCCCACTATCATGTGACTATGTGTTGGTACTGGCATGGCTAAGAGGTGCTCTCATGTTACAAGAGCTAACGGTATGACCACAAGGTCATCCTTGCCCTACCTGCATAAAGGGTGACAAAAGAAATGACATTGTTAATATTAGTGCACTAAGCATAGTTAGGACAAAGTTTACAAATTAGTGAAATTACACTATTTCTAACAATAACACTGTTCACAAATCTGTCATGCACAGGTATAAAATTAATTTACATGCTTTATCTCATATCAACATGATCAAAATGTTGGTAATGAGCTGTTAATAAAACAATGATATCAGTTAGAACAGACATTTCATTAAATTTGTATGAAATTGAAAATTGATAAAAGGCTTTAAAATGTATCACTGACGAGATACGAAAAAAGCTAGCAATAGCGAAAGTGTCAAGATACAAAATGACACAAAACCGTATAGCGTACCATGCCACTGCTGTATACATCCCTCACTCACTCATATCTCCAACACTTCCAAATTTGATTTTAATATACAAACAAAATCCCTGTCTTAAATCAGCTGTTGTCTACACTCTGTATAAATATAGCTCAATGAACACTTTTATGAAATCCTAATATCAAAATCATGATCATAGTTATACATCATGGCTGTCACTACTCGAAATGATCAATCAGCATATGTATGAAAATGTCTGTCATGGGGATAAGATACATCAAGAATAACTAACACTTCGTCCATGTCAACTTCTTTATTACGAGGAACACAACATTTGGGAGTATACACTTACTCCTTTATCAGGTGAATGAAGGAGTAAGTATATGCTCCGAAACGTTGTGTTTCTCATAATAAAGAAGTTGACATCCATAAATTCTCTTCCTCATGTGTATCACTTCTGAATGCCATTCAAAGACTTAACACTTTATCGATACACATTTCTAAAAACATGAAAAACGCAGTAATTCTAGGAAAACAATACTTTTTGTGCATATATTTGTTGTAGTATACATAACATAAAATTATAGCTAACTCTTGGCCTATTTCATTCACTTTCAATGTCGTCCTTGTCGGGCCGAACTCTCACAGCTGGTGTCATGCTTTCCAAATAGGAATTCTTATCGTTTGTTTCAAAAATGCGGTAAAACCGTAATGGTATTAATTATAATTCACCGTAGTATTAACACCAACCAAACGCGTAACTTATTATTATATACCGTTCCATTTTGGCTTCATGCAATATTTTGACAGATGATCGCGTCAAGCCACAACGAATGCCGGTCGACTACTTACAGACTTACCCTATGTGCTAAACGAAATCCGTTTCTCGTTCCAACGAGCTCTTGTGTTCTTCTAATGTTTGGCTATAACTTCTAGTACGTTTAATGCAAGTACAAGATGTAAATAGTAGTTATTTCCCCGTCATATTCCACGTCGTTTCGCTAATCAACGTGGCTCAATATCCCACATCACCAAGTTGTCATTTCCGGTCATGCGCATTGTCACTTCCGCATCTAATAGACTTACTTAGGGTTCTTAGTATACTCATTTTTACATTTCTCGTTGTGTATTAATACTATTTGCACTTAAATGTAAATATAAATGTAATTTCTGAGATAACATTATATACCCCACGTCGTATGATAGCAAACCACAATATACATATGTACTGTGTTATTAACAGGGATTCATTTATAAGACATAAGCAAGTCTAATGATTCCAGAAAACGGTACTCGCATACGTGTAAACTGCCATGTTGCATGTGGTCAGATTGAACACGCGTGTTTAGGGGTCCACACACAAATTGTTATATTATATCGCAACGAATCTTCTGCCTAAATCTTATTTGACAATTCGTGTATAACGAATACCTTGAAGTTTCCATCGACATATTATTGATCAATACACAATGTGCTGCAGGCGTATGCATGGTTTGTTTATATCACAACAACGCCTGGGTAATTGCTCTTACTGTCGGCCACCGGTTTATCTCGTCAAGCCTCGACAGCTTGCGCGCCTACGTGACTAAGTTAGTTGCAGGATGAGTGAGTGAATATGTCTTTACACAAGCATTCATTTCGACAGCCTGTAAGAATAGACTGACATAGTCTAGAGTAGACAGTGGAGAGAGTTTCCTACAAATCTCTGTTCATAATGATTACCAGCCCCGCTTCTACCACCAACCAGTCCCCCCAGTTTGTCGAACATCGCACAAGCATGGACAACCTCGATTATCCAATGTTACAGAGCTACAGCGTAAAATACCCCCCCCCCCAAAAAAAAAAAAAAACACCAAAAAAACACCAAAAAAAACGACCAACAACAACAAAATTCAAAACCCAATTACTTTAAATTAACTTGCGTACAGAAACGCAATCATTAAATGAAAAACTCAAATTATAAAAACAGCTCGCGTAAATACCCAATGAAGCTTTTTCAGCATGCGTACAAAGGAGCTAATTTACTTTCCGAGTCAAGCCTATAGATCTACATTTAGAACAGCTGTATACATCTAAAACATTATTTCATTTTTTTTAAATCTTAAAATGTTTACTACTTTGGTGGAAAACCCAAATAGAGTGATGAATAGATGAGTGAAAAAAATGTGGTTGCCCATTGAAAGATCTAATAACCCAATTAAAATAGAAACCCTAAAGTAAAAACTCAATTGCTCAAAAGGTTATGTGGAGCTCTGAGTGTATTATCATCTCCATTCTATTTAAGTCCTAACAGAACAGTCGCCGTGATATTGCTGGAATATTGCTAAAAGCGGCGTAAAACCAAATTCACTCACTCACTCACCTAACAGAACAGAAATATAATACACTGGATAAACGAGGATGAAACATGGGGTGTATGGCAGTTATATGCACGTTCTTGAATATCCAAGGATATCTGACATGGATTTGACCGCTATCGATTACTAGTATTCTCCATGTATTAGAGGATATGAACACACAAATAGTCACATTCTTATTTTCAATAATCATTTAAAAACTTGTTATGAAGAAGTATTGGTACATATTGTTTGATGTTTTGTCCGCCACACCAGTATAGTTATTTATCATATATACGTATCAATGATAGGAGACAATACAGCCAACGTAAAGACGGTCACATCACAGGGGGTGTAATACCCGACTCGTATTACACCCGTTCCGGGCTGATAAAGCTTCTAGCTGCATTTTTGAATGGGCGATCGATACCAGCCCGGGTGGTAAGAAATTGGAGTTACGTCCCTTGGTGCGTCGTCTGCTCGTCTGTTCAGCTTGCTTTCCCGTGACAATGTCTTCCCGACAAGGTGAAAATGTATAGTATTCACTTGCAAGCAGACACATTTTACAATTTGATGTTTTGGTATGTGATGAAAAGGTTATCAATGGGTTTCATACCATACCACATATCAAGTTACCAACCCTATAGGACCCGTGAAGATCCGGGGTAGAATAGGTCTTCAGCAACCCATGCTTGCCCTAGAAGGCGACTATGCTTGTCGTAAGACGCGACTAACGGGATCGGGTGGTCAGGCTCGCTAACTTGGTTGATGCATGTCATCGTATCCCAATCCCAATCCCAATCCGGAGGTCTACATCTACAATGGGTACTCCATTACGTAATTCGTACTCAATTTTATGATATGATTATATATAGTTTGTTTGCTCGTGCATGATATAAGTATTATATCCAACAGTCTGTAGCTCCAGATGTGATTATAAGAGCATTGCTCCACCTAATTAAAGGGGCGTGGATGGCCCAGGTGTGACATGTCTACACTGTGAAATATGTGTTTAGAATGTAAACACATACAAGACATGTTTAGATTTTAGGAACGTGTTTCAATCCTAAACGGAATACACACTGTGTGTTTTATCACCACCTAAACACCACATCCCCATAATCTAAACGTGTTTGGAATTTAAACACCTTTAAACATGTTTAGAATGTAGTAACGTTTAAGTATGTTTAGAATAAAAAACACGTTTAAACATGTTTAGAGTAAAAACACGTTTAAACATTTTTAGAATAAAAAACACGTTTAAACATGCTTAGAGTAAAAACACGTTTAAACATGTTTAGAATTAAAACAAGTTTAATCATGTTTAGAAATTAAACATGTTTAATTAAAGTGCATATCATCAGGCAACAAGTCAAATATGGATAAGATGTATAAATAATATGTTGTGAAATCAGATTCACGGGCACTTGCATAACAAAATATACCACCATGACTTACAACGAACTTGGTACAATATTAACATAAAATATACAAATAAACCAAGCTAATGGTGACTCGGAAAACTTACACTTGTGGCGACAACAGTCTCCGTAGCACATGTGGGTGGTAGCGTGAAGGACTACAAATCTAGTTGTTGCAGGTTAGTATCCCGCCGAGGTTTGAAAATCTCTATGTTCATAAATGTGTTGTTGGTGTATGACTGATAGTATTTTTCTCATATGGGAAGCTGACAACGAAAGTATAACTGATAACTACGATAGACACTTAACTTAGTCCTGCCCCCCCCCCCCCCCCCCCCCCGCCTCTCAACCAACTTTTACAGTGTTTCTTCCGACATTATAAGCTGATATTAAACCAAAGTCACTCACTCACTCGTACGATAAGCATATTAAGTATTAGACACCTATTCTTTCCCGGATACCCACAAGGGCCACTTGTGGGAACAAATTCGGACGTCAACCAAACATGTTGTTCCGGTTTGGTTTGGTTTGTTTGTTGTTTAACGCCGCACTCACCAATATTCCAGCTTTATGACGGCGGTCTGTAAATAATCGAGTCGGGACCAGACAATCCAGTGGTTGATATCTTGAGCATCGATCCACGCAATTGGGATCGATGACATGCATCAACCAAGTCAGTGAGCCTGACCACCCGATCCCGTTAGTTGCCTTTTACGACAAGCATAGTCACCTTTTACGACAAGCATGGGTTGCTGAAGACCTATTCTACCTCGGAATCTTCGTTGTTCCGACGGCCAGAAATGCCTTACAGATCATTACCTCAACAAAGTCATAAACATACAAAAACACAAATACATTTGATAATTCATATATTTTATTTCTTAACCTTAACATATTTATAAAACAGGCAAAATGTACAATTTTAGTCATATAAAAAAGTGATAAAGTAAAAGGAACGTGTAGGTGTAATGCTTAATGGTAATAAAGTAACCGACATGACGGAACTAGTCTGTTAAATCTGTAACATGTCATCTTTTGTATAGGTCATTCAAGTTCATACCGTTGTTATTGCTCGGCAACACCGCCACGTTTCGTTATAATTAGTTTAACTTCGTTTTGGGTGGTAAAATGACAACTATTGAGGCAACTTACTGTTTTTAGATAAAGCAGTACCCACCCAGACGAAAAAACTCTTTCTGCAAACGTCTACAAGGCGAAGAAACAATATGCTGACCTTAATAAATTCTTTGGTTGTTAAAGATGTATGATACATTTCGTCATCACCAATGTTTCGGGGGCTATAAGAGAGACGGGGTGGTCGGCTGTTATCTGTTACGGAATGCACGTAAACCCATATATATACACTTATACATGTATTTTCATCTGCGATATTCATAGAACGCTAGCCAATGATATCATCAAACATAAAATCCGTTATGTCTACAGAGTTTTATGCTCTTGCATCGGGATTTACTGCTGATCAAAGGGAGATAATCGTGATCAAGCTCTATCTCGACATCACAGCATTAAACAACAAGCTCTTCTGTTCCTCTGTATGCAATAAATACAAGTGCGATAAGGGCAACGACTAAAACGGTCTTCCATGAACGTATCACAGACATTTTAACAATGTTTGGTTATAAAATTCAGGGTACATATTTAATCACTGATATGACTCACATACACATGTCGAATGATAATCAAAATGGTCTTATCTCATTTGTAAAAAAAACACAATCATATTGATATTCTGTTTTATTTGTAAAACCTTTTTTTCCAGAATTAAATCATCCAGGACTCCGTTTCTTTAGAACGACCCGCTACATCTGGCGTCGTAAGCTTGAACTCTTATAGCGTTATGGTTGCTTCTTGAAATGCGTCCCAGTTGAGCCCAATTCTACAAAGTGATCTTATCACTTCGCCTATCGTAAATCTATGATACTGCTTGGTACGATCGTCTTAGTCGCTTTGTAGAACGATGTACAGCATGTGTAGTCATCATAAGTCATCTCTATGCTTTCCCAAATGGATGTAATTCATGGTTTCCTGCACATTGACACAGCCCAATTTACTAGTATACTAGTATATAGGGTTATTTGTACTGTGGATGTCATTAATTCCGCATTTATTGAAACGATACTAGTATATAGATGAACTACGTTTACAGGAGAACATCACCACTGTTATATATGACCAAGCCAAACAATTGAAATCCCGTTGGACGTTTATATACTACTCAGAAGAATACTCGATTCTTTTCACAATGCTATAGTTAATCAATGCTGTCTTCATGGATAAATAGAGAGGTAATGCTGTTAGTTGTGGAAAGGAGATTAGAACATTTACATTCCTCGTTAACCAATGTGAAACGAAGCATTCTGTCTTTCAGCCATCCCCTGAAAGCAGAAAAAACACGTGTTACTTAAAGTACGGAAGCCTTTTAGGGCCATTTGTTTTTTTGTTTTTTTCCGATACTATCTTGAAATTTCAAGATACTAAGTCGAAATTTCAAGATACTTAGTTGAAATTTCAAGATACTAAGTTGAAATTTCAAGATACAGAAGTTGAAATTTCAAGATACTAAGTTGAAATTTCAAGAAAAAAAGTTAACATCCTAAGATGTAAAAATACGTTTGAAGTGAATAATTTTGAAATATCAATTTAGTATCTTGAAATTTCAAGATAGTATCGATTTTATTTTTAAAAACAAATGGCCCTAAAAGGCTTCCGTATTAAAGAGCTTCTTAATATTACTTGAATAACTGAGCAGCAAAATAAAAGAAACACTATACATTGTCGATATCTGTCGATATGGTCAATAGGTTTGCATGCTTGTCGTAAAAAGGCGACTAACGGGATCGGGTGGTCAGGCTCGCTGACTTGGTTGATGGATGTCATCGATCCCAAGTGCGTGGATCGATGCTCATGATATTAATCACTAGATTGTCTGGTCCAGACTCGATTATTTACAGACCGCAGCCCTATAACTGGAATATTGCTGAGTGCGGCGTTAAACAACAAACCAACAAACCAACCAGCATGTAGTTAAATGTAGTTGCATGTTTCTATCAAAATAATGTAGTTTTACAAGAGTGAGTGAGTTGTGTTTAACAGTAATCCAGTTATATTACGGCGTGTCACCTTAATGTGGGAAAAAAGTGGTGCAGGTTTCAGACGTTTTCACTTTGGTGAAACCCACGAGCACGGGTCTGGTGGTGAAAAACCTAGTAACATAATCGGGGTGAACCGGGATTCGAACCCAAAATCATAGGTGTCTGGCGAGCCAACGGGACGCAACTCTGCACAGCGAATTGCGGCGACTTAGGCGACTGGGCCACCGGTGCCACGCATTTTCAAAGAACAAGCGTTAGTCAGTGTACACGAATGATGCTGCAGCTTGGTCTGTGATGGTGCCGACATTTAGGAAGGCAACCACACACTGCAGTACAATTATACACGCATTAGCGCCCTCGTCTGACCTACAAGACGGCTATCACCAGACTGGAAGAGTTCTCCTTACAAAAATGCAATGGTGACATAATCAAAAGTAATTTTGTTTTGCTCTGATCCGAATGGTAGTAAATCCCATTGAAACAAACATGTTTTTAACTTTTTAGAACAAAGTTTTATATAATCATTTTCTTCCATTGTGTACTCTCATACCATTGTAACATTTTCTTAGAATACAAAGAAGATTGTTTCAGTCTACGTGTGACCTGTGAAGACCGACTTTCTGGCCAAAGTGCAAGACAGTAACTTGATTGGCTGGGCTGTTGTGTACCATTAACAAAATGGGGATAGATTAACCCATAGTGTCTGAACTAGCTGCTTAAGTCTTAATAATGTGGGGTTTGTTTAGTATAACTACATAATATCAAAGGTGGTACTCACCTTTTGTTTATAAAGTCCGAGTAAGCTTTGTGAAAAGCGTTACCTAGATTACCCTGTGCGCATCTCTTGCAGCCTTGTCCTGGTTGTTTTCGAAGTACATGAAGTCCTGATAAAAATAATCAGCAATTAATGAAATATCCATGAATATGCACACCGCCATCGAGTCGGACGGCCCAGTCCATTTGGTGGACTATTAGGACAAGCATAGGGAGGTGTGTCACGAGACGCGCACCCACAGGGTGGCACCTGCAGCCAATACTCCACTGTAAACAATGTGTTTAGATTGTAAAACCATACTGTTTAGGGACAGGTGTTTAAATCCTAAACGGAATACACATTTGGTGTGTTCTATGTAGACACGTTTAGTGTTTAAACACATGAAAAAGGCGACTATCGTGATCGGGTGATCAGGCTGATGCATGTCATTGTATACCAATTTTCGTGGATCGATGCTCATGATGTTAATAACTGGATTGTCTAGTCCAGACTTCATTATTTACAGACCGCCGTCATATAGGTGGAATATTGGAGTGCGGCGTTAAACAAACAAATATACCACATGAAATGTGCTATGGTATCATAAGCCTAAAAAACACCCGAACACAACATCCACATAATCTGAACATGTTTAGAATATAAACACATCTAGGACAAACTGCATATCATTATGCATTAACCTCATAATCTAAACATGTTTAAATAAAGTGCATATCATTAGGAGTCATGATGTATAATATATATTGAAATTGGATGTGCAAATCATATTCACAGGCTCATGTATAACACATATACCATGAGGACTTCCAATATAACACACATATACCACGAGGACTTGCAGTGTAACACATATATAACACGAGGACTTGCAGTATAACACACATATACCACGAGGACTTCCAATATAACACACATATACCACGAGGACTTGCAGTATAAAACACATATACCAAGAGGACTTGCAGTATAACACACATATACCACAAGGACTTGCAGTATAACACACATTTACCACGAGGACTTGCAGTATAACACACATATACCACAAGGACTTGCAGTATAACACACATATACCAAGAGGACTTGCAGTATAACACACATATACCACAAGGACTTGCAGTATAACACACATATACCAAGAGGACTTGCAGTATAACACACATATACCACAAGGACTTGCAGTATAACACACATTTACCACGAGGACTTGCAGTATAACACACATATACCACAAGGACTTGCAGTATAACACACATATACCAAGAGGACTTGCAGTATAACACACATATACCACAAGGACTTGCAGTATAACACACATATACACATATTACACTCACAATGAGGAAGACTGCCCCTAGCATCACTGTTGACCCACATTATACTCACAATGAGGAAGACTGCCCCTAGCATCACTGTTGACCCACATTATACTCACAATGAGGAAGACTGCCCCTAGCATCAATGTTGACCCACATTATACTCACAATGAGGAAGACTGCCCCTGGCATCACTGTTGACCCACATTATACTCACAATGAGGAAGACTGCCCCCAGCATCGCTCTTGACCCACATTATACTCACAATGAGGAAGACTGCCCCTAGCATCACTGTTGACCCACATTATACTCACAATGAGGAAGACTGCCCCTAGCATCACTGTTGACCCACATTATACTCACAATGAGGAAGACTGCCCCTAGCATCACTATTGACCCACATTATACTCACAATGAGGAAGACTGCCCCTAGCATCACTATTGACCCACATTATACTCACAATGAGGAAGACTGCCCCTAGCATCACTATTGACCCACATTATACTCACAATGAGGAAGACTGCCCCGAGCATCACTATTGACCCACATTTTACTCACAATGAGGAAGACTGCCCCTAGCATCACTGTTGACCCACATTATACTCACAATGAGGAAGACTGCCCCTAGCATCACTGTTGACCCACATTATACTCACAATGAGGAAGACTGCCCCTAGCATCACTGTTGAACCACATTATACTCACAATGAGGAAGACTGCCCCTAGCATCACTGTTGAACCACATTATACTCACAATGAGGAAGACTGCCCCGAGCATCACCGCCTTCATCTTGACATCAAGGTCCATGGGGAAGGTGACGCCGAAGTTGTCGCTGTCTGTGAACATCTCCTTCATCAGCCCTGACCATTGCTTTGAAATCCTGCCCACGTCAAATTGTTCGTCTTTGGACTTCACCTGTAGCGTGTTATGGTGACAGTAAGTGGCACGTATTCAATTTACTGCTTGGAATTTGAAAATACTTTGAATTGGAACTTGTCAGTTGATGGTATATTTTACAGATCGTAGAAATAAGTCTGGATGTCCCGGACACTTCATCTTATTGAATCACAACACACCATGCAGTAACATATATGTAAAACGCAGAGAATTTGTGAAAATAACGTCTTTTCTGAACATGTAGTAGGCGTAATAAGGTCCGAATATTGTCTTTCAAGTTTTACAAGACCAGATTATTTACTCGGTCCGGTTCAACGAAATCCAGATAAATGATGTCCCAAAACGTAACCTCCAGTATCGAAGTACATGTATTATCGTTATATAGGTATATACTCCAGTATCGAAGTACATTTATTATCGTTATATAGGTATATACTCCAGTATCGAAGTATCACTAGTATCGAAGTACTTACATTATCGTTATATAGGTATATACTCCAGTATCGAAGTATCACTAGTATCGAAGTACATGTATTATCGTTATATAGGTATATACTCCAGTATCGAAGTACATGTATTATCGTTATATAGGTATATACTCCAGTATCGAAGTACATTTATTATCGTTATATAGGTATATACTCCAGTATCGAAGTACATGTATTATCGCTATATAGGTATATACACTTACATCAAACTCCACATCACCACATATGTTCCACTGACAACAGGGCCCCTCGATCCGGAGAACCGTCTCGTCATTCTCATCCATCAGCTTGTACTTGGGTAGACACGGGTGCCACCCCTGGCGCACATACCCGATTGTGTTGCCGAGTGGGGCCTGTACCTCCACTTTCTGAAACAGCAGTGGATGACAGTGCAAAATTGTAAAAGGACACTTGCCTCGACCAGTGAAATAGACAGTCCGAGCGAGTTTGATTCAAGTCGGTCAAACACCTTTTTGGTTATCTGCTGACTCAATTTGTGCGTAACCTCGTCTACTCGGAGGTAAGCGTTCCAATTGAAATCGTCCGGATTTACAAAATTTCCCCATTAGCGAATTGTTGCGGTACATTTGTGTACACATTTCATGACATTTTCAAAAAGAAAATGGCCGAGCAATAGCCATGAAACTGTTTTTCAATATGGCTGCCATCCTTGCAAGTTTCAGCAGAAATTTCAAGAAAAGGTCAGGGGTGGAATATAATCATGTTAGTTTAGAAGAAAGGACAAATCAAGGTAAGAATGAAATACAGCGAACAACGTAATCTTTATATTTAATCTCATTACATAAACTACTCAAAAGAAGTTAAGGACCACTCGATACTTTCACATTACTATAGTTAATCTGTCGTGGCAGACAGTAAGTAGTATAATAAGCGCATGCCAATTTGACTTCATTATACTGTAATATCCGCAACAGTGGATACAAAATGGCTGCCGTGGCGGCCATATTGAAAATCGGATAATAATTTCCCGAACATGTTTTGTTGTCATCACTGGAGAGAACACACTGGTAAGCCAGGATAAGTTGAACCAAGTCACAGAATGCGTTTGAGACAAGTAGGCGGTGCACAGAATTTAGGCAAACATTTTGTTTGTGGCAGGTAGAGAGGGTGTACACGTGTTGTGCACGTGCCAGTCATGATGATCAAATTGAATACGCTTTCGTGGACACACGTGTTGCTCATCATTGTCGAACGGTGTCTGACGAATGGACCAGACACAGAAACATCCGAATGTGAAGAATGGTGCTATGACGATCTAGTTATCTCAATAGAAATCCACCTTACAATGTTACGTTCACAGTATGCTGAGACCCCCAAAACAATCACTTGAGATTATTAAGTAGTATGACATTGAGTCAACTATCACTACATAAAGGTCTCAACCTTCACAATCATGTTGTTAATCACAGGACACTATTCGTTATGGCTCTCTAGAGTAAAGAAACATTATTCTACTTCAACAGCAAATGAATTTGTTTCATTGTCCTCAATTTTGTTATCTATGCAAATTTGCTGTTACCGTTTTCACAGTCATTGGGTACCTCACATCAGCACGTACGATTATGCGCTATTGAACTCGCCACTAGAACACGTTCTCAGTCGAGACAGGACATGCACATATCCATCGTACTACTTGTCGCAGACCACCCGTTACCCCTTTCCTCACAATGGTACCCGCCAGTGGGCGGACCTCATACATCGTTATCCAGGATTAATTGTCAGGTCACAACTCAACTTATCCTGGTTTACCAGTTAGTAATTATGTATCCACTGTCAGCTACAGTGGCACAGTGTTTTCACATGAGATATTTACAGACAAACAGGACACGACATAAGCTTACTATTCCCTCGAGCAATTGAGCTGAAAATTGTAGTGAAAATGGGACTAATTCAACACTAGGCGGTTGTTTGAGGCTTGGGTTTTTAAGTTGCCCGGTGCTCCACGAGTTAAAGGGCGGTCGGGTAGCCTAGTGGTTAAAGCGTTCGCTCGTCTCGCCGAAGACCCGGGTTCGATTCCCGACATGGGTACAATGTGTGAAGCCCATTTCTGGTGTCCCCCGCCGTGATATTGCTGGAATAGTGCTAAAAGCGGCGTAAAACCATACTCACTCACTCACTCACTCCACGAGTATAGCCTACCTGTAGACAACAGGGGAAGTAACACGACGAACAGCGGAGTGGGCGGGACAGGTGGATGACCTCCCTGTTGGTTCTGTCGAGGATCTTGATGTCGAACGGTCGACTGTGACCACAGCAGTTCCTGGTGCAGCAACACGTATCTAGGAGCACAAACACGCTGAGAGTTTACAGGGGAATCTCTTGAACATGCAGTGCTTGGGGGCCATCGAATATATACATGTACAATAAAAATGCGTGGATCATATAAATAGATAACTAAAAAATAATAATGATAATAATAAGGATGACTTGGACTACATGGCTTTACACTTTGATCATTCCTGAAAATGTATTCGACAAACTGTCATGGAAGACCAGAGTGGCTTCATGATGCCCGTTGGAGGTTGGACCTCAGTTTTTCTTTTTCTTTCAAGATGATGGACATGTTTATTGGGAGTCAATCTCATTAAAATCAGATCTTAGTTCTCGCTATCGCTAAACAAAGATCTGCGGACATCCCATTTCGGGTCACGTCAGCACGACCTTTCATCCAACCAATCAGAGCGTCGCTTACCAGATCCTGAAAGTGACAGTCGGAATGTGTTTTCTAATCATGCAACCTCGAGATATTTAACATTGGGTATTCACGAACGATGGTTATGGGTTTTATAATTATATCCATACAATCTAGGCCATCTATTAGCCATTCCAGAATGTTGTTTTGGTCAGTTTAAAAATTTTTAATCGAGAATACGTCAAAATATGTTTCGAAGCGTAATGGCCAGTTTGAAACTAGTGCCGTAAAGCTCGAGATAGCTGCCTTCTGATTGGCAAATGTCGATTTCTTGTCAGTCATTTCATTGGTCGGTCAATGTTAGGGAAAGGTCGTTCTGACGTGACCTGTAATGGGATGTCCTCAGATCTTTGGTTAGCGGTAGCGACAACTAAGATCTGATTTTAATGAGATTGATTGGGAGTTAACCCAACATACCTTCTACTGCCATGAACACCCTCTGTCCTAGGGTGTTGACGATTTCATACTTGTTGTTTGTTTCGTATCCAGTGATTGCTGAAAAGTCAATACTTTGTTCTTATTTCAGAAATACACAACCTTGTAAAAAATGTTATAGAATACTTTATAGCGTCCTCAGGCAATGACGTGTTTTGTAACGCTCTCTCTTACGTCATTTAATGACGTGTAATGTAACACTCTCTGTCCTATCTCGTCACGATATGGCTGAAATATTGCCGATGTGACGTAAAGCATAAAGTCACTCACTCACTCTGTCCTAACGATCTTGTTTGTAATAACAAAAATTATTTTTTTTAAAAACTCGTGTAAGCAAACACGTTTCGTGATTTGATTATGGTCACATGTGCATTAGTGAATAAAAAACATAACCCAAAGTTTGTATATGTCTTAAATATATCAGCTGACAACAGAACTGGTGAAAGTTATAGCTATATGTTGTAATGCGAACACTATGGCTGTTGAGTGGTACTCGGCCCACCCACTGTGTACACACCAAAGTACTCAGTCTGAGTAAACAAAGTCACTTTACCTGAACTGGGGATTACACAATGGAGGGAGATTAGTGAGTGAGTATGGTTTTAAGCCGCTTTCAGCAATATTCCAGCAATATCACAGCGGGGGACACCGGAAAATGGGCTTCACACATTGTATCCCTGTGGGGAATCGAACCCGGGTCTTCGGCGTGACGTGCCAACGCTTTAATCACGAGGCTACCCTATCGCTCAAGAGGGTGATGAAAAAGATCCCGCTTTATGAATGTTCTTAATAGCATATTAACTTATTATTACTAAGTGTTGTCCAGAAACAATTGCCAAGATCTGTTATCATATCTACAATTATAGATATGATAACAGATCTTGGGTCTATTATAGATAAGTTCCCGAATGTACAAAGTACCACATGACACTCCTATTGTTTCCATACTATTATCAGGGTTGGTTGGTTGGTTGGTTTGTTGTTTAACGCCGCACTCAGCAATATTCCAGCTGTATGACGGCGGTCTGTAAATTTTCGAGGCTGGACCAGATAATCCAGTGATTGACATCATTAGCATCGATCCTAGCAATTGGGATACGATGACATGCATCGCCTTTTACGACAAGCATAGTCGCCTTTCACGGCAAGCATGGGTTGCTGAAGACATATCTCACCCCGGATCTTCACGGGTCTATTATCAGGGACACTATACAGAGACTATATAGACTTCCTGCCATTATTTTAAACTTGTTTTAAAATTACGTTGTTGAATGTATACTGTGCCTTTTTGTGTCTTGAATATATCTGTGTGTATTTGTAAACACTGTCCATACATTTTGTAGTTTGTAAAATATAGCCACTGTTTATCTATGGAATGTTACACAATACATATCTTATGATCTATCAAAACTGCTGCATATAGTTTGTATTCTTCAGCGTTACAAGACATTAACCGCCACAGTGTGTACATAAGCATGACTTTCCAAGTAAACATTTGTGTATTGTTAAATGTCTGGTTACATAGTGTCCACTGTGATATGGCTCTTTACTCACTAACCTCTTCTAAAGGAGGGTCACAGATATACCGAGACTGACATTTAGTTCCAGATATAAAGTTATTTTATTTAAAATTGTATATCTACAAAATAAAATAATACAATCCAAATGGAGCCAGAACTTGAGAACAATCCTTAATTTCATGAGCTGAGGCAATCTAGACTTGCCAAATCATTCTAGACTTGAGTTGGGACTTTTTTTAATTTATTGTCTAGGCTCAAGGAGACAGACTAAGTTATACTGTACCTTCAAAGACTTCCACTTTCTGTTTGACGAGCAGCTGGTCCATGGCTACTAGACCCTCCAGCCCCGGGGGGCACCCTACCGGCACCTGACTAGTCGGGGACCAGCCCACCCCTCCGGCCTGTGGGGGCACTACAACACGTACAGTCAAGTGAGACACATGTAGACCATGCCCAAACATCTCAACAGCCATTATCAGTAGATCCGCATAGACCCCGTGGAAAGCCGACTTAGTGGACAGGGTGGTCAAGCTCGATGACTCGGATGATTCAGTGTCATCGTCCCCCCCAACTGCGTGGACGTTGCTCACAGTATCAGTCACTGGTTTGTTTGATCCAGGTTTGATTATTTACAGATAGCCGTCATATAGCTGTAATATTGCTGAGAGCGGCGTTAAACAACAAACAGTTTTCATTAGTTATTTCATTGATAACCACCTATGTAGTGAGTGAGTGAGTATGGTTTTACGCCACTTTTAGCATTATTCCAGCAATATCACGGCGGGGGACACCAGAAATGGGCTTCACACATTGTAGGGAATCGAACCCGGGTCTTCGGCGTGACGAGCGAACGCTTTAACCACTAGGCTACCCGACCGCCCCACCGATGTAGTGAGAGAGTGGTGCTGTCGCTTGCTTGACACATCAGCAGTAACGTTTTTGTTTATGTTCCAAACACAAAATATAAGAAATCAAACGATATACAGTAAACTACATTTAGTTCAGTTCGTTATAACCGTAGTTCGTTATAAGCATGTATACAGCAATGGACGGGATCAAAACATATTTCGTTATATACGTCAGTTCGTTATAAACGTCGTTTACTGCATCACGCATATACAGATGGAAATGATAGGTTAATTGTAATCTACATTTGCCTTGATTGTGGGATCCGACGATGGTCTCATGGTACCGTTGACGATCGAACCTGGGTCACCTGCTTGTGAAAATGTTATATTGACGACTTGTTTCTATAAAACAATACATTAATACATATGTGCTGGGGGACGGTCGGGTAGCCTAGTGGTTAAAGCGTTCGCTCTTCACGCCGAAGGCCCGGGTTCGATTCCCGACATGGGTACAATGTGTGAAGCCCATTTAAGGTGTCCCCCGCCCAGACATCGCTGGAATATTGCTGAAAGCGGCGTTAAACCATATTCACTCACTCACATATGTGCTGGGTACCTACCTCCCGCCATGGGCTGTGCAGCTATGGGCTGACCCCCCGGGGGGTAGGCTGCCGGGTGTACAGTTGTCATGTTTCTCCTTCTAATCTGGGGTAAGAAACAGAAACAAAATTGGGCAATGAAAATGGAAACAGATTAATACTTTTAATGAAAAGAAAGATATTTGTTTTCGCTTTCAGGTGTTGGTTTGTGTTGCGACGCAAAGCGTTGTCCGGTTATGTTGTGAAAAAAGTGAAAGTAAGTACCGCCACGGGTTGTGTCGTTCCCATGTTTCATGACGTGCGCGTGTTGCTGTAGACGTGTTACGGGCAGTACATACTTCCTCATATATTTATAATTTAATGAGTCGAGTTTCACATCCTCAACCCAAACACAACCACCCTCGATATGCTGTGTTGCAATGAAAACTGAAACAACGTCTCACTGTCATTTATTCAGTCATTTAACTTATTATCTTTCCGGTGAATCGTTTAATCGTATACATTATTTGAAACAGTTGAGTGAGTGAGTGAGTGTGGTTTTATGCCGTTTATAGCAATATTCCAGAATAACGCTGTGGGGACACCAGAAATGGGCGTCACACATTGTACCCGTTTGGGCAATCGAACCCGGGCCTTCGGCGTGACGGGCGAACGCTTTTATAACCCCGCCCTTTGAAACAGTATAGAAAGGTACAGTAACGGTTGATATTTAACGAAAGAGGCATTAGCCAACTCAAGGTTAATATAACCCTATACTCTGGCAATTAACATTAACTATTATTTATCCTGTCACACTATGATCACGCATACATGTAGTTGAATTTGGGAAATACTTTTCAGCGAACAGACAGAAAACAAAGTGAGTGGTGAGTTGGGTTTAACGCCGTTTTTAACAGTATTCCCGTTATATGGCGGCGTGTCGGCTTAATGTGGGAGGAAAGCCCGAAGTGATGCAGGTCTTAGTCGTTTACCACTTCGGTGAAACACACAAGCACGGGTATGGTGCTGACAAACCTAGAAACATAATCGGGGCGAACCGGGATTCGAACCCACAATCACAGGTTTCTCAGAAAACAAAGACATTGGGATATGGCAGTGAGGCCTGACGGCATGTAACATTGATTAAATGTTGTCTGAGTTTGAATCATCACTCACCTGGATAAAATCTTACAGTTTCTTGTTACTCGTCAAGAGTCAAAGTCTGTGATGCGTTTTCAAAGTAATTCAGTTTTTGTGAATAACTATTTCAGATGAAACAAACTGCTTGTAAAATCCACTTTCGCTTCCTTATATTCGGAGAAAAACACTTTCCTGGTAATAACAGTTGGCACATGCTTGTGAGTCACGAATTCTAGGCATCGTCACAAATCCGTTCATTTTATCACGTTGCTTTCAAGAGATCAACAGATCAATCCAAGTTTACATTTTAAAAATACTAAAAACATGTTACAGGTATATAAGAAGCTAGCGTTGCGTTTAACACATGTCCAGAATCAGTTGTTTTGTTAATTTGCATGCTAAAGTTGAGTGAGTGAGTGAGTTGGGTTTAACACCGCTTTTAACAGTATTCCAGTTATATGGCGGCGTGTCGGCTTAATGTGGGAGGAAAGCCCGAAGTGATGCAGGTCTTAGTCGTTTACCACTTCGGTGAAACCCACGAGCACGGGTATGGTGCTGACAAACCTAGAAACATAATCGGGGCGAACCGGGATTCGAACCCACAATCATAGGACCTTCATTACATTCGGTAACCTCCATGTGGGATCCGTGGTTAGAACTGATCCAGCAATATATTTGTGGTACCAGGCGTCTTAATGGACTGGGTGATCAGGTTCGGTGACTTGGTTGATCATGAGTCAACGTACCCCAACGGTGTAGATAGTTGCTCATAATATCAGTCACTGGTATGTCTGGTCCTGATTAGATTGGACCGCCTCTGTGGTCTAGAGGTAGAGCGTCCGCCCGGAGAGCGGAAGATCCGGGGTTCGACCCCCTTAAAAATACTTACTGCAGTTGTTTATGAAAATAAAAGCGACAAACCCTTTCAATATTCATAAGAAATCTCCGTCAAAAACAGAGTCGATTGTTCAATTCCGAGTATATCCCGAGCATGTGTTTATGAATCACAGAGCCACGACCAATGATTAATGTTATGAATACTATGCCTTTACATAATACGATCATCATAGTCAACGGTCACTGCTCAGTAGACCGCCTCCGTGGCCGGAGAGTGGAAAGTCGGTGCTTCGATTCCCGGCCGCGTTATACCAAAATACGTTAATAGATGGTACTTGATGTTACCCTGTCTGGCGCTCGGCATTGAAGGGGCAAAAACAAGGACTGGCCGGCTCGGAGTCAGTATACTGTGTCTGAGTGGGGTATTCATGTTAAGCTGCGGCATGGTATCTCAGTGAGCTAGCACTATCAATCCGGACTATTTCAAGCAGCCACACACACACATGTGCATGCACGTCGCTATATAAGTGCGATAATCTTGGAGGCAACGTTAAACCCAATTTCACCTCACCTCACCTGATTAGATTATTTACATTCCGCCGTCATATAACTGGTGTGCGGCGTTAAGCAAGAAACAAACAAAGGAAACTTCTTTCACCAGGTCATATGTAATAATTAAAACACGTCTTTGAGGTTTTTGGCGACTCCTTCAATCCTCGGGCTATTCCATCGCTCGGGTTTTACATTTTCAACCAAAACCGAGGAGGAGTATTTTAACAAACTTATGAACCGTCTAAATGCGAGAAATACCAAAAAGATTAAGAAGCCTTATAGTGAAACAATACAGTTTTCGTGGTATAAAACGAATTCGATCACAGCGGTCGATTTACACGGACGGATCTTCAGATCCGACCTCCAAACACACAGGTTTCGGAGTCCATACCAAACAACCAACTAAAACCACACAATCCTTCCGACTCCCAAACAACCAATCAATATTCACGGCAGAACTAATGGGCATGGCCTCAGCCCTCCATAATCAAGGATCCAAAAACCACAAAAAAAATCCTAATACTTACCGACTCCCTAAGTGGACTGCAAGCCCTCCAAAACAAAAATACCAAAAACCGACCTAAATTAATAAATCAAATACTTAAAAGCTCCAACGACCTAACTTAGGCAGGCAAACAAATAACCTTCTTGTGGATACCCGCCCACGTAGGAATATACGGTAATGAAAACGCCGATAAGGCAGCCAAACTATCCCTCAAAATCCCAGAAATAAGCTTAAACTTACCCATCTCAAAATCAGAAATTAAAAGCGTAAATAAGCAAAAAATCACCAAAAAATGGCATAACCTATATCTAAACTCAAATAGCCAAATCACAAAAGTACTCAGCAAACCACTAACCAAGCCAAAAATTCTCCATCCATCAAAAAAAATCGACAGAGTAATCACTAAACTCCAAACAGGACACACCAACCTAAATAACCACCTAAAAAAAATATTAAAAAACACACTACAGGTAACTGCCCACACTGCAAACAACTATAGAAACCCCAGAACACGCACTCATCCACAGCACACACTACCTAACACATCGAACCGCATTACAAACCACCCTCAATCTAAACAAGGCTCTCACTCTAGAAGCAATACTAAACCCACAAAATAAACTAGAAAACTTCAAGGCCTTAGGCGTATTCTTAATCAAAACGGAACTAATAAAACGCATCTAAAAACACTATAATCTACCAAATCAAAATCACATAAACAAACAAACAAACAAACATCCACCATACCCAGCTCCCTTAGTTCTACTCCCCAACCCCATCGGCATCTATTCCAAATCTCAAAATTCCCAAATTCTATATAAGCAACCCCTAAAGCCCCCTCTTGGGTTGCACACACCACTTTCGCCCCTTTCGGAAACACATTAAATGGCCTGGCCGGGCCCGTGTGCGAAATAGGCATCAGTCGGAAAGCGCACGTTAAATCTCCAAAGTAAGTAAGTAAGTAAGTAAGCGGTCGAGAGTAAGACCACGTGCAGAAGGCAGACAACTGAAATCATGGCATGTAAGAGTGAACACCCTTTTCTCACCTGCACCGGTCGCTCAGTGGGAAAACAGTGGGTTACAAAGTGTAAAATGATATGTGAGATTGCAGTACGATTCACGTCGATTTTTCATGTGAATATAAATGTGACTTTGAATCAGTCAACAATCAACATTAGATGTGTACAATGTTTATACAATTCAGATGTAAAACCTCTCAGCAGGTCTCACTTGGATTGGTTGGTTTGTTGTTTAAAGCCCCACTAAGCAATATTCCACCGGACTGTAAATAATCGAGTCTGGACCACATAATCCAGTGATTCCATCAACCAAGTCAGCGAGCCTGACCATCCGATCCCGTTAGTCGCCTCTTACGACAAGCATAGTCGCCTTTTACGGCAAGCACGGGTTGCTGTCTCACTTGGAAGTAGTACCTCTCGCAAGGTAATTATGAGATACGAACAATACTATAGCCGAAAGTGGCTGTAGGTTTATAGACGTACTTGAGCATTGCCACAAATCTGTGGCTACCTTCCGCCACTCCATACTTCAGTTGCCAGGCACAATGTAGTGTCCTGTTTGGCAAAAACTTTGTATCAACTCTGTCCTGACAACCCTGGCCTTCACTCTATCACTGCCAGTTCAATATGCGTCCATATAACCAGGTCACTTTACTTATTATGAGCCCACGAAACGAAGTAAAAATCAAAGCACAAACCTTCATAGAAAAGAAACGAGTGATATAATCAGTTTCTGTAATGTTTCTGTCATACAATGTGATAGTTTATGTCATACATTGGGTAATACACTTTATGTTATCGTCCTCAATACTCTCTCTCCACCCGTATGTCTCTCTCCTCTATACTCTCTCTCCCCACCCGTATGTCTCTCTCCTCTATACCCTTTCTCCACCCGTCTGTCTCTCTCCTCTGCACACTCTCTCCACCCGTCTGTCTCTCCTCTATACACTCTCTCCACCCGTCTGTCTCTCTCCTCTATACACTCTCTCCACCCGTCTGTCTCTCTCCTCTATACCCTCTCTCCACCCGTCTATCTCTCTCCCCTATACACTCTCTCCACCCGTCTGTCTCTCTCGACAAAACACTGTCTCTCTCCTCTATACACTCTCTCCACCCGTATGTCTCTCCTCTATACACGCTCTCCACCCGTCTATCTCTCTCCCCTATACACTCTCTCCACCCGTCTGTCTCTCTCGACTAAACACTGTCTCTCTCCTCTATACACTCTCTCCACCCGTATGTCTCTCCTCTATACGCTCCCTCCACCCGTCTGACTCCCCCTCTATACGCTCTCTCCACCCGTCTGTCTCTCTCCTCAATGCCCTCTCTCCACCCGTATGTCACTCTCCTCTAAACACTCTCTCTAATCGTCTGTCTCTCTCTTCTATACACTCTCTCCACCCGTCTGTCTCTCCTCTGTACACTCTCTCCACCCGTCTGTCTCTCTACATTCACTCTCTCCAGCACCTTTTCTTACGCCGTCTCCTTTTCTATCTCTCTAACACATCAACTTAATCACATACACGATCTTTACAACCAAACCAGACCTTCTAAATATTTTAACACTTACCTTCGGAACAATTCAGCGTTTACTGACTCATACCCTACGCAGGTAGAACCTGTATACTAGGAACTATATTTGTCCCCTCTAACTTGTAACGCTTCCATTCATTTGCTGCCAAGCGAAATCAGACTGTCAATGCAAAAAATACAATCACTTCAGGAACAGAGCGCGTCGTAGATACGTCCCACAACATCACAACAGAGAGGGGCTAATCGCTGTTTCGACATAATCCTTCCCGGGTGAATTGGGTCGCCTGAACTCAGCATAATTTATGAGTATCCATTCTCCCAGGCCGGGCGTGATACAAGACGTTGTTTACTGTTTGATACTTGACGACCAATCACCTACACATCGATCTCGGGTCGATGATGTCATTTGGCTGATTTCTCAGTCAGCTGTAGTTCAAGAGCTTAATTTACCAAACTACCTTTCTTCAAACGGTTCATTGCCTAAAAGCCTGAGGCATACAAGCATGTTGTGTACAAGTACCAGATTAAAGACGGTTATAAACGAGTGTATAGGTTTAACGCAACTTTGGACATCATCTCCGTTATTATATTATGGGATGTCGCCCTGATGTGGGAGGAACGCCCAAACTGATGCTGGGCTTCAGATGTTTACCACTTTCCCGAAACCCACAGGAATCACAATCAGGAAAACCTGGAATTTGAAGCCACGATCACAGGATACTGGCACGCCGAAAGGACGCAACTCTGCACAGTGTTTTGCGGCGCCTAAAACGACTGGGTTGATGTATTTAGCTTAATGATTCGTTATTAGTTAAAAAACTGATTTTAAACTGTCTAGAATGTGCATATAGGCAAATGTAGGCTCGGGTGGCTGGATGTACACATGGCTTGATGGAAGAACGGATGTAACGCATTTAATATTATTGAGTGAAGAAATAGTGAATAGAAAAAGCAATAACGTGTAGATATTGACGGGTGTACTAAGGGAACAAGTTCAGGGGGTCTTCCAGTGTTCCCAGAACTTAATGTAAAGAACAGGTAATACCTGTAAATTTGAAAGAGATATAGAACGCATCTAAATAATAATAATAATAATAATAATAATAATAATAATAATAATAATAATAATAATAAAAATAATAAAAATAATAATAATAATGCATCACCCGAACCCTCTTGGCTGCATTTTTTATTTTAATCTGTAAATAATAATAATAATAATAATAATATGTTGTTATATATTTAGTGGCATTCAAGGGGCGTTGGGAGAGCCAAATGGTTAAAGCATTCGCTCGTCACGCCCAACACCTGGGTTCGACTCCCATCATGGGTACAATGTGTGACGCCAATTTCTTGTGTCCCTACCGTGATATTGCTGGAATTTTGCTAAAAGCGGTATAAAACCATGCTGACCCACTCGTAGGTGAGGTGAAATCGGGTTTAACGTCGTGTTCAAGATTATTGCACTCTTGTACTGCCTGTACTAGTACCGGCTAATGCCGAGTTTATAGTACAAGCCCACTGAGGTGCCATGCCGCAGTTTAACAAGAATAAGCCACTCAGACACGGTATACTGACTCCGAGCCGACAGGTCCTTGTTTTAGCCCCTTAATGCCGAGTGCCAGGCAGAGTAACAACAAGAACCATCTTTAACGTCTGGTATGACGCGGTCGGGTATCGAACCCACGATCTTCCGCTCTCCGGTCAGACGTTCTATCCACTAGACCACGGAGGCGGTCTTCACTTGTAGTGAGTGAGTATGGTTTTACGCAGCTTTTAGCAATATTCTAGCAATATCACGGGAATGGGCTTCACACATTGTACCCATGTCGGGAATCGAACCCGGGTCTTGGGCGTGACGGGCGAACGCTTTAACCACTAGGCTACCCGACCGCCCCTCTTCACTTGTAGGCCGATACGATATAATATAATATTGTCTCAGTAACATCGCCCAGACACCCTATATAAATAGTCTCTGTATTGAAACAGGGTCAGCAATATCAATTGTATAGTAAGGACCCTACATACCAGGCCAGCATTGATCAACAGCTATAGCGACATGACACTTACCGTTAGCCGACTGTCACCAGCTGGGTACAATACAGACAGCTTATAGAGCAGATCCTGGTGGATTGTTCAAGCAGAGTTGGCTCAGGCTAACTTTAACTGTCTATGGTGACTGGTAAACACCGGGCAGTCAGCCTATTAATTGTGTGCCCTGAATATAGAGCCAACGTATCTTGATAACCCAGGCTATCTTGTGGGTGGGTGTGATGGGCGGCAGTAGGTGCAGGTGTGATATACGGCGGAGTTAATGTTGATTATATATTGGTGTCCATGTTATCCCGGCTTGCTAATTTATTGTCTCAGCTGTAAAATATGTTTTATTGATAAAAACTGTTGATGTGTGATTTTTAAAAGTGTACCTTTCGTGTGCCACATTTCATGTGATCTTCCATGCTGCATCGAGTTATTTGTGATCTTCCACGTTGTGGTGTATTGTGATCTTCAACGTTGTGATGCATTGTGATCTTCCATGTAGTGGTGCATTGTGATCTTCCATGTTGTGGTGTATTGTGATCTTCCATGTAGTGGTGTATTGTGATCTTCAACGTTGTGATGCATTGTGATCTTCCATGTAGTGGTGTATTGTGATCTTCCATGTTGTGGTGTATTGTGATCTTCCATATTGTGATGTATTGTGATCTTCCATGTTGTGGTGTATTGTGATCTTCCACGTTGTGGTGTATTGTGATCTTCCACGTTGTGATGTATTGTATTGTGATCTTCCACGTTGTGGTGTATTGTGATCTTCCACGTTGTGGTGTATTGTGATCTTCCTCGTTGTGATGTATTGTGATCTTCCATGTAGTGGTGTATTGTGATCTTCCATGTTGTGGTGTATTGTGATCTTCCATGTTGTGGTGTATTGTGATCTTCCATGTTGTGGTGTATTGTGATCTTCCACATTGTGATGTATTGTGATCTTCCACGTAGTGGTGTATTGTGATCTTCCACGTTGTGATGTATTGTGATCTTCCATGTAGTGGTGTATTGTGATCTTCCACGTTGTGATGTATTGTGATCTTCCACGTTGTGATGTATTGTGATCTTCCACGTTGTGATGTATTGTGATCTTCCATGTAGTGGTGTATTGTGATCTTCCACGTTGTGATGTATTGTATTGTGATCTTCCATGTTGTGGTGTATTGTGATCTTCCACGTTGTGATGTATTGTGATCTTCCACGTAGTGGTGTATTGTGATCTTCCACGTTGTGATGTATTGTGATCTTCCATGTAGTGGTGTATTGTGATCTTCCACGTTGTGATGTATTGTGATCTTCCACGTTGTGGTGTATTGTGATCTTCCACGTTGTGATGTATTGTGATCTTCCACGTTGTGATGTATTGTGATCTTCCACGTTGTGATGTATTGTATTGTGATCTTCCACGTTGTGGTGTATTGTGATCTTCCACGTTGTGGTGTATTGTGATCTTCCTCGTTGTGATGTATTGTGATCTTCCATGTAGTGGTGTATTGTGATCTTCCACGTTGTGATGTATTGTGATCTTCCACGTTGTGGTGTATTGTGATCTTCCACGTTGTGATGTATTGTGATCTTCCACGTTGTGATGTATTGTGATCTTCCACGTTGTGATGTATTGTATTGTGATCTTCCACGTTGTGATGTATTGTGATCTTCCACGTTGTGATGTATTGTATTGTGATCTTCAATGTTGTGGTGTATTGTGATCTTCCACGTTGTGGTGTATTGTGATCTTCCTCGTTGTGATGTATTGTGATCTTCCATGTAGTGGTGTATTGTGATCTTCCATGTTGTGGTGTATTGTGATCTTCCATGTTGTGGTGTATTGTTATCTTCCACGTAGTGGTGTATTGTGATCTTCCATGTTGTGGTGTATTGTGATCTTCCACGTTGTGATGTATTGTGATCTTCCACGTTGTGATGTATTGTATTGTGATCTTCCACGTTGTGGTGTATTGTGATCTTCCACGTTGTGGTGTATTGTGATCTTCCTCGTTGTGATGTATTGTGATCTTCCATGTAGTGGTGTATTGTGATCTTCCATGTTGTGGTGTATTGTGATCTTCCATGTTGTGGTGTATTGTGATCTTCCATGTAGTGGTGTATTGTGATCTTCCACGTTGTGGTGTATTGTGATCTTCCATGTAGTGGTGTATTGTGATCTTCCATGTTGTGGTGTATTGTGATCTTCCATGTAGTGGTGTATTGTGATCTTCCACGTTGTGATGTATTGTCATCTTCCACGTTGTGGTGTATTGTGATCTTCCTCGTTGTGGTGTATTGTGATCTTCCACGTTGTGATGTATTGTGATCTTCCACGTTGTGGTGTATTGTGATCTTCCACGTTGTGGTGTATTTGATCTTCCACGTTGTGGTGTATTGTGATCTTCCACGTTGTGATGTATTGTGATCTTCCACGTTGTGGTGTATTGTGATCTTCCACGTTGTGGTGTATTGTGATCTTCCACGTTGTGGTGTATTTGATCTTCCACGTTGTGGTGTATTGTGATCTTCCACGTTGTGGTGTATTGTGATCTTCCACATTGTGATGTATTGTCATCTTCCATGTAGTGGTGTATTGTGATCTTCCACGTTGTGATGTATTGTGATCTTCCACGTTGTGGTGTATTGTGATCTTCCTCGTTGTGGTGTATTGTGATCTTCCACGTTGTGATGTATTGTGATCTTCCACGTTGTGGTGTATTTGATCTTCCACATTGTGATGTATTGTGATCTTCCACATTGTGATGTATTGTGATCTTCCACGTAGTGGTGTATTGTGATCTTCCACGTTGTGATGTATTGTGATCTTCCATGTAGTGGTGTATTGTGATCTTCCAAGTTGTGGTGTATTGTGATCTTCCACTTTGTGGTGTATTGTCATCTTCCATGTAGTGGTGTATTGTGATCTTCCACGTTGTGGTGTATTGTGATCTTCCATGTAGTGGTGTATTGTGATCTTCCACATTGTGGTGTATTTGATCTTCCACGTTGTGGTGTATTGTGATCTTCCATGTAGTGGTGTATTGTGATCTTCCATGTAGTGGTGTATTGTGATCTTCCACGTTGTGGTGTATTGTGATCTTCCATGTAGTGGTGTATTGTGATCTTCCATGTAGTGGTGTATTGTGATCTTCCACGTTGTGGTGTATTGTGATCTTCCATGTTGTGGTGTATTGTGATCTTCCACGTAGTGGTGTATTGTGATCTTCCATGTTGTGGTGTATTGTGATATTCCACGTTGTG